GACCAGTCTCAGCCACAGCTCCTGCCTGGCTCCCCGCAGCCTGCTCCTACTCCTCACACTGAGGTGACTGCGTCCCTGACTGCGCGTCGTGAGCCTGAGACTCGTGCTTCCACACCTGTTCGTGCTCGTCGTGTCCCACGTCCTCGTCCTACTACTGTCCCAGGCACTCACGTTATGGAACTTCGTCCTTCCTCTGTTCCACAGCGTGTTGCCCTGCCGTCTTCTCCTACGTCCTCTCTTCCTGACCTTCCTGACCTTCCTGACCCTGAGTCCGACCTTGCTCGTGCTGCCAGTCCTACTGTCACTCGTCTCCTCGCTACTGTCGTCACTGACCCTGACTTTGAGTCTACTGCTGCGTTTTCTCTAGTCACTGAGCTAGTTGACTTTGCTGCTAGGAGTTGTCTCGACTACGTCGCGAGTCTTGTTACTGAGTCTGAGTCCGTCTGTCCTCCGTCCGTCGGGGGTGAGCTTGCCCTTAGCTGTGACGTCCTTGAGGACAGGCAGTTTGAGCTTGAGTGTCTCGCGACCGCTTTACCTCGTTTCGCGTCCATGCTGCTTTGCCCTGAGGGAGACCCGGATGCACTTGACATCCCCACCCCGCGCTCTTACGGAGAGGCGATCACGGGTGAGTACACCTCTCAGTGGCAGACAGCCATGGATGCAGAGATGGCTTCCTGGAAGTCCACAGGCACCTACGTCGACGAGGTTCCCCCTCCTGGGGCGAACATAGTCGATGGCATGTGGATTTTCAGAGTGAAGCGGCCGCCGGGTTCTCCGCCTGCCTTCAAGGCGCGTTACGTTGCTCGAGGCTTCAGTCAGCGACAGGGGGTCGACTTCTTCCAGACCTTCTCCCCCACCCCGAAGATGACTACTCTTCGGGTGTTGCTGCACGTTGCAGCACAGCGTGACTACAAGCTGCACTCCCTCGACTTCTCCACAGCTTTCTTGCAGGGCAGCCTTCACGAGGAGATCTGGATGCGCCGCCCACCTGGCTTTACAGGGTCGTTTCCAAAGGGTACCCAGTGGAGCCTCCGACGGCCAGTCTACGGTCTACGCCAGGCGCCCCGCGAGAGGCACGACACACTGAGGACGACACTTGCGGCTCTTGGGTTTGCTCCTTCCACTGCTGACCCGTCGCTGTTTCTCCGCACCGACCCTACTCTGCCGCCGTTCTACATCTTCGTGTACGTCAACGACTTGGTCTTTGCTGCTGCCGACACTGAGGCGCTGACCCTTGTGAAGGCGGAGCTGCAGAAGAGACACACTTGCACTGACCTGGGTGAGCTGCGTAGCTATCCTGGCTTGCAGATCACCCGGGACAGAGCACGGTGCACCTCGACGCAGGGAAGGCACGGCGGTGCAGGCGAGCGCGGGAGGGAGGGAAAGGACATGGGAAGCCCAGAGACAAGGAGAGTGCATGCTGCGGAGACGCGGCAGCGAGGGGTGACCTAGGCGGTGGTGCCAGAGGAGAGTCTGGTGAGAGAGTACCCGACACGAGCAAGACGCTGCAAGCTGACCAGACGCAGACACCCGACTCGACGCAGCCACCTGACCTGACTCAGCCACCTGTGCAGACGCAGTGGTCAGTGTGTACAGACTAGACCCAGGCCGTCGAGTGAACGTAGCTAGGTGACGGCCAGTCCATGAGCACGTACAGATCGCCACACGCTGCCCTCCATGAATAAAGGTATCAACCCAGACATCCTGAATGGCAGCGTTGCTCACCAAGTTCGTCGAGAACGTGGGGAGGTGGAGACCTGACAGAGAACCGGAGGGGACTGCTGGACACGGGAGGACAGTGGAGGCTCGTGCGACTACTGTGCCCCCAGTGGGGTCAGCCAGTGAGACTGGTACTGGTGCAGCAAGTGGTGTGAGTGTGGTGCAGTCACGAAAGAAGCAACGTGACGCGCCTGAGTCAAGTGTGAAAGTGTTCAAGGCCTCAGCCGAGGCAGGACCTGTGGCGGTAGACGCACGAGCACCTGCAGCAGACTCACTAGCACCTGGAGCAGCAGCAGACTCACTAGCACCGAGTGCGGCAGCAGACTCACTAGCACCTAGAGCAGCAACCTCTACAGAACCAGTGACACATCGCTGAGAAACCAACTCACTAAGCAGCTGCGGGGAGAAGGTCTCCTGCTGACTCTGCTGCCGCCTCTGTGCAGTACGCAGAAAACCAAAGCCTCCACCACCTGGACGAGCTCGCTGAATAACCCACTCACGAAGCTGCTGAGGGGTGGGGTCGTCCGGGAGAGGCAGTGACCGCTGCTGTCCACCCCTAGCCGCTGCAACTGCCGTGATAGTGGCCATGACAGGCAGTGACGGTCAGTAGTAGGTCCAGCACCTGCAGCACCAGCAGCAGTAGCAGCCGCAGGGCGGCTCGGTGGGGCTGGTGATCGAGGTAGGGCGGCGCGGCTCGGGTTGGGCAGGGCGGCTCGGGCTGGGCGGCGCGGCTCGGCCGGACTGGGCGGTGCGGCTGGGCAAGGCAGGGCGCGCCGCGGGCTGCAGGGCAGGGCGCGCGGTGGACAGGGCAGCAGGGCGCGCGCTGTGCAGGGCAGCAGGGCGCGACGCACGGGGCAGCAGAGCGCGACGCGCAGGCTGCAGTAGGGCGCGACGCGCGGAGCAGCAGAGCGCGACGCGCGGGCTGCAGCAGGGCGCGACGCGCAGGGCAGCAGGGCGCGACGTGCGGGCTGCAGCAGGGCGCGACGCGCGGAGCAGCAGAGCGCGACGCGCGTGCTGCAGCATGGCGGGACGCGCGGGGCAGTAGGGAGCGACGCGCGGGCTGCAGCAGGGCGCGACGCGCAGGACAGTGGGGCGCGCGCTGGGCAGGGCAGCAGGGCGCGACGCGCTGGGCTGCAGGGCAGGGCGGTGCGGCTCGCAAGCTGCAGGGCAGGGCGGCGCGCGGGCCTAAGGGCAGGGCAGCGCGATGCACGGGCTGCAGGGCCGCTGGGCGCGGGCTGCAGGGCAGGGCGGCGCGCGCTGGGCAGGGCAGCAGAGCGCGACTCGCAGGCTGCAGCAGGGCCCGACGTTCGGGGGGCAGGCAGTGCGAGTAGCTGCAGGGCAGCGCGACACTGTGCGAGCAGGGCCAGACAGCGCAAGGGCGCTTCGGGCCGGAACGAGCGGAACTATCGGTGGGCCCTAAAAACTTAACAGGTTTCTTGCTCTGAATACCATGTCAGAATCACTGTGTAGGAATGAATGAACTATGAATGTACTAACAAGTACTAACCCTAAAGTGTTGTACCCCTTGTAAGCTAACCCACTATAGCCTAGAGAGAACACAAACATATAGTTTGACACCTAAGTCCTAGCTAAGTTAGCTTCTCAACAATACGGAATTGTACTACTGATTTGGAGATTCATTCTCTGAAAAGGCTCAGTGTCTTAGGGTTTGTGATTATCCTATATGTGTTTGCATGTCGGAAGCGTGCGTTTCTCCGTTACAGAGAAATCCTGACCGTTTGGCAGCCGAGCCTTCGCTCGACAACGTGTGCTGGCGATTTTGTCGGTGGGCACTTGTAACAAACAGTGGCTAGAGGTGTAACAAATACAGAAAAAAATCGGCCATCGTTAAACGCTGTATATAGAGGAAACGGCAAATATGTATAACAACTTTCAGTTGAATGATTGGTAGTGTAACACCCTGATTGATATGTTTGGTGTGGAGTCATGACATCTCACAAAGGGCTGACCTTGGATTAGGTAGTACGCGCTAAGGGAGTGTACTACTGATTTGGGATATTCATTTCGTCAAAAGGTCTTAGGGTTTGTGAATAACCTATCTGTGTTTGCATGTCGGAAGCGTGTGTTTCTCCGTTGGAGAGAAATTCTGACAGGTTGGCAGCCGAGCCTGCATCCCTCCTACGCTCGACAATGTGTGATGGCCGATTTTGTCGGTGGGCACGTGTCACGATCAGTGGCTAGAGGTCTAACAAATACAGAACAAAATCGGCCATTGTTCAAGGTTGTACAGTTGGAAACGGCACATATGGATACAGTACCAACGTTTAGTTGAATGGTTGGAAGAGGGCCCGGTTGTGGAGGGGGGCGGGTAGTGTGTAACTTTGTGTTCGGTTCTGCTTCAGAAGTGTTCGGTCAGCACTCCCAAGGTTATACTCGCAAACTTTGTAGATCGAATGGGCTAATACAGAACAAATTGTGAAGCCATGCTGACAGGGCACGGTTTCTGAAGCTTTGGAGGTTCGGATCACGGACAGCTGACTCCAAAGCCAAAAGACTGGTTCGGTGAGGGAATATTCCTCCGAGCCTGTCCAGCCTGGCATAAAACGCGTGCAAAAACGATATCCGATTGGGCTTGAATCGCCGAGCCGCACATCTGGCGGCTAGTTATCTGCTTTTGCGATATTCATGGGGATGAAGGCTCGGAGGCAACGTGTGGAAAGGGGACGGCGCGGGTTGTAGTGCGAGAGGTTAGCTTTTGGAAGCTGTTCTGCTCCTGTTGAAAAGCAATGTTGAAAAGCAAGCACATCCAAACTTCGTGAACCCTCATTCAGCCCTGAACCCATACTTGACGCGGAGCAAGTATTTCACGCTAACGTTAGGTCCCTTAGGTCTCTGAGTTTATTCACAACACTTCCATATTCTTGGAGCACCTGCTTCCGAAATGGCTGCTGTCGTCCTCCCTTTACATTCGTACACATGGGTCTTCGTCGTGACAATGCTGTTTGCATTCTTGGACGGCTACTCCATTGGTGAGTTCCTGCCAGTAATACGTTCGAGCCTTGCATGCGTTGTTTCAAAGTCTGACCACTAAACTTCTGTCGTTCTTGGTCTGTTCATCAGGTGCGAATGACGTCGCCAACTCTTTCGCGACGTCAGTGGGCTCGCGATCTATCACTCTGGCGCAGGCTGTTCTCATTGCGATATTCACGGAGTTCGGTGGAGCCATTGCGCTGGGCGCGACCACAACGAAGACTGTGAAGGATGGCATCATAAAGACGACAAACTTCAGCTCGCGTCCAGATCTGCTGATGTCGGGCTTCATGTGTGCCCTGGTGTCATCCTCGACGTGGGTCATGTTCGCAACGTACATGGGCTGGCCCGTCTCAACCACACACTCGATCATCGGAGCACTCATCGGCATAGGCATCAGCGGCTACGGCTTCGATTCTGTTAACTGGGGTTGGGATGGGAAGGGTGTTGCGCAGATCGTGACTTCGTGGTTCGTGTCTCCGCTCCTTGCGGGTCTCATTGCGGCTGTGATCTATCTAATCACACTGTATGTGGTCATGAAGAGCAAGAACTCCCTCAAGAGGGGTATTTGGGCCATTCCCATCTATTTCACCATAACGACTTTCATAGTCTCCTTCTATGTTGTGTCGAAGAATGGACAGACCACCTTGTCAATCTCGGCCAAGTCGACGGGTGGTAGCCTTCAAGTCACGGGAAATGTCGGTCTGGCGTTCGGCATCATTGGAGCCATCACCGGTGCAATGTTGATATTCTGTGTTGGCTTCCTGGTGCCGTACTTCATCCGCCGGCTGCAGAACGAGGAGTCGCTCAAGTGGTACCACATCTTCATCATCCACTGCACGCCCACGCAGCCTCAAGACCCCAAGATCGACTTGTGGCTCAAGCGCGCGTTCACGCCGCATCTGCTGCAGGACGACGAGAAGCGCGAGCTGGGCATGGAGGTGGAGGACGCCGAGGACGGCACCAAGGACGAGCTGGCAAGGCCGCCGTCGAAGAACCTGGTCGTGCGCGCGTTGAACAAGGTGAAGACGCTGCTGTACCGTTCCATCTTCATGGACGTGGCCTCGGTGCAGAAGGACAGCCACGGCGCCGTGCAGGCGCAGGAGGTGGCAGTGGTGTACGACAACAAGACGGAGTACCTCTACTCGCTGCTCCAAGTCGTCACAGCGTCCTTCGCCTCCTTCTCCCACGGCTCCAACGATGTAGCCAATGCCCTCGGCCCCCTGGCCGGCGTTTATCAGATCTGGAACGACGGCAGCTTCAGCACCACAGCCGAAGTACCCCGGTGGATGCTCGCGTACTCTGGCATTGCGATTGACTTCGGCCTCGCTCTCTGTAAGTGACCAGGTCTCTTATGCTTGTCGTCCTGCTGAGTCCTAAAGCCACGAGTATCTCATCCAGGCCCATCTGATCCCCCATCTGAGTCCTAAAGCCACTGCTTGGAATGTGCCTGGCTATGTCGCAGATGGTTACAACATCATGCGCAACCTTGGTAACAACCTCACGTACCAGTCACCCTCTCGCGGATTCTGCATGGAGCTCGGGGCAGCCCTTTCTGTCATCACGGCCTCGTTCCTGGCGTTGCCAGTCTCCACCACACAATGCATCGTCGGCGCGACTGTGGCTGTCGGCCTGTGCCACGGCAATTGGCGTGCCATTAACTGGTCAATGGTGGCTGTAGCGGGTTTCGGATGGCTGCTTACATTACCCTTGGCGGCAACAGTTGCTGGGCTCCTGTTTGCCCTCCTCACCCGAGGCCCCAGCTTCACTCTGCCACCTGGGATGAGCTAGATTTTAAAGCAGCTGTAGTTACATAGTAGCCCTCTTTACTGATTTCACAAGTCTAAATCAAATTATTGTTGGAAGTAAATTAGTGTTTTACAGATTCATTCCAACTACTATTTACTTACTATTCTGCAAGGTTGTGCAGAGCTTTGGATGCTGTACATTTGAGCATGGAGAATGTGTAGGTGGATGCTGAGCCCATCAGAAAGAACTAGAAATACAGAACATTTCTGAATGTAGACCTTAAAGCTCCAGTATACATTTGTCAGCGGGGTTTAGGGCTTGTATAGTGTGCCTCACAGGTTTGGGACAACTTTTCAAGTGCCTAAGGAATTTGAACCCCTCCTTTCAAATGTATACCGGTACGGCATGCTCCATCTGAAACAGCTGTCGCCTGAATCTTCAAATCAGCATTCTGACAAGGAGCAGCTCCTGGAATGTGCTTGGAACCACTTTATGTCTTGACCATATACTTGACCATTGCTCCTCGCACCTTCTCCATGAATTCGACTGCCTCCTTCTACACAGTGCACAGAATTGGGGCAATGCGAGGCAACTTGATTGTAATGCGGCACAACCAGGGGGATACATGGTACCGGTATGACTATTACCAATATTGCAGCTCCTGATAATGTCTTAAAGCAAGGGTGCACTTTGGGGGGGGTGGAGGCAAAGGTTTATCACTTGCCTCACCTTCCGTCGTCTGTTCCCCCAACCCAACTCGCGGACGAATTATTTTTGTGTTCGCCAGCACATTCTCCAACCCTCGCTCTAGTGTTTCATATGGTTGGACTCTTCGCCAACCATTCACAGCACCCCAAGGGGTGTACCAAACAAATACACCCGAAACCCACCCCTAGGAATGTGCACCCTTGCTTTAAGGAAGTTGTGTTAATTAAAACGAAAAATTGTGGAAGGTAGGAGAAAAGGTAGGAAGGCAGGAAGGAAGGATAGAATCAATGGAAAAAAGAGGAAAACTCGAAGGCCAGGAGCAAGGGGAAGCAGCAGGGTAAGGACAGAGGGTAGGAAACGCAGGACGGACAGACAAGAGTGGAGGGAGAGAAACGGGAAGTAGGGATGGGAGCAACAGACAAAAGAGAGAGAAGAGAAATGGGAGTGAAGCAGGGGAAGGAACGGAATAAAGTGATTGCAAATGCATTCAGTGCTTCAATAGCTAGAGTTCAGACACCAGCATTTGGACGCTAGACACTTGATCAGCAACTGGGAAATCACTTGTTTGGGCAGGCAAAAAATCAGAGGATGTAAGGGGGAAAGGGTGTTGGAGGGTGGTGAACACTTCTCCTACTTTGGAAATTAGTTAATGAACGGCGACAACGCTACCATGCCGTGCTCAACAATGGACCTAGGGTCGGCATTAGGTGTTGCCATTGAATGGCGCGGCTCTAGAGTTGAGTCACAACTTTCAGCTCGCGTAGGTAGAAATGCGGCAGAAATTGGTTGGGAATGTGCAACTGGAACCAAAGCTGCGGCAGGATTTCGAAAAGGGAGGGGTTGCAAAAACTTGCACATACGTTGACAGGTTGAGAAGAGTGGTTAAGATTTTCAGCTGTAGAGGGATCGAGTTGGGCGAGGGGATATAATCATGGCGAAGGCTGTTTTGGGGCGAAACAACCAACCACACGACTTGCCCGAATATAAGTCAGTAGTATTTTGTGTACTAATGTGAAATCATGTATTAAAAATATACATATATATTCGTTTGTGCGTGGGCCAAGCATTTGCGTTCTCACAAATGGTTGGGGCGATTGAGTTTGACAACCAAACACTCGCCTAGGAATGCGATCGCAATCAGTCAGGTGCAAAAAAGAGGGGAAGGAGAGAGAGATGGGAGGAAAGGAAGTAAGCGGAGAGGGAGGGATAGAAGAGAGGGAAGGGGGAGAGAGACAGATGGGAGCAATGGAGGGAGGGTAGGTCGGAAGCGAGGGGAGGTAGGGAGGAAAGGGAGAGGGAGGAGAGATGGTGACCTGGTTGGCAGCAGTGGCAGCAGCAATGTTTTCATCCAGCAGAGTGAGCAGGTCCCTGTCGAGCTCGTTGCTGCCTGCCATGGCCAGCAGCTCAGCCCGCTTGTCCTTGGCTGACAGCAGGCGGTGTAGGCGCTCCCTTGCACCCGTCATTGCCTTCTCCAGGGCGTCATACGCCGCTGACGCAGAGGGGGGGCGAGCAGGCAGAAGTGGATGCACACAGTAAACATCAATGAGATGCCAAGGGAGATACCAGATACGAACGAACCATGTCACATATTGCCCCTCACCTATTTCTCTCACCTAAACCCTTGTCACAAATACCGCTCTAATCCCCCGGCCTCACCGATTCCCTCCTGCAGAACCGTCTCCAGTGCCTCCAGCTCTGCCAGCCTGTCGGCGTCATCAGCAGTGGGGCGTGCAGCGAAGCGCAGCTGCCCCATGGCCGTGCGCAGCGACGTGAAGAAGGCGGGCGTGAGGCGCGGGCGGCAGCGCGCAATCTCGGCCTCCATGTCAGGCACCTCCGTGGAGAGAAAGAACTCTATCAGCCCGTCGTCCGTGTCCGGTACCACTCGGCTCTGCACAGGTGCAGTGCAGTCACACCAGGTGGCATGGCACGGCAAGCAGGGAGATGCGGACACACAGGCAAGGCAAGAGGAGGGGGAGGGGCGCAGGAGCAATAGATGGGATAATGCATAGTTTGAGGCACACACAAACAGTGAGTGAAATATGAACCAAGCATAGGTGAAAATAGATGAGTGAAAAGCCAAAGGTTGTGACTTTGGTGACTACTCATTGCCTCAGCTTGCAGGGAGTGCTTCCTGCGCAAAGGACTGCTTGTCAGCCATTGATTGTACTCATGGTCGCGAAAGAGAAGAAATGGAGAAAACGAAAGAAAGCGAGGGAGAGAGAGGGAGAGAAGGGGAGAGAGAGAGAGAGGGAGAGAGGGAGAGAGAGAGAGAGGGGGAGAGAGGGAGAGAGAGATAGAGAGGGAGGGAGGGAGGGAGGGAAGGAGGGAGGGAGGGAGGGAGGGAGGGAGGGAGGGAGGGAGGGAGGGAGGGAGGGAGGGAGGGAGGGAGGGAGAGAGAGAGAGAAGGGTTGGGGGTGAAGAGCGGGTTGAGGGAATTTTAAGAAACGCACGGCGCGCGCTTCCCTTCTCCTGGCGGCCTCTTGTTTAGCCACGGCTTCCCGCTTGGCCCTCTCCGCCTCCTCGTCCACCATCTGGTGCTGCTGCTTGCGCCGTGCGATGTGCCCTGGCTGCGGCGCCGCCAGTATGCCCTCCGGGTCCTGCCGTGGCGCCCAGGGGAACAGCGGAGGGGCACAAGGGAGCGGAGGGGCACAAGGGAGCGGAGGGGCACAAGGGAGCGGAGGGGCACAAGGGAGCGGAGGGGCACAAGGGAGCGGAGGGGGGGAAGGGAGTGGAAAGGGAGAAGCGAGCGGAGAGAGGTGCTCAAGTGCGCCCTTGAGAGCGGCCCGCCGGAGAGACGCATGCACTTATTGGGCTTAATGCGTGTGCATGAGCGTGTGGGGATGTGCGTTTATATGCGAGTGCGAACGAGGAATGGGGGACATATGCAAATAAATATATCGGAAACAACATGTATGTATATTTGTGAGTGTGTGCGGAGTTTGAAGGAGCGCGCACCCAACCAACGGCCACGACGTGGAGCGACGGAGAGCGGCGGGTTCGTGGGCGATCAGCGCGAGGTAGGCCGAGCGGCTGAATGGACGGCAGGCGCAGGTGGCAACGCGAGCCGCAGGCACTGCGATGATGTGGCATCCAAGATAGGCAGGAATGGAATTAAACTCGTTAGTATTGAGAGGTTGACAATGGCCGATGTTGCAGGTAGGGCGAACGGAGGAAGTAGGTAAGGGGTTGGGCGGGAGTGGGTTGAAAGAGAAAACAAATGAAGGAACGAGAGCCAAAAATGAAAGACCAAGGGCAGGATCTGAAGCCATGGCGGATATTCATCGCAGCAGTTTCATCTCCATTGATAACGACGGTCCCCTCATATTACACCTCCTGCCATCGCCACTTTTCATCCACTCGCTGTTGCTCGACGAGTCCGTGCGGCCACCCGTGGAAGTGCGACGAATGCGCGAGCCGTGAGCGCAATGCGAGCAGCGCGCGTACCTCAGTCGCGATGGAGCAGGCCATGGCGATGCTGCGGACGCCTGAACAAGAGCCGGGGAGGGACGCACAGATTGGCACCACATGCTGGCGAGATTTCGGAGCTAGCGAATCTGGGGATAAAGCGGTCTTAACGCTTGGGGCTGAATTGACGGTTCGTGTCGCGCCTCCCAAACGAGTCTGTCAGGACGTGAATTAGGTTAGTATGTATCCACCAGCAGAACCTAATCGTTGTCGGCTTGTCCGTTGAGATTTACGGGCCCGAAGCTCAACAACTTCGACAAAGAACGCGCTGTATGGGTCAGGCAAAACCCATGAGCCGAACCTTTCCCGCAGTGCCCAGTGGCCACACCACCATTTTTTTTTTTTCGCAACCCTTTACGATCGATTTTGACAAATTTTCTTTTCATGTTTTTTTTATTAAACATGAAAAAAAAATCGTAAGCTACAGTACCACCCTTCCCATTGTGCATATATTAAACTCATTTTTTTATTGTAGTAGTTTTTTGCTTATATGCTATATCTTTTACTGCTTACTGTTGTTGTGATAATTGCATGTAATAAATGTTACGAATATGAGTAATGAAATACATACCACGCATGCTTAAATGATTGTAATGCGGCAAGATATATAGATGCATAATACTGATACATGGATGAAAATGCTTTTCCATGAAGCGAAATGCTGAAATGCAGCATACTGTATATAATACAAATGCGTGATAGTTAACGACCCAAAAACTAGGCTACCGCATCCCCTGCCTAGCATGGGGGGGAAGTCAATAGCAAAGTCTTTGAATAATCAACTAACACATGAAAAAATGAAATCTGTTAACTCCAAAAAAAAGGTTCACACTATCAAATCCAGTTCGAAGTGGCAAACACACGAGTCACTGAGTGCGCCAATTAACCAATGAGAAATGATAGAAATGAACCCCCTTTTTAAAATTGACAGACATGCATTGATATTGCAATGATCGATGAGATGAATGCACTCACACAATCAAACACATTCACACAATCAAAAGCACAAACAGCAGCAAACCCAGCCAAAACACGCGATAATAAATAACATGCAAATCAACGTTAAATGGACAATATGACAAGATAAATCCTGAAGTGACCAATAGACATTTTCCAGATTCAAATCGCCTTCCTGAGCAGCAAGACTCCTGAGAAACGGGTTTAGGATGTAGAAAGGAGGAACGAAAGAAATAGTCGGTACAAAAAAAACAGAAAAGGGTATGAGGTGTGATGAAATGACGAGATGCAGGAACCAAGAAATGAATGAAACAATACAAGGGCTAAGAAAAACGCCGTGAGCATTGAAAGGTTAGAGCCGACAAATAGAAAGGATGTACCGAGGCATAAAACGAAAGTAAGGAACGGGAACAGAGGGAAAAACACATAACGAGACAGTAAACGAAACAAGAGATAAAACGAATACGGAGAGCGAGAACAACAGAGAGCGAGAGCGAGAGGACGAGAGAGAGAGGACGAGAGAGCGAGGACGAACGAGAGAGAACGAACGAGGGAGAGAGACCAATGTGGTGTTCTAAAACGTAGATAAAATGTTGCTTCAGACATGAACAAATGACCATTTACGAAGTGCTTTTCCAAGATATAGAGATATTTGTTCGTTAACTATAGAATGCATACTACCTAGTATTTAGAAGACCCACTTAACAAGCTGAAGTTGTGGAACTTAAAATGGAAGGAACAAGTGCAGGCTAATAAAGAAAAGATAGCCATGGAAGAAAACAAATCCGTACCAGGAGAAACGAATAGTGGCAGGGAACTAGGTGCAAGAGAAGTTAATGGCTAACGAATAAGACTAACGTTAAGATGAAGATGGAAAGAAATGGACAGCTAAGGAGTTATGAAGGTGAGGCCAAAAAACACTTCTACAAAAAAACGAGAAAGAGAAGGGGCAAGCGAATACTAGTACAAACTTCTCTTTTACTCTCTTTCCACACTCATTCTCTCCTCTACTCTCTTCCCCACTCCATCACTAATTCTATTTCTTTCCCACGCTCTTCTCTCACCAATTCTGCCGACTTTGTTGCTGCAGCAGCCGCGGATAGCACGCCTGGAGATGGAGAGCGTGGTGTTGTCGCCGCGGATAGCGCGCCTGGCACGAGCAAAAAGTCGCCAGCATGCCAAGCACTAACAGAACGACGACAGTGGAAGGATAAAACAGGGGAAACGAAAGAGAGACACAAACGGAGGGAAACGGTGAAGAGAGATAAGAATAGCGGATTAAGATAGAAGCGAAGGAGAAGAAAAGACGGAAACCTGAATAGGCGACAGAACAGAGGTAACAAAAACAAAGGCAAGATAACAAAACAGAAAGTTGGAAAGGTCTTAAAGAACTAACCAAGGGAGATCAGGAACGGGAGAAACAAAAGAGAGAAAAATCTTGATGTAGATCTACTAGTGCATAGACAAATAGAAAGAACCGTGGCAGGTGAGAGTAGCGTGAAGAAAGGAGAGAGATTCAGAGGAAGGAAAAACGAAATCTCGAAACCTAACCACGATTTCGTCGACCTAAACCGAAGAGATGACGAAAACCGAGTCTAGCTAATAATCATCTAGTTAGTTCTAGTTAATAGCTTCTATCTTCCTCACCTTGAAGTGGTAGGTAGAGCTTGAACAGCGAGAGGGTATCAAGCAAACTCCACCAGCGAGGAGGCAAGGCTTCACTCGCGAGAGGAAGAGAGGAAAATAAAAACGAAACCCTAGATCTGTTCACGCGCAAAAGTATTTGCCCTTAAACATAAAACCAAACTTTTGCTCGCTACATGTAGCGCAGTCGATGGAAGGTGAGTATTGCGATCGGAAGGTTCTAGGTTCGATTCTTCGTGTGACAATTTTACCAACTACAACTGAAGAAGATTTCCTTTAGAAGGAGTCTAGCGTTTCATATAAGATGAAAACCAAACCAAATTCTAAAAATGGCAAAACAACTTCGCAACCCTAAGACGATTTCGTCGCCTCTTGTTTTTTTTTTTTTTTTTAATAGTGAAAGCTTATACCAGGAGTGTACAAGCAAAACACTTCAGTCGTAACTGAGTGGCCACACCACCATGTCCTAGGGAGGTTTCCGAAATGAACCAAGTAGCTTTCAGAGTTGAAACCTCTTTAGCCGTAAAAACTGCACTACACCGTACTCCACTGTTGAATTATATTGCATATCCTAACTGCCTACAGCTTGCTAGTGTATTAGTTAGTTATTAGGTTCAACTGCTGGTGGTGTACCCTATCCTCTCCCCTATCCTATATCTTGTAAACATTCCTTAGTGAATCCCCTCTTTGCCCAATTCTCTTGCCATGCTCACTCTCGACACTCACGCTTCCTAGGTAAACCCTAAGTTACTAAGTCAAGAGTTAAGAGCGTGTTCTGACATGATATCAGAGAGTGGTCCCTCCTAGGACCTCGTTTTCATGGGCCCACCAAACCTGCGATCTGCCATGGCGACTTATTGTGCTGCTGGCATGGCTGCTACTGCTAGTAGCGCGAAATCCGCTGCTGGCTCGAACTCCGCTGCTTTTGCAGCACCCGTCGCGCTGCCCCCTTTCGCCTGCCCCGTCGCGCTCTGCCAGTGGCGAGCGTGCCAGCGAGGCGACGGCGGGCGCCAGCGCAAGCGCCAACGGCGGGCGCCAGCGCCAGCGCCAACGGCGGGCGCCACCGCCAGCGCCAACGGCGGTCGCAAGCGCCAGCGCGGACGCCAGCGCCGACGGCGGGCGCTAGCGCAAGCGCCAACGGTGGGCGCCAGCGCCAGCGCGACGCCAGCGCCCAGCGCCAGCACTTCCGCCAGCGCCAGCGCATGGGGGGGAGGGGGATGAGGGGGTGGCGGGAAAGCTTCTGCCGCGCCAGCCACCTCCTCTCCTCTCCTCTCCTCTCCTCTCCTCTCCTCCTCCTCTTCTCCTCTCCTCTCCTCTCCTCTCCTCTTCTCCTCCAGCCGCATCTCCTCCTCTCTCCTCTCCTCTCCTTCTGCCGCATCTCCTCCTCCAGTCTCCTCTCCTATAGCCGCATCTCCTCCTCCTCTCTCCTCTCCAGCCGCATCTCCTCTGCTCTCCTCCTGTGCACCACCACCAGCTTCCTCCTCCTCACCAACAGTTGTGTTTGCTCGTAGATGGCGAGCGACCAGCATCCTTCGCCCTCCTGCTATCCCAGCCCTCCTCCGCGCTCTCCGCGCCCTCCTCCGTTCTGGCGTTCACAGGTGCTGCCGCTCAGCCACCGCTGTTTCTGTGCCTATCTCAGCTACAGCAACCGCTCTCCAGGCGACCTGGTGCCAGACACCACTAGCTATAGCCGTAGGCAGTTACGGGGGTGTGTTGAATTATATTGCATATCCTAACTGCCTACAGCTTGCTAGTGTATTAGTTAGTTATTAGGTTCAACTGCTGGTGGTGTACCCTATCCTCTCCCCTATCCTATATCTTGTAAACATTCCTTAATGAATCCCCTCTTTGCCCAATTCTCTTGCCATGCTCACTCTCGACACTCACGCTTCCTAGGTAAACCCTAAGTTACTAAGTCAAGAGTTAAGAGCGTGTTCTGACATCCACTCCCAACTTCAACCCTTCTGACTGTACAACAAGGGAATCTTCTTTTGGCGCGGAGGGGCTGGTAAGGATTCGATCATTTGATGCACGAAAATTTGTTGCTGTGGAACGGGCCTGTCAGCACCACCCACGTGGACAAGCGAACCACACAAACGGCTGTTTTCAGTGCGGGCAGTTCCCCATCGGGCAGTGGGCAGTGCACTTGAGCAGGCTTTCCTTCCACACGACTTCGACAAACTCGTCTCGTCTGCCAGCCGCACCTTCATTCATGGGAAATTATACGCGCAATCAAGTTTGCCCGTTTTATCACGTTTGGTTACAAGGGCATTACGAACAGTCACAGTACAGTAGATTTCTATCGCGGGTTATCACAGTGCTATCACGGATGGTCACACCTCGCCCCGAAAAGCTATCACGTTTGGTCACTCGATGAAACGATCATAATTAATTTGAAACCACAAATGCAACTGTAGAGATTTTCGGGAATCCCAATCTTGATTGCTTGTTACCTCGCGCATGATTCTAGCCTGACATTTAGGGGACTGAAGAAAAAAAATCAACCCCTATAGGATGGCACGTCCTTCGGGAGGCATCAACCCTAAACACCATGCGACAAGGTGTTTCGGGTTGATGAATCCCGAATTAAATCCCCTCCGAATGAGTTTTCGTTTTTTTTTTTCTTGGGAACAGAAAAGATCCTTCGAGTTTCACCCGTCTAAAAGTGATATTCTTAGGGACATTATGCATCAATCGAACAGTGGACAATCGAATAGTAGCAAGAAATTGCAGTTGTTTTTAACGAGTAACGAGAGTTGTCGCGAAATATTTCGTGAGCGAGAGAACTTTCCTTGAATCCCTACAGTGACTTGAGTAGTTTCAACTTTCTATCCATCGTTTCAACGAGTGACCAAACCTGATAGCTTTTCGGGGCGAGGTGTGACCATCCGTGATAGCACTGTGATCACCCGCGATAGAAGTCTACTGTACTGTGACTGTTCGTGATACCCCTGTGATCAAACGTGATAAAACGGGCAAATTGTGACTTTCTGTATAATTTCCCTTCATTCATCCACAGCCGTTCCTATCCCACCACACGTCTGTTCGCGGTCAACAGTGCCCGTTCTGTTCACCACACTCACCTGTACTCGTTTGCCGCCGTCCGTTGCTCGTTTGACCTCCTTCTCCGCCCCGTTCCTTCACCTGACATCTTCCACGCGAGGTCTGCGTGAACTCTGTCCGAGGGGAACGCAGCGCAACCGGCTTTTGCGCACGCGCAGCAGAGCTGTGCGTTTGTCGTTCTAACAGCGCGCAAGCGACGGGCGACTGTCGTCGTGCTGTCAGTTAGGATAGCTCCGGAGGAACAGCGTCTGTTTCCGACGTGTCGTCTTATCCGGCAAACCGTGGCATGGGTTCGGGTAGTCACGGGCAGGTGCCGCGCCCAGGTAACGAACTCCAGGGCAGGGACAGAACAAGCAGACGCAGCGCGAATGGCGTCAATCGCAGATTGTCGGACTCGGATGTTTGCGCGCCAGTTGAGAGGCCGCGGCGCGAGCGGTGGTGGCCGCTGAGGCCAAAAGCGCGCACGCTGACGGCGGACCAGCTGGGTTTCGCTATCGACGTCTTTCAAAATAGCTTCTGGGTGCTTTCCTGCTCGCTCAAAGGTAGTTCTTGGTGGTTCGATTAACGTCCCTCATCCCCACTGCCCCCCTGCCTCCTCTCCTCCCCGCATCTCTACCTCTCTTCCTCCGTTCGAAGCTTCTCTCATGGCCTCCCTCCCTCCCTGCCTCTCCCCTTCGCGCGCAGACCTAAGCGGCACGAAGCCCTATCACCACTTCTTTTCCGTCGTCACCGGCTTTCCCCCCATCGACGGCCCCCCGGGCGCCTTCAACCGCGCGAAGCGCGCGCGCGCGCCGACAGAGTACGAGCTGCCGGCGGACTGGGTGGACGCGCTCACGCTCAGCTGCGTCGCCACCAAGAAGAACCGCGCCGACGTGTCCCTCGAGCTCTCCGCGGCGCCCTGCCGCGCGTGGTTCGTGCCCGCGCAGGGCTCCTTCCCCGCGGCGCACTGCATCCAGTTCCGCGGCCGCCTCCACCAGGCAGGCTCGGCCGCCGCCGCAGCGGGGGAAGAGCGGGAGGGCGTGGGGGCAGACGAACAGCAGCCGCAGCAGCAGCAGCAGCAGCAGCAGCAGCAGCAGCAGCAGCAGCAGCAGGGGTTTTCAGAGGAGTTCGTGTCTACACTGGAGGCGCGGGAGCGGTTCGGGTCGGTTCCAGCGGACAACCAGTGGCACGTGGTGAAGCTGTCCGCGCAGCTTGGGGGCGGCGCGGGCGCTAGAGGGGGGGAGGCGCGGGGGAGAGCAGCATGGGGCTGAGCAGCAGGTGGGGCGGAGGAGGGGAGTATAGCGGGTCGACAGGCAGCGTGGATATGCAGGGATCCAGTGGGCAGGCGTCACACCGACGCAGCGCTTCAGCGCTGTTGCCGTGGTCTTTCTCAGGCAGTGGCAGTGGCAGTGGCCGATGGGGCAGAAGCACGAGCATTTCAGAAAGGGGGTGAGGGGGAGCATGGGGAGGAGGCATGGAGCAAGGAGGTGAGGGGCTGTTGTTGGAGGTGGGGAGTGCTAGTCAGAAGGGCGCAGAGGAGAGAGGTGCTGAAAGGATCGTGTCTTTGGCAAGGTTGCTTCATGCTGATGTGGCCCGGACTGTAAAGTGGAGTGCACAGGTATGGGAGTGGAAGCACTGGTGCTGCAGAGTCAAGGCTTGGCTGGCCATGCATGGCACCCAAGGGTTGGTAGCTCACAGCTCGGTTGCTCGCAGCACGTGTGTGGAATAGTGGACGCCCTTGTGGGGATCACACTTGCTGTGATCGCTGCATGCAGGCTTCCTGTTTTGCTTGCATCCGTCCAAAGAGACGCATCGTTTGTATTATCATGGTACCTATATGGGCCTTACTGCTGGTCGGGAAGGTAGCTGCCCCTATTATGCACGCCTGCTGCCGTTTCTGGTGTTTGTTTTTGTTTTTAGTTTTGTTTTTGGGATGGTATAGGTTTGCTTTTGAGGGATTTCCCCAATCCCAGGGATACTTTTCAACTGTTGCTACTGTATGTGGATATTTATATGACCTCCTGTATGTGCTACAGATACGTCGGTGGTGGGTAAAGAGTGATTGCAGGCTCCTGCAAACACCAGCGTCCAGACTCCACAATCTGTCTTATGGATGGCAGAAGTACAGAACAGAGTACATATGCATGTGCAGACTGCTTCTATAACCAGCATCGAGCTCATACATGAGCGCACATATGTTATATGTATGTTACACATACGGTACCGTAGAAACCTATGATACAGAGGGAGGGGCTTAGCCTCCTCACTACCCTGCCTACGTTACCCTGTATCCTTGAAACGGGAAGAGAAGCGTATGGTATCAACACTTTGAATGGCTTGATGGAGGTCTCCAGTGCCACGTGCTGTGTAGTGCAGCTGCGCCCATCCAGCTTCGCAAAGAACAGCGTTTCTGTGAAGCAGGTATTGAGGTGGAGACCAGCAGGTTGCTCCTGCTTCCCACCGCCTTGCTCTCAGCACTGCCCTGTTTCCCTCAGCCAGTCACAGCACAGCACCTGTTCGGCTGTGGCCCGCCACCTGGGCTCCACCGTCAGCATCTGCAGCACCGCCTGCCGCGCTGCCCCTGACACTCCCGCCCAGTATTTCTCTGAGAACACCACGTGGCCTGCACACGCCTTTCTCCGCGTTTCGTCCTCTGTGCGCCCGAAGAAAGGGAGGCGGCCGGACAGCAGCACGTGGAGCACCACGCCCAGCGACCACATGTCCGCCTCCCGCCCGTACAACCGCCCGCGCGCCACTTCCGGCGCCATGTAGAACGCCGTGCCCGCCACTCCGCGGATCTGCGCGGACGGCGCGGGGAGGCAGACGGCGAGGCCGAAATCCGCGAGCTTTACGCTCCAGTGGCATGGGGTTCTCGCGCCGCCACGACTGCTCGGCCTACTGCATCCGCCATTGCTGCAAGCACTTTCGGCGCAACTGCCGCCGCTCGGGCAGGAGGGGACCCTGGGGCTGCCGCTGGCGCTAGCGCTGGTGCTGCCGCTCTCGCTGCTCGAGCAACTGCTATCTTCGCTTCTCCTCCGTCCTCTCTCTGCGCAATCCTCGCGCGCTGTGTCGCCGCTGTTGCTGGAAACACCGCTGATCGCGTCTATTCCCGTTCGACTGCAACTCTGGCAGTCAGCAGTGGCCACGCAGCTAGTATTGCTGCAACACAGCAGCACGTTCTCGGGCTTTAAGTCGCGGTGAATCACTCCTATATTGTGAAGCCCTGCTACTGTCGTCAGCAGCTGCCTGATGACGTCAGCCGCCTCGTGCTCAGGTAGCCGTTGGCGCGACTTGATTAGGGCCGAGAGCGACCCGGCATTACATCGCTCCATGACGAGATGCACGTGATCCCGCGATTCCCGCACATCTAGCAGCCGCACCACGCCACTCACTTCACTGCGGGAGACGAGCCGCATGATTGCCACCTCCTGGCGGAGGTCATCCGCGAAATCTGGATTGTCGAGTGCTAGCACCCGCTTCGATATTGTCTTCACGGCGACCTCGCCGCCTGTTGCGGATTCGCGGCACACGCGAACCGTGCCGAAGGCGCCGCGACCGAGCGTGTGGCCTGTGGGGACGTATCTGGATAGGGGCTCGCCGGGATGCGCGGGGAAAATGAGGGCTGCAGGGGAGCTGCAGTCGCTGGACGAACACGACTGGCTGCAGAGATCGAACGGCAGGCAAAGGCTCAGGCTGCTCCGACTGTGACGTGGTGTCAGGTGGCCCTCTGCGTCGCACTCGTCACAAAACGCATCCGCTCTCTTCTCGCTTAACACATGAGTCGGTGAACCAAAGCTGGGCGAAGGACTCTCCGTATTGATTTTTCTCTGTAGGCGGGCAATGGTGCCTGTAGCGCGCCGAGCCGGACTAACCGAACCCGGCACCTCATTAGAAGCGTCGCTGTCAGATGCACAGACGAGGTCATGGTGTAAGCCACCTGCACATAGACCTTCTAAGACAATGCGGCTCCTGGGAAGCGCCGCAGACCGCAAGGACGCAGCGCGAGAGGCGCGTGACCTTTCTAGACGGCTTTTTGCTACCTCGCTTTCTGACTTCTGCCGCCCTAAGTCGCGAATGCGGGGAGGATGGGCTGGCGAGTGATCACTATAGGCGGACGACGACAACGACGACGACGACGATGAGCTACTTCGTCGCAATCTGCTTTTAACGTTGCCCATGTTAACTCTGCATGGTAAGGTAAGTACGTGGAAATACTACTTTCCAGTTGTGAGCGCCGAGGTGGAAGGCCACGAGGTGGAAGATAGAGTTCTGACGCCGTGACCATCAAATTCAGCTCGTGCTTGGAGAACCGCCGTGTGTGGCGCTCGTTTGAGTTCTGGTCACAAATGACTGATACAAAAACGGGTTCAGTCAATAGATAAGCGGGGAGCTTGATATTTGAGCAATGCTATACTACCAAGCCAAGGTGAAGGGGATGGTCGGTGGTGGGTGGGTGGGCTGGATGGACTGGTGTGGGAAAAGAGTGAGCAGCATTGAGCGACACAGCACGGCGCAGATGGAGGTGGTCTTGGATCCTTGGCACGACTCAGCTCAGCTGTTTCGTTGGATCACTCCCACGAATTGGTGAACATCTCGCTCGCGTCGCGCTCGCCAGGAGAAGAGCTGGCAGAACAAGCGGGAGGCTGGTGATTTGAAAAAGTACAGTGCATGGTGAGAGTGAACCCACTCGATTTTGTTCGAAAGGAAGGGGGAGTACGGGCGTTCACAAGTACTATTTTCCCAATAACTTTTCCCGTTCTGCTTGGTTCCTGCTACCAGTCATTATAAACGCACCACTCTAAAATGCGTTGCTTCAAGGAACCAGAGTTCAGGGTTCGACAAAACAAAATCCTGCGAGTGCTGACGGAATTCGTTTCCGGCTGACCTGTTGCAGGCGGGTTTGGCACCCTAAGCTAACATCTGCGATCCGGCTTCCGCGCCGCAGGTGAAGGGGCTAGGAGAAGCCAATGACGGCGAGATGACACTAACGAGCAGCTTATCACACCGTATCACGTAACGATAGTTTCTGTGCGGAGCGGGTCGACCGGAGCACACACTGTACACAAACACGGTTGGTACCTCGACCTTCCTCCATACAAGGTTTCACGCAAAGCTGTCTGCACAAGAAAACAGTACAGAAACACCAGCCGTTGTGCCTATATTTATTGCAATAAACAAAATATCCATTTTCTGTTGTCCTTAATTCTCCTATTGGGATGCTCGGCGAGGAAACATTCTCAAAGCGTTAAATCAACTTAAAGAATTGAGCTGCTTTGTAATGTAACAGCACATTGTACAAGTCAAGTCATCATGAAGCCACTTGTCCTCGAAACCGTTGTGCCCAAACAATGCTAGGCCCTTCGGCCCTGCATTGCCGATTGGTCCACCCCTCGCCGTCCTCCATGTCCTTCTAACCGGGCCCTCCGTGCAGCAGCAGCTGCTGCTGAAACCACTTCTCTCGCAGCAGCCCGCACCTCTGCCTCCTCCTTCTGTGCCTTGGCATCTGGCTGGGCATACAGCGAAGCGTACACGACACGGGTGCGCATAATAAGGATGAGGTTCAGGCACACCCCGAGTAGGCACACAGCAGCCATGATGAAGAAGGTGAGGCGGAAGCAGTGCGCGCCGTAGCACTCCTCGACCTTGTCTGACACCACCGCCCACTCCGCCACATGCAATCCGCCGCTGCTGCCCACACTGCTCATGCTGTGCGTCATGACGTCGCCGCCACTGCTGCTGCTGATGGCACTGCTGCTATTGCTATGTGTCAAAATCTCAGATGTTGCACGCAAGGCGCGTCGGGCCAGAGAGTCCGAAGCAGGCAAGGCACCACCAGCCACTGCCAACCCTGCCACTCCTCCTGCCCCCCCAGCACCAGCCGCCGCACCCACCCCACTCCACGACCAAGCCCCACCACCCCCCCACCATCCCCCGACCCCGCCACCCCTGCCCCCGCCATGATCCTTCTCCGCCTCCCTATCATACAAATACCCCGCGATCATTCCAGAAAAGACGAACGAGCCCATGGGGCAGGCGGCAGTGAGCGTGTTGTAGAGCATGCCGAAGTGCTTGAGGCCGAAGATCTCACTGGCCGTGGCGGGCATGATGGACCAGTGCACCCCGTAGCACAGCCCCACTATCACCGACCCCAGGTGCAGGGAGGAGGGGAAGGCGAGGGCGAAGAACACGTGGCCCACTGCCATGAGGGCTTGCGCTAGCAGGAGAAGTACTGGACGCGGCATCATGTGATCCCTGGGGGGAAGGGAGGGGGGGAGGAGGGGAGAATAGGCAGGATAGGAGAGAGAGGTGAGGGTTGGAGCATGGTTGGAAGAGAAGGGAGAGGAGAGGAGCAGAAGTGGGGTGGAGATGACTGGGCTGTGAGTCTTGTGCACTCCGTGCTTGCATTGCAACCATGCACCTACACATTCATGCACCCACAACCCATGCACATGCATGCATTCACGCTCCCGCACCCCCAATCACCCATGCACCGCCCCCAGGCACCCACTTGACCACGTGCTCCGACGCGTATCCCGCCAGCAGCCGCCCCACGAAGTTGCTGACGCTGAGCAGCGACAGGAACACACGCACGCTCGAGTACCCCTGCGCTGCACCCATCTGCGCCAGGTTATTGATCGCTGTCAGCCCGCTGCCCGTGCCGCATAGGAACGACACAAACAGCAGCCAGAAGTCTGCCTTCACTGCCGCCTGCTGTAGAGTAAAGTCCTGGCCTCGCCTCGGCCCTGACCGTCGCCTGCCCCCTCCCACACGCACTGCACCCTCGCCCACTGCCAGTAGTAGTTCCGCTTGCTTGCGCCGCCGCTCCTCCTCCGTGTGGTGATGGTGATGGCGCTGCTGCTGAAGCTGCTGCTGCGTTGGGAGGCTAGTGGAAGGGCGGAGGGGCCAGCAGGAGGCGGGGAGGCAGCGGGAGAGGAAGGAGAAGTGGGAGGAGGTGGCGGTGGAGGGTGGAGGGGAAGGCAGTGCGGATGGCGCTGCTGCTGCTGCTGCTCCTGCTGATGCTGATCCCGGAGTTACTGCTGCTGCTGCTCCAGGGACTGGCCCAGCTCCCCGCCTTCCTCCCTCCCCCTCCTCCTCCTCCTGCTGCCGCATCAAGAGCGGCTCTTTCAGCACGTCCCCAGCACCGCCAGCACCCATAGATGGGGACGCCGGCGCTCCCTTGCCCGCCGAGTCCGAGGTGCCTCCTTGCGCAGAGGGGCGGAACGTGGAGAAGCGCTGTGACGCTGGTGCCAGGGCGGCTGCCAGACCCACAGGGCTGCGCAGGGAGGAAGCAGCACCACCACTGGTAAGCGCACCTGTGGCTGCAGCTGCAGCTGGAGCAGTGGCAGCAGCAGCTGCAGGTGCAGCAGCAGAGGAGGAGGAGGAGGGAGCAGCGAGGGTAAGCGACGGAGCCGGGGGGGAGGTGCCAATGGTGAAGGCAGGCGCGGGCGGGGAGAAGGTGGATTGTGAGAACACCGGCCTGGCCCTGGGAGGAGCCAGCGAGAGGGCGGAGGAGGAGGACGAGGGGTTAGAGCCGGGCGGAGGGAAATAATATCCTCCTGTGCTGTTGGAACTCCCTGCCTGCTGGCTGCCCATGGGGCTGCTGCTGCCCCCCACGCCCTGGACTGAGAGGAATATACCCGACGACCCACCACCCGCGCCCATGCTGCTGCCGCTGCTCCCCTCCGTCGCCCAGTAAGCCCCCAAAGCACCCCCCATGCTACCACCCCCACCCATGCTACCACTCCCACCCATGCCCATGCCCATGCCCATGCCCATGGGCATCCCTAGCGCGCCCCCCCCTCCTCCCCCTCCCCCTCGAGCGAAGTATGATTGGAGGTCAGCGAGGGAGCTGACGCGGCTGATGTCAGACAGCAACGAGTCGTAGCTCTCACTGCGCTCCAACACTCCCCCCCGCCCCCCCGTCCCCTCCCTCTCCCCCTCCCTGCCGCGCCTGTCCCCCCCCAGGAGTGAGTCATCCTCCGGGAAACTCCCCAGCATCACTGCCCGCTCCTCCCTCCCCTCTCCCGCCCCCGCTTCCACTGCTCCCGCTGCCCCTGCTGCTGCCCCCGCCTCCCCGCTGTCCCACGTCCGACTCCTCTCCAGCCCCCCCTCGCCCCCCCCTGCGCCCCCATCTTCCGCGGAGGGGCGGCGGGACTTGGGGGGTGTGACGGAGGCAGTGGGGGTGAGCGCGGTGGAGGGGAGCGCGGAGGAGGCGGGGACGAGCGGGGGGAGGAAGGTGGCGAGCGGCAGCAGCAGGAAGGACACCATCCCCGCTAGAATGCCCCTGTTGAACTGCGCAGGAGGGACGAGGGGTTGCAGGAGGGCGTGGGGGGCGGGTTGGGGGGAAGGAAGAGGGAAACGGGTTGGGGGAGGAGGGGGGAATGGGTTGTGGGGAAGGAAGAAGAAAGAAGTAGGGGTGAAAGGAGAGGGGAAACGGGGAAGACGAGGAGAGGAACCAGGTAGGGGAAAAGAAAGAGTTGGTAGTGGCACCATGTGCTAGTGGCACTGGCGAGCATCCGTGACGGAGGAGAGAAGGAGCAGGCAGCAATCCCAGTGAGGGGCGGCACTATGGGCACACATCCCTTTGCTCTCCCACTTCCCATCGTTCTCTTCCTCCCGTTCGTTCTAACTTGCCGTCTCTGCCCGCCCCACCCCCACCCCACTGCTATCTCCCCCACTTCCCTCGCCCCTTTCCTCCACTCCTCCACTCCTCACCTCCCTCTCTTAGGATTGTAAACGCCTTAGTCGGCAATAGTCTACTTGCTATTGCTTATCGTGTTCTCCACGATCTCACGAATCCAATGATATGCGCAGCTCTGCTTGAAGTTGTCAATACACACTTCAGCAATTTTCAGAATCTGATTGGTTTCAATGTTGTCCAATGTTGTATTTCAAGAATGAGTACAAACAGGTTTATAGTCAGGCAAGACACAAAATGCGATTCGTTACTTCACTTGTTTCCCAAGTAACCGCGTGCGCCTCGTTTCACCCCGAGTCGCACACGCAACCGAACCGAATTCGGTGAACACTCCTCAAGACCGAATCTGGAACCTTCTCGAACACGCCTCGAGCTCGAACCACAATTTCCCCTCGCCAACTTCAATCTCGATGCTTCTTCCACCTTCTCACACATTCCTTCTCGATTTCTCTCTCCCTTCTCACGCCGTAGGCCGATTTCCACCGTTTCACCTAGAATCATCCACGCGCTTCCATTTCGCCGTCATTCCGCCGTCGTAGAGACTTTCGCCTTAGATTCCGTGGTTGGGCGAACCAACCCTAACAATCTCCCCTGTGGTTCGTCAACCACGAACACCACTCGCACTGCTCCCATGCTCCTTGTAGCCTTCACAGGGTCTAAGTCGGCTTCACGCTCCCCTGCAGCTCCTGCACCTTGAACCTCTGCTTACGTGTCTTGTAGTTGAGCGCCTTGACATCCAAACCTTGAGAGATTTTCTTAAGCCTCTCACTTCTCCTCGGCATCTTAACACCCAACACATCTCGGGTCTCATACCCCTCAACGTGTTCCTCCTTTGTAAGCACTCGCCCCTTTGCAGTTGCATTCGCCTTTGATCCTTTCACCATGATGTCCCCTTTCACAGCTTCAACTCCCACACACTTCGCATTTACTGCTTCATCTTCAACCACGATCGCTGCTGCAAAAGTGTTGACATCGTCTCCATCTCCACCGTTTACTGCTGCTGCCTCCATGATCACTATCTCCTCTTCCTGCTTCACTGCTGCCTCCACACTCGCAGCCATATCATCCGAGTCCTCACTCTCATCATCCTCAGTAGACTCAGGATCCTCATAGATCTCATCCTTATCGTTCATCGCGACCAAGTTCATCTCATAGAAACCGTCACTGAAATAACCATCCGCATACTTCTCCCACTCAGGACCAAACACTGTAACCTCACCACTGTCATAGAATATCGTGCACCCCAAGTCATCAAGCTGTGACTGACTGACCAAGTTCACCTTTAAATCCTCAACCAGCAGCACATTCTCCAGTCTCATCTCTCCATACGGACTCTGCAGCACCACGTCACCCTCTCCTGTCACTGGTAACTTCCCACTGTTACCTTGTAGTATATAATCCTCACTCGACTCCCTCACATTCTCCATCCAATCTGACCTGAATGTCATGTGACGCGTGCATCCGCTGTCCATGAACCACGCCCTCTTCTCACGTCCATCTGTCTGAGCCTCCTTCGTCACTATGGGCACACATCCCTTTGCTCTCCCACTTCCCATCGTTCTCTTCCTCCCGTTCGTTCTAACTTGCCGTCTCTGCCCGCCCCACCCCCACCCCACTGCTATCTCCCCCACTTCCCTCGCCCCTTTCCTCCACTCCTCCACTCCTCACCTCCCTCCCCCTCTCTTTTCCACTTCCCTGCCCTCGCACCCTCCCGTCTCCCCACCCCTCCGCATCCCCCCTTTCCCCCGCTCCCCCATTCCCCCCTTTCCCTCCTTCCCCCTGTTTCCCGCCGTCCCCCCAGCGCACCTGCTGCGACGAGTTGCTGTCGTGCAGCAGCATGGCGAGCAGCAGGTACGCCGCGAGCCCCAGCGCGATCACCAGGAACGTGTGCAGCGTCTGCGCCTCGTGCTCCTCGCGCCGCCGCACGTCGCGCTCCGTCTCGTGCGCCGTGCAGTGGCCCGCGCGCAGCCGCTTCGACGGCCTGCAGCGCGCGGGGGAAAAAGGGGGTGAATGGGAAGGGGGGTATGGGGGTTGGTTGAATTAGAGTGAAGCGGAAGGCGGAGCGGGGCAGGGGGGCAGTGGTGATAGAGTTGTTGTTGTAGAATGTATGACGTTCTAAGTGGCCTTGCACATGCCACCGACGCAACGAATACAAACAAACAGATTCGACTCCAACACCCCTGTCACCTCCCTAATTCGTTCAACTCGTGCATCCACGTGGCGCCATCCCAACGGACCTGAGGAACGTCATGGCGGGGAGCGACACGAGGGGCGGCACGACGGCGATGAAACCAAGGTACGCCGCCTGATCCGGCGCGATGAGCGCGGCGTAGACCTGCGTGAAGATGGCGCCCGATAGGCCGACCACGCCTTTGAGTAGCCCCACCACCGAGCCGCGCGAGCGCGGGAAGTTTCGCACGCACGTGACGAGCACGGCCGTGTTGAACCACGCCGTGCCCTGCGACCCCACCAGCATCAGCCCGCACATCTGCGCGCGCGCGGCGGGAGGCGGGGGTCGCAGAGCGGGGGGGTGGGTGGAGGAAGGGGGGAATGGGGGGAGGGGAGTGGACGGGGTGGGGAGAGGGAGCGGGGAGGAGGGGAGTGAGGGTGGCAATGTGGGAGGAACGAAGAGCCGATTCGAATCGACGAATCCAGGACATAAAAAGGTTTCGCGAGCCCCACATTACCGTGCGCGTTCCACCCGCCCCCCTTCCCCCTCTCGCTTCTCCTCCCCCACGCGCCCAGCTCCCGCGTTCGCTTGCACTTTTCCTCCTCGTATCCCCATTCCAATAATCATCACCCCCCGCCCACTCTCACGCCCCCGTGCGTGCCCCGCCCTATCCCCCCGTCCCCACACTCTCCTCCCCGCGTACCTGCCAGAACGGCAGCGGCATGATCCGCTGAGTGGCGACGGCAAAGAGCCCGCTAAAGCCGACCAGATAGTGCAGCGACCCGACGAGCACGAGCGCCCACACGGGCAGCGCGTCGCAAAGCAGTCCCGGCAGCAGCCCCACGCTCTCGCCCATGTCCTTCGCCACCGCGAGCCCATCCACCTGCCGCTGGTTGTACCCGCCCACGGCTTTAAGCGCCGGCGAGTAGATCGCGAACGTCGCAGAGCTTCCCGCGCACGCGAGCAGCCATAGCCCGCAGATGAGGCCCAGCCAGCGGTTGTGGCACAGCGAGTTGATCGTGCGCTCCACGCGCGCCCAGAGGGACGGGGGAGAGGGCGGCGGAAGCGGCGGGGGAGAGATTGCGCGCGGGGAGAAGAATCGCGGGGAAATGGGGTTGTCGGGCGCGGGGCCCGCGGAAGAGGCACCGAGCGGGGATGGGAGGTAAGTAGAGGGGGGATCGAGGCGAGAAGGGGTGGGAAAAGCGGGGGAGGCGGGGGAGGAAGAGGAGGCAGGGACGGAGGAAGACGGAGTGACTTCCTGAAGGGCCATGAGGCGAAATGAAAGGATGCGACTTGCGCCGACAACAATTACCGCACCGCCTCGCTTTCACGCTGCGCATGCATGGGGCTCAGATCGGGTAGGAAGACGAGACGACTGGTAATGGATGCTACTGTGAAGTCTGTCTAGCGGCAATCTAGAAATTTCGAATTCGCGATCTCAAACGTCAAGAAGCTGGGCTGGGAGACTACAGCTTTCCATTCTCTGTGTGGAAAAAAAAGGCACAAAGCACAAGGTTTGATTCGAACTCGCGATTCTCGCAAGCATGTCATTTGATGGGAGAGGATGGCTCGGTGGATGGGAGCTGCGAGAGAATTAGCGTTCGCATGGGGGGGCAGCACGACGGTGGGATCGCATCACATGGTCGTAAGGGTGACTGCGAAATTTGCCAATAACAGCGCCATCCCTAATTTCCGTCGCTGCGCTCCTCTGAGCGTCGTGCGAGCGACGTACTGGTGTCGCAAATTGAGCTTGCAGAGTCGAATTTGTGCGGGCACTGTGCAAAGTACGCTGCAGAGCTGGTCGTTTGGAGCCAACCTGTACCGCTGGTCTGCCCGAAATTCGAGAGGTGGTTTGCCCTTGATCTGAGAGTGGTAGGCGTATTCCTAAATTTGACACATGCAGTTTGTGTCTCAAACAGGCCACGGGTTTCCGAACCCAGCTCCTAAACTTCCGATTTGGGAAGGTACGACCTTGAGGAGTGGTTGAGAAGCACCACGATTGGCCGTGGAGCTCCTGATAAAATTTGTGCAGACACAGAAATCTGGTGACGTCCGACCAGACATAGGCCCTCAAATTCTGACGTTGACATGGCGTCGCAATAAATGTCGCAAGAGCCAATGATGTTAGGAAGAGGGGGAAGATCGCGAAGTTTCCCAATAACTTCTTGGGAATGGACGTGGACGACTAATGGAATTGGATGCGATATGGGACGACAGCAAATGCGCACCCGCTCATTGGAGGAAAGTGCTGGCTGAAGATTGGTCGTCCGTGAGTGTCAATAAGAAAAAATAGTCGAATATTGTCGAGATTTGTACCTTATATCCTACATGAACGACCTCATATTTCCAACTGGGCCGCACTATATCGCAGCTTTCACAACACTTGAATCTCGGGAGCTGCAGCAACACCTCCAGACCAGACCAGAGTTCAAGCGCGACGGACCGCGTCATCTCCGCGATGGCGCCTGCCGAGAGACGACAAGGCCGAATCCTCTTCGCAGTTGCCGCTTGACTAGTTCGCGACAGGTGGCCATAGCTCCTCTGATTTTCAGTGATCCCAACGCGCTCCGCCATGCTTTCCCTCCGGCCTTTTCGAGCGTGGACTAGATCGCACTCGGTCTAGATCACGCGCGCCGGCCTGCAGTCCGCCACGATTCCCGCCTCCAGTGATCCACAACCATGGACCCTCCTCAACTCGCGCTAGCTCTTCTCCCCCATCCCCCCACTCTGCTATCCGACATCGCATCGCTCCCGTGGGACCTGCTCCTCCTCCTCTCCTCCCGCCTCTCCCGCGCCTTCCTCTCTCCTCTCCCCCTCCCCGCTCTCCTCTCCACGCTCCTCCTCCTCTTCCTCCTCGCCCCGCCCATCTACCTCTGCGCGCGATGGTCCGACGCGCTCTCACTTTCGCACGCGCGCTTCGACCCGCTCCTTCTCCTACAGATCACGTTCGTGCCGTGCCTCTTCGAGGAAACACTCTTCCGCGTGCTCCTGCTCCCGCACCCCGCGGAGCTATCTCCAGACGCCATGGCGCCCGACGAAGCGCTCCCGTTCGCGCTCTTCTGGTGGCTGCTGTCAACGGCTCTCTTCGTGTTCTACCACCCCACGTGCGCGCTGCTCTTTCGAGAGCCCGCTGTGCGCCTCTTCACGCATCCGGGGTTTTTATTGGCGTGTTTCCTGCTCGGGGGCGGCTGCGCTTGGCTGTATTTGAGTGTGGGATCCGTGTGGCCGTGTGTGGCGGTGCACTGGGTGGTGGTGGCGGTGTGGCTATCGCTGGGGGGTCACCATCAGGCGCCTCTATGATACCACGCACTGGTCACACTGGCTCCAGTTCTGCTCAACTTATGTATCATATACCGTGATTTGTTCTCCCTTTTTCTTCGTTCTCACGAGCAGCAGCAGCAGTGTGGCATTGTCGCCTTATGATTGCCAGCAACCTGCCATACAGGGTGGAAAAAGGGCGAATGACAAGTTGAATGCCGGTGCACCACACACAGCAGTAAGACTAGTGAAGGTGCTCTGGTAGAAAGATGTGGGATGGGGTGGGGGGGGAGAGCTTCAGCGCGAGAGCAATTCTCAACTAGATATAGGTCCATCTGATCTCCATGTTCTCAATTAGAGTGTACAAGAGGTCGCCCAGCCTTCACGGCATCGCATGAACCAGCCTGTGCTGCACGTATGGTCAACTAACCAGGATGGGGAGTGCAGACAAACACATGGGGAGTGCGCATCTGTTGCCCCTGCCCTGAGCTCCCCTCCACGTCCGTCCTTTCCATCCATTCTTCCATTCCCATTCTTCCATTCCTCACAGTGTTGCCTGGAAAACCACAAGCAAAGACCGTTGGATTAGGGCGTGTCTCTTGTCAGATTCGCGTCGAACCTCACTGAAGCGCATGTAACCGCAGTCGAATTCACTGAAACGTATTTAACTACGCGAAGCTGACAAGAGGTTCGTCTGATATAAGGGGCTGTAGGAACACGTTCCCCCAACTGACAGGAAGTGGGGAGATTGGCTTGTGCGGAAAATCCTCACAGACGCTTGGTCCCCCCCATCCCATGTCAGAATTCTCATGTACAACAGCTCGCTCACAGTGAAAAGCACATCAATCAATCAACTAATTAAATGTAACAAATTAGCAGGACGGACTGTACGGTCATCGATTCAGCTGCTTCTTGTCTTGGTGCCCTAAAGCACCATCTGTCATCTTAGTAGGGCTTCTGAATACCACACTGTGCGGCACCTGATCCGTTGCCCCTCACGACTACGGTGTCAACAACCCACTGCAAGAAGCTCTCTTGTTATCCACCCACCCCAACGGTAGCATCGCCAAAAGCAGGGAGCATGTATGTATGCACCCATGGCTTGTCCAAATTCCATTACCTTCCCATGACCTTCCGGGTGCATCTTTGTCTCCTTCCTCCCCCCCTATCCATCACCTCAGCACCCATCTTTAACACCTGTGGCATCCCATCCCACCACCAAGCACATGTGCCTCTGTGCTTGTAGGCAACAGTTAGGTAGTTCAGGGCAGGGGGGCGAGGGTCGTTCGTGCGTGCTACGTGGTGTAAGCCACGATCCAAGGGTGGCCTGGGGAAAGGAGGTGAGAAGAAGTGAGAAAGGGTGATCAAGGGGAAGAGGGCAGCATGTGAGTGCATTCATGCATTCAACAATCCCAATTGCTGACCGGCGTGGGTAGGAGGTGCCTGAAAAAGAAAACAAGTTGCTGAGCGTGTGTGTGGGGGGGTGTGGTTGCTGTGTGGATATGGGTGTCTGTGTGTGAAGGGGAAGAGCAGAAGGGGGTACGTGGGGGCGATGGAGGAAGGGGTGCAATTCTGCTGCATGCACAATCCAGCAAGCGCGCTTGACAAATCCGCGCAACCACACCCCCACTTCCACCCACCGCCCACCACCCCCACCCACCCCAATCCCCACCCTCACCACCCCCCACACCCCCCACCCATACCCACACCCCCACCCGGCCCCCAGCACTCACGCAAAATTCCCTCCACCGTAATGCGCTTGGCATAGTTCTTGCACAACATCCTCCGCACTAAATCCTTAGCCGCGTCCGACACCTGTGGCCAGGGGTCGGTGTCAAAGTCAAGGTGCCCCCACAGCACACTCTTGAAGATCTCCTCCGTAGTGTCGCCCCAGAAGGGCGGCAGGCCGCACAGCAGGATGTAGAGGATCACGCCCGCGCTCCACACGTCCGCCTCCACGCCGTAGTTCTTGTTGATCACCTCGGGCGCGATGTAGTTCGGCGTGCCCGCTCGGAACGTGCACCGCTCGCCTGGTGGGAGACAGGGAGGAAGTGGGGGGTTTGGGGAGGGGGTTGGACGAGAGGGGGAGTGGGGGGCGAGTGGGGTTGAGTGGGGGCGAAAGGGGGTGGGGGAGCGGCGTTGGGGTTTGGTTTGGAGCTGGGTAAGCGACAGTGATGAATGGGGGGGGGGGCTCCAGCAAGGGGAGGGAGAGGAGATGGCATGGGGCACATAGCATGTGAGCGCCATGATTTGTCTGCCAGGCCAGCATGCCATGCATGCAGAGACAGGCAAACATGGACTCGAAGCCAATGCACCCCGCACACACACACACCACCAGCGCCACTCACACACTCAAACCCACAAGCACACAAGCACCCCCACGCACCCACACACAGACCCCATGACAAGCAGCAGCACACGCACTTACCAGGCTGGAAGATATACGCCATGCCGTAGTCAATGACCTTGCAGCGCCACCCACCCACACATGCCCCGCCATCCCCCACCATGAGCGCACACGCACCAATTATGCGACATCTGAAAGCACTGACCAGGCTGGAAGATATAGGCCATGCCGTAGTCAATGACCTTGCAGCGCGTGTCGCTGCGCTTGCTGGTGAGCAGGATGTTCTCGGGCTTGAGGTCGCGGTGCAGCACGGCCAGCCCGTGGCAGTGCTGCAGCACCTCGATCACCGTGCGCGTCACCTTCGCCGCCTGCCGCTCGCTGTAGTACCCGCGCTCCTGAATGCGGTCAAACAGCTCTCCTCCCTCACAGAGTTCCATGATCAGATGCACCTCCTGGGGAGGAGACGGGGGGGGCAAGAGGGGGGGGGGGGGGGGAGTGATGGGGGGGGAGTGAGGCAAGGAAGTGAGCGGGGTGCAGGGGAGGCAGGGGTGCAGTCTGCGCTCGCTGTAGCACCCGCGCTCCTGAATGCGGTCAAACAGCTCTCCCCCCTCGCACAGCTCCATGATGAGATGCACCTCCTGGGAGGGGGGACGGCAGGGGGAACGGGGGGGAGTGATGGGGGGAACGTGATGGGGGAACCTGATGGGGGAGCGTGAGGGGGAAAAGTGAGGGGGGTGCAGAGACGGCAGGGGTGCAAGGTACGGTGGCTGTAGTACCCAGGAGAGCTCCTGAATGCGGTCCAAGGGCTCTCGCAGTGAATGGAAGTGGGGGGTAATGAGGGGGAGGGACAATGGGGGGGAGGGGAAACAATGAGGGGCGGGGGGGGGGAGGAAGGGTTGTGAGGGGGGGAATGGAGGGTAGTGAGAGGAGGGGGAGGGCACGCATGGCCGGCAATAGAGCAGTTGCAGCAGGTACTGTAAAACGGCCATTCAGTGCAATTGATAGACTCTCCAACTGACAAGTGGATAGAGCTGGCTCCCATCCGCCTGTTTACTGCTTGACTGACTGGGTCAACGATTCTTTCCGCCTCCAATTCCCCCTCTTATCAAGACTCTCCCACGTGTCCCCTTCCCCCAACAGCAGCTTCCAATGGAGCTCTCCTCCTCTCTCCCATCCCATCATACATACCCCTACCAGCCTCCCTTCCTTTCTCTGTTTCCCCTTCCACGTGCCGCTTCACCTTTCGCCTCTCCCCTTCCCCCGTACCCTCCACCTTTCCCCCTCCTCCTTCACCATTTCCCCTTCCCCTTTCCCCAGCCACCCCCGCTTGCCAGATGCACCAACTCTCAAGATTGCCCACCACGCACCTGACGGTCCTCCACAGGGTGACTGTTGAGTTGGGTCCAGTACAGAACATGCCCAGTGCCCATCGTGTGGTGCGCCGCGGTGCTGGCGAGTGTGATTACACGACATCATTGGGTGACCCCTCCGCAGCAGCTCGAAAGGCGTCTCGTAACCCGCAAAGTGTACATTGAATTGAACGGGGACGGGCGTGGCCACATCTCGAGGTCCTCGGCGGTGTCCAGGAGCGTGATGGCGTGGGGGTGGCCTCTCAGCAGCTCGAAAGTATCTCTTAACGCGCAAATTCAATACTGAAAAGGGGACCATAAGGCGTCAGCACCCACCTTTAGGTCCTCGACGGTGTCCAGGAGCGTGATGACGTTGGGGTGGCCCCTCAGCACCTCCATCACCGCCACCTCCCTCCGCACGTCCTCCACGTCCTCCCAACACTGCCGTGGGGGGAAGGGAGACGGGCAGGATGGGGAGGAGGAGGGGAGGAATACGGGAATAAAGAGGGGGGATCCATAACACGGTTGCTCAGCACCTCCATCACTGCAACCTCCCTCCGCACGTCCTCCACGTCCTCCCAACACTGCCGTGCATTCAAGGGGGAGGGAGAGGCGGGCGAGCAGACAGGAATAGTGAGAAAGGCAGGCAGCCGAGACATGGTTGCTCACTCGCTCCATCACTCCAACCTCCTTCCGCACGTCCTCCACGTCCTCCCAACACTGCCGTGCCGTGCATGACATGCACACACATACACATGCAATAACACATGCAATACCACACGCCATGTCACATGCGCACACGCACACAGCTACATGCACAAAAGCAATCACACATGCACACGAGCACATGTGCAGGCGCAGTCAGGCACGCAGGGATGCTTGCCCACGCAGGGATGCTTGCCCACGCAGGGATGCTTGCCCGCGCACAGACACACCGCGCATCCCCAACCGCACACGCATACCCACGCATGCAACCGACCAAATTAATGTTTGACCAACCCACCTCAAATACTCACATGAGCCGACACGCTCATGGAAAGCACGTGTGCAAGGGCGTTCAATATGAAAGGGAGAGTAAGAACAACAAGGAATGCAGAACCATGAAAGCAGCAACGGTTCGATTGACATGGACGTTAGGTCAGTCAGTTCAGCTCAACCTTCTGAGTTCCAACTCTCCCTTCTTCCTATTCCCTCCAGCCCTCCCCCACCCCCACTCTTCACCCCTTAGCTTCTCACCTCTAGGTTCTTCTTCCCCCTTCACATTCCCCCTCTCCCTCCTTGGTTCTTCTCACCTGCAGGTTCTTCTTCTCAATGGTCTTGCACGCGAACCTCTCCCCAGTCTCCCTCTTCTCGCACACAACTTTTGAGGCGCCTCAAAAGGCCTCTCTCTCTACCCCCTGCTCACCTGCAGGTTCTTCTTCTCGATGGTCTTGCACGCGAACCTCTCCCCGGTCTCGCGCTTCTCGCACACGCGGATCACCCCAAAGTTGCCGCGCCCCAGCTCCTTGCGGGACAGCCGGTACACCTCTGCCAGCACCACATACGGCTTCTGCAACACATTCGACGTCGCCGGTGTCACTGCCGCCGCTGCCGCCGCTCCTTCCGCTGCTGCTGCTGCTCCTCCTCCTGCTGCTGCTGCTGCGGCGGCGGCTCCTGCTGCATCTACCACCTCCCCTCCATGCCCCAGCACCTGCCCCTCTCCTTCCTGCCCCACACCCTCCGCTCCACCAGGTCCTCTCGGGCTACCCCCAGACTTGTAGGAGTAATAATAATCACTCACGTTGGGCGTGCGGGGGGGGGCAACAGGCGGGGGCGACAGCGACCCAGCGAGGCGGGGCGAGGTGGTGGGAGTAGTGTTGGGGGTGGCGCGCTTGAAATTCTGCAGCTCCCACAAGCGGTCAGGGTCAAGAAGAGGGCCTGGGCTGGACGTCTGGCTGCACGGACTCACTCCCTCCTGGGGGCTCGCCAGGTTGTACGGGCTGTTATAGCCGCTCGTAGGGCTTGTTGTCTGGGAGAAGCACGTTCCGCTTCCCAGGTTCTTCCTAGACCCGAACTGGGCTTCAGGACTCGCCCCGAAACTCCCCCCTCCGCCTCCTCCTCCTCCCCCTGCGCCGCCTCCCCCTGCTCCTCCTCCTCCGCCGCCCCTGCCTGCTCCCCCCCTCTCTCCGCCCCCTCCCCCGCTCCCGGCGCCTCCCAGGCCGTGAGAGTCGCTGCCGCTGCCCCCGGCGCCGCCTGTGCTGGTGCTGCGAGGCAGGTTGATGTGCATGCCGCCACGCGCCTTGAGCTTCAGCGCAACGCTACCCAGCACTGCACTGCTGCTCCCATTGCCAGGAGCAGCACCGTGCCCCTGGAAGCTGCTTGCACTTGCACTGGTGCCGCTGCTTGTGCTTGTGCTTGTGTTTACCCCTATACCTGCGCCCATGCCTGCCCCTGCGCTTGCACCTGCGCCCTGCCCGCCTGCCCCCTGCGCGCCACTGTGGTGCACCCCAGGGGGGGAAGCAGACCGGGAGGTGGAGGTGGGCTTCGAAGGGCTACCATGCGGCTTCCCGTCCTTGCTTGGGCGGGCAGAGACGGCAGCAAAAGGTTTCGACGAGGGAGCGGATGACTCGGGAGACAAGGCGGACGGGGAATTGGAAGCTGGTGATGAGTTCCCCGCCCCTCCACCACCACCCCCACTCGCCCCGCCTGCCCTCTCCGCCTCTCCTCCCCATGCTCCTCCTGCTCCCGTCCCTCCTTCTCCCCCTCCGCCTCCCCCTCCCCCTCCCCCGCCCCCTCCCCCGCCTGCTACCTTCAACCCGCTGCCTCCAATGCTGGCCTTGGAGGGCACAGAGAGGGGGCTGCTGCCCCTGCCCGCAGGCACGGCCACGCCCCTTCCCCTGGGGCTGTTCACCCCTAGCTCACCCACCGACACAGATGGAAACATTCCCTTGCTGCCACCGCTGCCACCACCCCCACCGCTGCCGCCGCTGCCACTGCCACTGCCGTTGCCAGCACCGCTACTAGCGCCAGAGCCGCTGCTGCTATTGCCTACGCCTCGGGTGCCATGCGCCATGCCCCCTGCTCCGCCAACCCCCCACATGCCTGCTCCTGGGACGAAGTACCCTGGGCCTGCACTCTCGCTCCTGCGGTGCCGCGACCGCGCTGCTGCTGCTCCCATCGCCTCCTCCCCACTGCTGCGCTGCCTGCTACCACTGCTGCTGCTGCTGCCGCCGCTGTTACCGCTGCTGCTAAAACTGCTGCCGATGCCCATGCCACTGCTTGCGGCCCCGCTGCTGCCCTCCCTGCTGCTGCTCGCTCCACCCTCCCCTGCTCCTCCTCCAAGTCCCTTTCTCAACCCAGACCCCATTTCCGCCCCTACTGCCGCCACTGCAGCTCCCGCACTTGCCAAGAAGCTTCCACTTGTGCTACGGGCTGTAGCAGCGCGGGAAGGCCCAACGGCAGCGCGGGGGGGACTGCGGGGGGGGGGCCTGCTGGACAAGGGGGAGGCGGAAAGCGCCCCAGAGCCTCCCCCTGCGCCCATCCCTGCAATTCCCCCGCCTATGCCCGCATACCCTACTGAAGCTGACGCAGTGATGCGGGGGGGGGACGAGGAGGGAGGGGACATGGAGTGTGAGTAGGAGCGCTGGTGGCCCGGCTTTCGCCGCACTGCCTTCATCTGCTGCTCTAAAGCGTCCTCTGGGCTCGTTCCACCCGTGTGATGCCCCTGTAGCGCCCCTGACGGACCTGACGCACCAAACGCCCCGGCCGTTCCTGCCCCTGCCCCTGCTTCGCTCTGCCCAGGCCGTATGCCTCTCCTCCCACCTGCGCCCATCGCCTCCCCCCCTTGTCCCCCTTGTCCCCCGTGTCCCGCGCTCCTCAATCTAGAATCACCCGCCGAGTCAGGCTCATGGAGCCCCGCCCGCGCGCGCACTGCTCCCTCATGCGCCCCTCCGCCCATACCTCCTCCTGCGGCCCCCCCTGCGCTTCCCCCTGCGCTTCCCCCTGTGCTTCCCCCTGTAATCCCCCCCGCGCCTCTCTGCAGTCCCGCGTCCAGTGACCGCCTGCCAGCGCTCTTCCCCCCTTCGCCGTACCCCCCGCCACTGAGCGCCTTCCCCCTACCCTCGTCCTCCGCGTGCGCCCTCCCCGCTGCGCCGTCCCCCTTCTCCTGCGCCCCCTCGCGCGTGTCAGAATCCACTGCTCCTTGCAGCTTCTGCCACTGATGCTGCTGCTGCTGCTGCTGCTGCTGCCGCAACCGCTGCTGCTGCTGCTCTAAAACGTCCACTGCCGCGCCCAGTATCCCCCTCCCCCCTCCCCCTCCCCCTCCCCGCCCTCTCCCCAGCGCGGACCCCTTCATCCCCGCGGATCCCCCGCCAGCTGCGCCTCTTCCCCCGCCGTGACCATCCGGGGAGCCCCCTAGGGCTTCCCTGCTAGCCGCCGCCCCCGCGCCTACGGGGGAAGCTGAGAGCTGCTCCTGCGAGCGCTCATGGTCGGACGAGGGGACGGAGGAAACGGAGTGGGAAGGCGGGAACAGCATTGACCGCGAGCGCCGCCGCTCCTTCTGGCTGCCTATTCCCCGCGCCAACACAGGCATGCCCGCTGCTGCCTTCTCAGGCCCTCTCTCGGGCGGAGCTCTCTCTGCTGCTCTCTCCGCTGGTCGTTCGGGCGCCGGTTTCCGCTCCCCCCCAACCCTGTCCATGCCCTCGCGCTCACCTACTTGCCCTGGGCCACCCTTTGCGCCGTTAGCGCTTGTCCCCGCGTCCCCCTTGCGCATCTGCGCCCCGTGGTCCGCCAGACCGCTTCCGCTGCCTGCGCCGCTGCTATGGCTGCCCGCGCCCGACCGCCCCGCGCCGCTGGCGATCCCCGAACCGCCGTAATTCGCGCTGGGAGCTCGGCCACTCCCGTGCAAGCCGCTGCTCGGAGCGCCCCTGCTGCCTGCGATCCCGGAAGGCGCGTTCGAGGGGCTGCTGCCGCCAGAGCCCGGGTCATTAATAGCCACGTGGTAGAACGCGGAACAGTCCTCCGATCGAATCCGACGGTGGCGATTGCTCTGATTCATCACGCGTAGCATGTCCGGAGCCATGGGCGACGGTCCGTGCTTTCCGCTCTCGGGGGAAGGCCCGCCGCTCGCGCTGCTCGCCCCGCTATACCCCCGCGGCTTAAAATTGAGCGGGGACCCGCGCGAGGTTTGCGCAGGACCAGCGGAAGGACTCCCATCCGCCGGCTGCTGTTGGTGGGGGGGCGGCTGCTGGCGCGGATGCTGTGCGTGCATAGGGGGACTCGAGCCTTGGTTGCTCTGATGCGCGTCCGCGCGATCGGACCGCTGCTGCGGCCTGCTCACGCCACCTTGCTGCGACAGGCGCTGCGACTGGTGCGACGACTGGTGCGACGAGAGGTGCGACGGCTGGTGCGAGTGGTGCTGCGCGTGCGACGAGGAGCCGTACTCCCTGTACCCTTCCTCGCCTGCGTCGTCCCCTTCATGGGTTCGGCCCTTGTGCCTCTCCCTGCTTCTCTCCTGCTCTCGTTCCTGCTCCACCGCGGAGCCTTGCGCCCTTCCGCCATCCCGTTCTCTCGCGCGCTCCCACTCCCTCTCTCTCTCCCTGTCCCTGTCCCGCTCCCACTCCCTGTCCCTGAAGCTTCCTCGCTCCTTGTCTCCCCCGTCAAAGTCTCTCATTCCGCCAAGCCTACTACGCTCTTCCCGTTCCCTCTCCTTTTTAGACTCCCTATCCCTCTCCCTTTCCCTCTCTCGATCCCTATCCCACTCCCTCTCCCTTTCCCTCTCCACCCTCTCCCTATCCCTATCCCGCTCCCTATCCCTGTCCCCCCTCTCCCTACTCCGGAAGCTTCCACTCACGCCTCTCATCTCCATCCCCTCTCTGTCCTTGAAACTGCCTCCGACAAACCCTTGCTCGACCCTTCCCGCGCCGCCCCTGCTCCCTCCTCGATCGTCTTCGTCTCGTATATCCCCGCTTCCTCGGTCCTGAGAAGCTACTTCCTTGTGCGCGCTCCTCCCGCGCTCCCCTCCGTAACTTTCCTTCGCATACTCTCTCGGTGCCTCCTTGAGTGCCTCTCTTTCCCAGAGGCTTCCGCTGATCCCATCGCCCCGTTGCCTGTCCCTCTCGCGAAAGCTCCCATTCCGCGCCTCCACGCGTTCCCTCGGCGCCGCGCCTCGATCCTTCTCCGCCTCGCGAGGCCGAGCCGCATGCGACGCGCGCTCGCGCTCCTTGAAGCTCCCGCGCATCCGCTCACCGGACCGCCATTCTTGCTCCACCTCCCTCTCATGCTCGCGCAATCTCTCCCGCACCCAGTCATCATCCCCGCCGATAGCGGGTTCCTTAGACTTGGCGCGTGAGTAAGACTTGCATCGGCGCGCCAGGGGCGGGGAGGACGCCGGCGAATGGCCTTCGGTGGCCCGCTCATCCTCTTCTATCACCGGTTGCTCCGACAGAGCGTACGCGGAATGCTGGCGGTAGCGCGACGCGGATAACGCGCGCTGCACGTTTCCATCGGGGGGGTGGGGTTGCACGGCTTGATCGAAGAGGAAGCTGGTGTCCGATTGCACTCTCCGGTGGTTGGTAGGCCGCGACGGACGGGGCGGTACCGACGCGCCATGATCCGCGCCGCCGTACATTTCGTACGCGTGGCCTCGGCTCCCCATACGCGCGATTATGATGTATCACAAGAGCAACAAGCTCCGGGTGTTCGGGTAGCACAGGAGTTCCGGAACTTCACTGTTGGCATTGTCGGCGGCGAGATTACTTGAACGACTAGAGGGCTTCGACGAAGGAGCGCGGTATAACAACTGACGATAAACAGGACGACTGCTGATTAGACACCTTGGAGGTGTGCGTGATTGCCGACGGTGCTGTGTAAACACTGAGGCAAGAGTTAGGTTTGGTCGGTTTCGATGCAAAAGGTGAAGAGTGAGAGGGAGCGATAGTGGGAGCCTGGGAGGTAGCGAGAGTGGGAGGGAGTGGGAGTGAGAGTGTGGCTCTGGTAAGCAAGCAGGTGAATGGGGGGAGCACAGGGAAAGTGAAGTGAACGATTGACAAGCCCGAGGACTCTGGTTGGTTGACGATGGCGGCAAGGGGAACAAACAGAGAGAGTTGACATTGACATTCCCGAGAGCGAGAGAGGCACGCTGCCTCAGGCAGCAGGAAGGGCGTGTTCCGCTCGACATTCTCGAGGCTCCTGATCCCTGAATTTCCTTCGTGCTGCCCGCCAAGGTGACTGCGATTAATTCGTTCCGTTCGGTGTGAAAGCCAGCACCTTCTTGGTGCGAACGGTCGCATAACTGAATACTTAACGTGTGGAAAAAACTTCGAATGGCGAAAGGATGGACTGTGCAGGCCTCCAAACTGACGAAACACCGAAAAAACTACACCAAGACAAGCAGACCTGCAAGTGGTGCCCTGCCCTTGGACCTGAGGCCGTACAGCTCACGTCACGCCGTGCAAAATACAGTGGTCATTTCAATGGGATTGGGTAACATGTGAGGTCGTATCTAACCGTATGCCCGTCCCCTGACGTTTAACGCCTGGCTTAATTTGTTTCTTAACTAAACGACTAAAAATAACACTCCCATTCGTGAACCTTCCCGCACCTGACGGGTTGACCTACCACCATACGAACTAAGCATATTGACACTAAGGGTGTGTTGTTGCCGGTGTCGAGTTTTCCGACACAAGGCTATCAACAGCTCCGATCGTTCCACATCATCTCAATCGAATCCAAACAATGTACAGCTTCGTATATCCCACCTGACACCGACAGAAAACGCGCCCTAACCAAATCTTGCTGTAAGCATACAGTGGGCAACTGGGGGAGCCAAATGAAGCTAAAAGAGTATGCACTACATACAAGCAATTGATGGCTAAAGAAGTTAGGACTGCCATTGTATGGACTTCATAGAGTAATGCATTCAGAAAATCATGGCTAAATTTTATCATAACTGCATGGTCTGCCACAGCTACAATACAGCTTCTCTTCCATTGGTAAATCAACCGTAACAACCATTCTTGTGTCCCTGCAAGCTTCTGTATACATGAGCAACCGTTTGACAGCAGCACGGTATTCGAAAATATAACACAAACAAATTTACACCTCAAATTTTCAAGTCTTGGTGCACTCACATGCATTGCAAACAATAACAGTCCCATCAGCAATAAAACCTCCTGAGGAAGTCCAAGGCCTCGTCATTGCTTCTGCACACATGCCAAAGCGAAAACGGCACTGGGAGTCCTTGTGTCCGTTTCCTCGACACACCCTGACTCGAGCTCACACCCAGAGACCCTTCGCCTGGTGCCCCTGCCCCTACTCCCAGCTGCCGCAGCGCCAGGAAGTCGAGAATTTCATCCAGTGTCCCCACGCCGCCAGGCAGGGCAATGAAGCCTGCCACGTGTTCCTCTGTGGCTCGACTCCCCGCCATGAGAAAGCCTTGCTTGCGAGCTAACACAGAGCTGCAGTGGCCATGGCGCATGCGGAGCAAGACAATGGAAGGGACACAGAGGCACAGATGGTCACAGTGCGTGCGGTTTTATCACGGTACTGGGTCCTGAGTCCTGACGCAGAGTGATTGAGCAGCGACAGTGCAGGACACACGGGGCAAGCAGTTCTCAATGCTGGAAAGTGGTTCAGGTGCAGATAAATAAGGCTGTGCGCGGTGAGCAAATGCACGAGGAACAAGTAGGAATTATCTGTTTTAAGCGGACCGTACTGGCAGGTGACATAGGAGTGGGGGGGCAGCCGCGGGTGTACGAAGGCAGCCTGGGCTTGGCGCGCCTCTGACACTATCTTAAAGCCCGCCACTGGCCTGTGCACAGTGCGCGGGCAAGTGGGGGGGTAGATGCATGCATGGGGGAACAGGCAGAGGGCAGGAAGTAAGGTGTGGGGGAAGAGGTGGAGGGTGGGGGGTGGTGAGAAAGAGGGAGACATTGGGAAAGAAGGAGGGGTAGGGGAGGGAAGCGAGAGAGCAAGTCAGATTGAAGTGGGTGAAGCTCTGTGGAGGAGGTGAACAGGACGTGCGTGCATGCATGAGTAAGACAGCAGCGGGAGAGTAGCAGGGCATGCATGGAGCAGCAGGGCATGCATGGAGCAGCAGGGCATGCATGCAGCAGCAGGGCATGCATGCAGCAGCAGGATATGCATGTGGGCACTACACCTGTTGACGGCCTCGGCGCCCAGGGCGACAGCATCCATGAGGCCAGGCCCGATGCCCGACCATGTGGTGCTGCTGAACTGCTGCGCTATCTGCATACACCATGCATGGTTGCAGCCATTGGTTCATGGGTACATGCACACGTGGGTAGATGCACACGTGGGTACATGTACACGTGGGTACATGCACACGTGGGTACATGCACACGTGGGTACATGCACACGTGGGTACATGCACACGTGGGTACATGCACACCACCGTGCATGCACTGCTATGTCACGGCTGTGAGGAATTTGTTCCATACAACCCATCATGTGCCACCTGGCACGCAATGGCAGCAAACTGACACATGTGCTTGCGTGGTAGGAAAGGTCAACACGTATCCATTCTGTAGAGCCATCATGTGCCACGTGGCACACAATGCCACGTGGCACAGTTTGTCGGATTGCATCAACGTGTATTGATAACACAATGCCACATCGCACTCAAAGGGGCCACACATGCACCTTGCCAGAGAAGCAACCAAGGGCCACGGCACCCTCAAGCCACACAACAGGACAACAAGCACTGGAGCGCCTCACAGCAGTGGTGCCCCCCCCCCCCCCCCCCCGCGGCCCAACATTCCCCCTTCCCCCCAGCGTTCCGCGCACCTCGCGGCTGAGCGCCATTGACTGGCGGAAGAAGGGGTGGTCCTCGGCCACGCGCGACGACCCCAGGTACACGAACCCGCGCCCCATGCGCTCCACCACCTCGTAGCACGCTTTAATCTCCTCCCCCACCCGCGCCGCCTCCCGCCACGCGTCGCTTGTTTGCCCCTCCGCCTCCGCGGTTTCCGTTGCGCTCCCCGCTTCCGCGCGCGTGCGCGAGGCTGACCGTCTGCTGGGGCGCGCTCCAGCGCCCCTCCTCGCGGAAGTTCCCGCAGGCGCGCGGAGCGAAAAGGCTCTGCGCAACCCGCAAGAGCCGCGCAGAATGCGCGCGCCGCCGACCGGCGCAAGCTGCCCGCGAGCTGGCGTGCGGAACCGCGCAGCGAGTTGCGCGGTGTTTTGCCAAGCGGCGAGATCCATTGGGGAGAGTGACGCGGCTCGTGGCGGCGTCGCGACGGGCGCTGCGATCGACAAGGCAGCGTCGGATGCGGGGAGGAGAGGACGATCGGCCTGTTATGAGATCGAAAGGGATACTCTCCTTCTGCTCCGCGTGTTTCGAGTCGACTCACATGTGTTGCCAAGTTGAGCAGTTACGAGTCTTGTGAGTGTGCCTCGGCAAGACAAGACAAAACGATCAGTTATGATCAAAACTCAATTTTGATGAACCCGCAGTAAGATACGGGGGGTGACTGAATTTGACACAGTTGGTTGATTCAGCTGCCCGCCCTCTCTTCCTTTGCTCGCCTGCGCCCTTCTCCGCACCGGACCGCACCGGACCGCATCGCACCGTACTGTACCCTACCGCGATGCTCGCTGTTAGTGCGGGACGCCTCGCGCCGCCGCTCGCCGTGTCCCCAGGCCGCTTGACGTCGTCGTCGTCGTCGTCGCCACGCCGCTGGGCGTCGCACGGAGGGCGATCGGCGCCGCTAACGACGATAGCGATGCGCGGCGCGGGTGCGTACTGCGGCGCGGTGGGATTGCCTCCGTCCCTCTCCAGCCCTGGACTATCGAATACGTGTCGTCCCCACCTCACCTTATTGACCCCCAACACCGCCTTCACCCCTGTTTAAGTGGTTATTGCTGACGTAAAGACTCCCCAACTCCACGTTCCTTGCTTCCCAGTTCTGATACCTCTCGCATTTCCACCCTTTCCGCCTGCCTGTGTGCCTGCTGTCCCCGCTCCGCTTCCCCTCCCTTCCGCTCCCCCAGTGGTGGCGCAGGCGGCGGCGGCGGCGGCTTCCGCCCCTCCGCCGCTCCCCGCGCACTGCCCGGTGGTGGACGCGCACCTGCACGTGTGGGCCAGCGACGCGGAGGCGCGCGCGTTCCCCTTCCATCCAGGGCAGGAGCCCACCATTCCGGGGGACGTTGCGCTGCTGCTCAAGGTGCGCTTGGGCGCATGGAGGGCGCACGGGGGGGGCACGTGGGGGGCATGGTGGGGGCATGGTGGGGGCATGGTGGGGGCATGGGTGGCATGGTCGACGCACGGTAGCAGCAAGTGCATCGCACTCTCAGCTAGGCTACGGCTGGCAAGCAAGCACGCAATCAAGCAAGCAGTCCGTTTCTCTGCATTGCATTGCATCACCCTTCCAGCACACTCACCATGCGCGCACAAGTCCCCCCATGGCATGTGCACACAGAGCATGGAGGAGGCGGGAGTGCAGGGCGCCATGATCACGCAGCCCATCAACCACAAGTTCGACCACTCATACGTCACCCAGTAATGCCCCTCGCCTCAAAACACCTCGCCTCAAAACTCCTCGCCTCAAAACTCCTCGCCTCACGCACCTCGTCTCCTCTTCGCTCCTCCTTGCTCATCCATACTCTTTTTTCCTTTCCGTATTTCTCCTCTTCTTCCCCTGCTGCCTCCTTGCCTTTTCTGTCACTCCCCATCATCCTCTTCACCCCACACCCCAACTATCCCCTCCTCTCTCATACCTATCTCCCTTCAAGGTGCCCTTCAAAATTCTCAATAATCCCTCAACACTCCTCTCCGCTGTAATCACTTTTGAGGATTCTCAAAAGTGATTTCTGAGGCGCCTCACAATCCGCATCCTCCTCTCTTTCTTCCTTCCCTCCCTCCTTCTTCCCCCTCTTCCCCCTCCTCCCCCCTTCCGCTCACCCCCCCCTCCCTCCCCCCCCCAGCGCCATGCGCCAGCACCCCTCGCGTTTCATTGGGAGCTGCCTTGCTGACCCCACCCCGGGGGGAGGGGGTGTGGGGGAATTAGAGAGACTCATTCAAGAGGTAGGGAGGGGGAATGGAGTAAAGAAGGAGGGGGAATGGAGGAGGTAGGGAAGGGGGAAACATGTGGATGGTGGAGTGCGGTTGGGTGGAGTGACTGGTGCATGGGTGGTGGATACGTGTGTTGACAGGTGTGTGAGTATGAAACACAACGAAACACAATGAAACACAACCACTCACTACCATTCATTACTGCCTACCCATAGTCATCCTCACAGCATCTTCCCATTCGGCTCACCCTGTTGCCACCACCACTGCTGTTGTCGCCTTGTTGCTGCCGCCATTGACAGGAAGGGTACCAATGTGTGCGCTTCAACCCATACCTCTGGCCCGATGGAGAAAAGGTGTGTGCTGCATCTATGTACCTCTCTCCCTCTCCCTCTCCCTCTCCCTCTCCTCATCACCCCCCGCCCCCCCCCCCTCCCCAGATGTGTACACGCAGTTTTAAACCCCCTGTCTCTCCCTGTCGTCGTCCGTATCAATGTCACTCATGCATGTGCACGCATGTCCACACACGTGCATCGCACACATTTATGCACCCATTCTCGCTTTCTTCCTACGCCTACCCATACACACACTAAGAAATAATGAAAGCACATGTTCTCGTCTTGTTCTTCCTCCTTTGAACCAGTAATCTCTGACCTCTCTCCATTGAAGATGCATCTTCTCCTCCCTCCCTTCCCTCCTGCTGCCTACCCTCCCACCTCACTCCTCCCACCTCACTCCTCCCACCTCACTCCTCCCACCTCACTCTGCCCCCACCCCAACCCCATCCCAACGCCCCTCGGCCCTCCTTTCCTCGCCCTACGTCCCCACTGCCTGCCCCGGGCAGATGACCAACGGAGTGGGGCAGGAAATGTTTTCCGGGGCAGGCGAGCTTGGTGCTCCTGTTGCATTCATGTGCTTCAAGGTGCGAGGAGGGGGGTGGTGGAGGGGTGTACAGGGGCGGTAGGATGGGGGTGGTGGACATGGGAGGAACTACTACAATGCAACATTTCCAGACCTGTAGTTCGTCCGTACCTGCTTCCGTTTTCCATGTCGTTCCTCTCGTTCCGTGCCATCACTACCGTCCTTATTAAACCCCCATCAACACCCCCATTTTCAAATCCACCTTCCAAATCCACTTGTCATATTGCAATCACCATTCCTCCCACCACCCCTCAGGGCTTCCACCTGCATGCGGAGGAGATCGAGCAGCTGTGCACAGCCCACCCCGCTTTGTCAAGTTTTGGCGCCCTTATAAAAACACCACATCTTCGAGGCACCTCAAAAGCACCTTTCGAATAGCAATCACCACTCCACCCCACCCCACCGCACCCCTCAGGGCTTCCACCTGCATGCGGAGGAGATAGAGCAGCTGTGCACAGCCCACCCCGCTTTGTCAATTTTTGGCGCCCTTATAAAAACACCACATCTTCGAGGCGCCTCAAAAGCACCTTTCGAATAGCAATCACCACTCCACCCCACCCCACCGCACCCCTCAGGGCTTCCACCTGCATGCGGAGGAGATAGAGCAGCTGTGCACAGCGCACCCCCACACACGCGTCATCCTTGACCACTTTGGCTTCTGCCGCAACCCCAACCACCCCTCCGCCACGTGAGACATCCACATCCCCTCCCCTCCTCACACCTCCGCCTGCTTCCTCTCACTCTCTTCTTCCTCCACTTCTCCCGTTCTTCACCCCCTTTTCCCCCTTTCCCTTCGGCCCCCGTTTTTCATCATCACACTTATCAGTTCCTCACCCCTGTTCACCACTTGAAATACCTCGTGTGCCACCTCAGCATGCCCTCCCGCTTTCGTCCCCTCCCCCTCTTGTCTCCTCCCTCTCCCCGCCTCCCCGCCTTGCCTTGGGTGCACGCCCCATCATCAGCCCTGCCGACCGCACCACATGGGATCGCCTGCTCTCGCTCGCCCGCTTCCCTCAGGTGAGACCTCTCTCTCTCTCTCCTTCCCACCCATTTTTCCCATTCACACAATTCATGGGCTTTTCAGTGCCTATGCTAAGCCCGATACCTGACCCCACCCCCCCCCTGGTATTTTATTGTAGATAATGCTTGTGTTTGTTTTGCCGCTACACTCTCCCAACTCTCTGCCTTCCTGCCCTTTGTTTTCATCTTCTAGCTGCCTCCTGCATTTCTGTCCTTTATATGTATCGGTATGTGAAGACGACTTTTGAGATGTCTCAAATCCCACCTCTCCGCTTCTGGCGCTCTGCAGTCTTTTCTCAACCACCTCCCATGCCTCTGTCTTTCAGGTGAATGTAAAGACATCGGCGCATTTCCGAGTGTCACGAGAGCCTTACCCCTACGCGGACACGTGGGAGCAAGTGCGGGATTTAATCAAGACGTTTGGAGCACACAGGCTGTTATGGGGAAGGTAGTTTCTCTGCCATCCACCCCCCTGTGCCTCAAATCTTGTTATCCATTTCCCCTTGTTTTACCTAATGTAACTGTGTTTCCATCATCAGGTTTTTTATCTCACGTGTTGCCTTGCCTACACTTGCCATGCAGTGATTTCCCATTTGTGATAAACGAATGCGGTTACAAGGAAAGCTGGGATCTTCTTCAATCAGACACCAATGGGTTGTCCAACGATGAGCGTTCATGGATTCAAGGGGCTACAGCTGCGTCATTGTTTCCAAATGCGTGGAAAGCTTAGTATGATATTTGTATTAATTTATTTCGGTGATAATCCTTCATAACGTTTTGTTGAGCGTATTACTCAGGTCAGCTTACTAATGTTAAGGATGCTCATTATGAAAGGATCAGGATGGCCTTTCGAGCTCTCTGGTTCGCACCCACTTGACAACTGTGAAAGATGTTTTGGAGGAGGGAAATGTTTTTCCGTGGTCTTTATGCTCCTACCCCCCAGATTCTCCAATTTGGTGTTGCGGGAACAAAAACTTTTTGAGGGGAGCCTTTCGCGATGATCATCGCATGAACCTTGGAGTTCATCAACGACACATCCATCAGGTTTTGGTCCCTCATCCAACGGATGGATCGTGGGTGCCTTTTGAGATGTTTCGCTGAAACACACAAGCGTCGCACGGGCAGCACTTCTGACATGAGAAGCAGCCATCAAGCCCAGATGCTGCCCCCCGCAAACGAAAGCGGGTAAAAATTCGTTCCTTGAAGAGTGATGTGGGAGACTTGTCACCGCCATACTTTTCATGGGGCGTTGGGTCAAGCAACGAATCCCTGCCAAACATTTCCTGATGCGACACGGCACGAAATTGGCAAATCTTTGCGTTGCGACAAACCATCACTGGTTGTCCTCGCGTCGCGGTTCACCCGTTGCGACTCGGCTACAGAGTCGAATGTCTCCGGCCTTCAGTTTCGATTCGACCCATCTCGCATTTCCCATCGACATGCTGCCTTCAAAATCCTCCATAAACCTCCCCCATTCATTGGAAATGAGAGCAAGCGCCTTTCTTGCTCATTCCCTCCCGTTTTCGCCCCTCCTAACGTCACCAAATCTGCAGAAGAGACCTCTCACACTGATTCTCTAGAAGGGAGGGACGAAAGCGAGTTGTTTTGCAGCGAAGAGGAGCATCATCCACTCGTTCGCTCGGCTGATGCTTGGGGACCTGAATTTGCTGAGCCAAAAAGCTAGCAATAATCTTCCGCTGTCATTTTGTTCTGCCACGTCGTTAACTCGACGTCATGGCCTTCCCTGATCATAGAACGTGGACGGCATGCCTGCCACTGGTATTGCTCCTCGTCATCGTCGCGTCACTTCCCCCAGCTTCAGCGGGCTCGCGGAAATCCATCCCTCTCTCGCGGCAGTCGTCGCCTTTCCTCAAGAACTTCAAGTGCGACGCGTTCGCTAACGGCACCGACAACTGCCAGCTTGGTGGCGACGGCTCTCTCAGCCTTCGAGCGTACCACAACAACATGGGATGTGAGTTATTCTCCTCGTCTACTTTCCTCTTGCCCATACCAGTATTTACACCTCAACTCTGCTGCTTGCTTTCCACTCTATGAACCCAAGTCACCGTTTACTGTCATTTTCATGTCGATTCTAGTAACCAGATGCAACGCATATACTTTGCTTGTCGCCAGTCGCCCCGTGACTTCGCTTCACCCGTTCAACCACCCGTGTCGCCACCACATGTGCACGTTCGACCAAGCCACTCATTCTCCCGCAACAATTCCCTGGCGCCTTTTCTCCCCCGACCCCCCCTCTTCGCGCAGCCTTCACGTCGCGCAACTTTTACAAGTACGGCATGTTCAGCGTGCGGATGAAGTTTCCTCAGGGTTACTCGGGAGGCATCATCCCCTGCTTGTACTTAATCTCCGGCGGGAACAAAGGTTTCAAAGACGTGCACGACGAGATTGACTTCGAGTTCCTAGGCGGCCAGAACCCGCGCGAGATTATCATGCATACTAATCTGATTACTAACGGCTACAACAAGCTTGAGCAGTTTACGTTTCCGTTCGATCCGTCCGCCGCGTACCATCGCTACAGCATTCTATGGAGCCCCTCGGCGGTGACGTGGTTCGTTGATGCCATCCCCATCCGCATCGCATACCGTCGGAACAGCCCTGCCTTTCCGTCCAAGCCGCTCCGGATTCGGGTGAGTGCTCGGCACGTTACTCGGGCTTCATCGCGCTTTGGGGGGTGTTGAAAGTCAATATTTTCTTAGAGCCGTTGCGTTGTCAAGATCTTCGGATTTCGTACCCTCTGCCGCGCTGTCTATTGCAGAGATTACCATTCAATAATCTTCGAATTTTACTTCCAGGCGCGTCCATCATCGAGCATATCCTCTTCCTCCCACTCCTCCCATCTTCACTTCTACCCTCTCTCCATCCCGCTCTCTCTTCCCCTCGTTCACATCACTGGTGGTATGAACAAAACGTCCCCCTGACTCTTCCCTTCTCCCGCCCCGGCCATAAACCTTTCCCCGCTTATGACTCTTTTCCCCTTCCTCCCCTCTTGCGCACTCCCACGGCGCCCTTCTCCCCTCGCTCCTGCTCCCTTCGCTCCCTGTCTCCCCGTCTCCCCGTCTCCCTCCCCTGCTCTCCTGAATTCGCTGCAGGGCTCTATCTGGGACAGCTCGGCCTGGAGCGTACTCAAGTCCAACTTCAACTCTGGACCCATCACCGTCAGCTTCAAAAACTTCAACATTCAGGGCTGCCGCGTCACCAGCCGCAGCATCCCTCGCTGCGCCACGTACAAGGCTGGGAAGCAGCCGTGGATGTTTCGCATGAGCGGGATGCAGAAGAAGCTGTACGTGTGGTTCCAGAAGTACCACGTGGCAAAGAAGTACTCCTGGGAGAAGACCGTGTAATCCAGCCGAGCTGGCGCTGGTGATCCAGCGGCATTGTTAGAAAAAAAAGTAGGTTTGATGGGCGGGAGTTAGGAAACCCAGGGTGAAGGACAGTGTGCTCTCCAAGGCGTTTGGAATGCACGGGTAGCGGAACCAATTACGCCAAGCTGTGGCACACAAGCTCCTAAGCTGAAGGAGCTGCCGGCCCTGCGTGTGAAGAGGAAACCAGCACACCATCCTACGGTAGGTGAATGTAGGAGAGTTGATAGACGTTTCTGATGCAAAAAGCCTGGAAATTGACTTGGGCAAAAGCCCTCCATTGAATTGAGTTAGCTGTTCGTACTAATTAGTTTAGCTGACTCGCTACTGCATGACAAGTTAACAGTATATGATAATAAAGTTGTATGGTAGCATGAACAACACCCCGGCTGAACCAGGTTTGATGGCCCTGTGCTGACAAATCTGCCCACCCAAATGGTTCATTTCATTATACCAATCTGGCAAACTAAGTCAGCAGCCCCGCCACTTCCAGCAGCTTCACTCATCCGTGGAAATATTAAATTCTTCCCTTGCCCTTTCTGTGTGACTTTGTACCTGTAAGGAACACATTGTGATGTGCACATAGGGGGCACAGGGATGACACGTGAGCACTCTTGCAAGAAGGGCATCGCCAGGGCACTATGCGTACGACTTCGCTTACCAGTGACGACAGTCTGGTGATTAGAAGCTGGTGATGACTGTGCATCTCTCGGTGCTGATGACTTCGTTTATTGTACAAATCTTCCTTCTCTTGAATCTATTCACACACGACACAAAGGTGTGAAAACGTTACAGTGAGATCTAACGTGAATGGACATGTCAACAAGACATTGCTGGGCAAATGTGTGCACAAGCTGTTCCTTACCTCTCTCTGCAGCTTCATTTTTTCCTCAACAGCAGCGGATTCCCCATGCACAAGCTGCTTGTGCACAACTTCCTGGTCTCTTTTAGCGGACTCCAGAGCAGCTTGCAATTCCTCAAGCTGCTTGTCCCGTGCGTCCTGTTTCTTTGCTCGAATAGCATCTGCAAAGGCACAATCTTGCATCAACTTAGCATCTTGTAAATAAGCGCTACAGCACCTCATCCCAACACCCATGCACCTTCTTGAGGAATCCTTTCCGCTTTCCTTCTCAAGAATTCCCTCTTCTGATTCAACTTGTCAATGGCACACACCCTTGCTTGAATCTCTGATTTTAACTTGCTACAACTGTCAGCCTGAGGAGCACAAAAAGGGCCTTTCAGACTCATGACTTAGGCCGGGTCCTACATAGGTACTAACATGGACTCACGGTGGCACGTTTTTATCCTGAAAGCGCGACCCTATAAAAAAAAAAACACAGAAAAAAAGGGCTACGTGTCGAACACATACCGTGGACAGAGCCGGTTGGATTGTCTCATTCCGACGCTTTATCACCTCCAGCACCTGACAGACCCAGCATGCGGCAAGCATGTCAGAGAAAAGTCGAATACGTCCACAAGTTGAGGCAAAAGGTGCCAGGTACGTACATCTCTTGACATTAAAAGCTTCTGGCGAAAGACCTCTGCGCTGTCAGCTTCTTCCTTCTTCGCTTCGGTTTCAGCCTGAATGGCCTCTTCAACTCGTTTAAGCGCCATCTGCGATCAATTGGTGTGTAAGTACCCCTTACACACACATGTGCGCGAAGAAGTCCACCCACATGCATCCCTCTCACCTCCAACTTCTTAGGAGATTGGGCAATTTGATGCTGAAGAACCTGTGCTTCTGCCTTTGCGTCAGCTGCCTTGCCCTTCTCTGCCATTATCTGCCACACAATCACATGATTTGGAATAATACGTATACTCGTCAAGCCCCCTGGCTCTACCATGTAAGGCTGATATAAACTGACCTCTGCATCCAGCTTACTCAGCTGCTCCTGCCTTGTAGACACCAGCTTCACAACTTCGTCTCGCTGCTTGGTTAATTCTTGAATCTTAGGTTTAAGGCCATCCACTTCCGCCCTCAGCCATTCTGCTTCGTTCTCATCATCTTTGTTCCGTTCGTCCTGTGATACATTTTCCGCGTCCACCTGCAAGCCAACAAGTTGTCCATAAGCCAGACGTGCATGGGCATTATCTCGTCTGGACAGACTTGAGCAATTTTGAATGGACTACGCTTTTACCTCTGCAATCCGATCCTCAAGCATGTGTTTTGACTCTGTCATTCTGCTGTTCATTTCCAGAACGAGGTCCAGACTATCTGCCTGCTGATGACTGTAACGAAAGGGAGGAATGAAATAAAGAGAATCAAAGGGCATCATACTTTGTTTGAGCAAATAGCAACTTGTTTTTGTACTTGGCATGCAACAGAATATGTTTGACCACAGTAGGACGAGACATCCCATCATCGAATGATACGAGCAGGTGGGGATGGAAGAGACAGTGATTCAACATGGAAAGGTGTTTTTTAGCAATTGAACTCACATGAAGAGAAAGAAGTTCGCGAAAGCGGAGAGCGCACGAATTGTTCGGGCTGAATTGGGCTTCACCAAATCTCGCATTGTAAACCATGGTGAATCTGCAGCAGACACGATCCGTGAAACTGATCGGAAGAGACGGATGATGCCGATCGACTCTTGATGCGCCTCTGGTGCGTCGAGGTGTGATCGCGCGATCGCGTTATCCACATGACATTGGTCCCTAATGACAGACGGAAGGGAATTCCAGTTAGTAACTTCGGTAGCGATATTTTGCATGATTGTCAAGCTTTAGACCTTACCTCTTCCTTGGCAAAGTGAATGCCACGATCGCTTCATAGACTTGTCGTATAACATCTGCCGTTGGTCGTAAAATGTCCTCCTCAGTCAGCTTATGGATTCCTTCATATCTCTTCACTAGGTCCTTCGCGCTCAGAATGGGAAACGACGGAGCCATTCCCAGCAACCTCAGTTTGAAACCACCCTTCGCCTTTCCAAATTGGAGAATTCCCCGACGACAGGGAGTCAGGGACAGGTTGTCCAAAGAAAACAGGAAGCAAGCAGAAACCCGAATCGTGCATGAACAGGTTTTTGTGCCAGCATTGAAATTTGAAAGTGCACGGGGATTGTCGACGAAGACATTAGAAATGATACAGCAGTTACCATCATCAATTGTAGGTGCACTATAACCTAAAACAAAATGTTTGTTATTCCAGCACGTAATCAAGATTTTACTAGATACACAATATTAGTTAAAACCCCTGACCACTGCACACGATACTTCTTTTACCCAACCACCTAAAATAAACACGGTGACTACACACTGTGAAAGTAGTGGTTGCTTGAATACGTTCACATCACACACCGATATCCTCAACATCATGAGACATGAAGTACCATCAAGACAACTCATCCGTCCTTGCCAGCAAATCAGACCCGCAAATTACGTGTTTGCTAACTAACAACAGTTCACGCTGGGAGTCCCCATTCCATCACTCCACTCCCACACACAATCCCCTATTTCATAGTATACCTAACACACATACATACACACATAGAACCCCATCCACACATTTCTTGCACCACGGATCGCTACCTACCTACCCCCCAGTCCTTCCAATAATACCTCAACCCATTCACTCCCCAACCACTGCACACCCTAGCAGCCCCTCCCTCACACCCCATCCACCCTACTTCTTGCTGACTGCAACAGGCTCAGTCCATCCTGGGGCGCCTTCCAGCAGGTGTTCATGCAGCCAGTGCCTGGTGGCATGAAACGCATCCTCAGCATCCTCATCCTCCTCCATGCTCTTGGGCCGGTGCGCAAACGCATGGCCCCGCCCCGCATACACCCTCGTCACCACCTCCACCTCCTTCCCCGGTCCTGCTCCCCCTTTCACTCTCCTCGCCACCTCTTGCAGGGTCTCTACAGTGCACAGCGAGTCGCTGTCCCCAGCCACCAGCAGCAACGGCACCCGGATGCTCCCAGCAATAGCAGGATCAAACCTGGTCCCATAGAAAAACACCCCCGTGCTGAACAGCTCAGCTGTCAAACCGTCACCGTCACTCCCGCTGCTGCCATCCCGGGCCAGAGCTTCAATCAGCCGCCCCCCTCCAAAGCAGAAGCCCAGCAGGGCGATGCGGCCGTTGCCAGGGCTGACAGGCGCGGGGAGGGAGATGGAGGCGGCGAGGTAGCGCGCAGCGGTGTCGATGTCAATGGATAGCTGCGTGGCGTTGAGTGACTCGCGCCACGAGTCGTACTCCTCCTTCGGGCGAGACGCTTCCCAGGGCTGCCCGCGGAAGAGGTCGGGGATGAGCACGCTGCGGAGAGTTGGGGAGGCGGGTGGGGGGAAGGGGGAGGGGCAAGCGAAAGGCGGGGTAGTGTGGGGAAGCTTATAGTGAAGTAGTATAACTGAGCGGGACTAAGGGAGGGAAAGGGAGCGGGGACGGCAGAAAGTCGGGGGAACGGGAATTGCATAGGGGATTTCTCGACTTGTCTGCTGCCTGGAATCCGAAACTGACTAATTTTAAGTCGAATATACAGACAGTGCTAGCGCTGGAAGCAAACAGAACAATAACTTGACACCTGCAGGAATTTCGCACCGAATCCTTCGTTCCAAGTTTGATCAACTTTTACTTTGTACCGTACCTTTCGAGATTCAAATCGTCCTCATTTTTATCGACAAATACAATCCTGACGCACCTGTAGCCGAAGCAAGCAAGCCGGTACGCGAACATCTTCGTGTCCGCGTCGTCGAGACCCATCACATCAGACAGCAACACCACGCCGCTCCCGTTCTTATTCTTAATCGGCTCCACCAGATGCGCGCGGAACGCCTCCCGATCTCCCCCCAGCCCGTGCGCCGCAGCCGCAATGGCTGCTGACGTGGTTGAGCTCGCATCTGACGGCCCCTCGTCCCCCCCCAGCATCAGGTCGCGCCCGTGCACGATCTCGCACGTCTCGTCATCCGCCTCCGCGCTCACCGCCGCATCGTTCCCGGCGCCCACGCTCGCGCGGGGAGCAAGGCGCGCGGAGGTGGAGAAGCGGGGGCGCGAGGAGAATGTGAGAGACGCCGGGAGGTGGGAGACGGAGGCGAGAGACGACGAGCGGGTGCGGGAAGCGACGACTGGTCGGGGTTACAACGGGTGTCGCGAATGGTGACAAGGGAAGCAATGGATGACCGCCGTCACAGAACAGTTGGCAGAAGCAGCGCACGGGGCGTACAGATGGAGCACGACGCGAGAAAACGGAGAAACGGGGCGGAGAATTGAATAAATTAGTGAATACATCCGCTTGCGCATCTTGTTCCCTCGTTTCTAGCCTACCATAACTTTCGGCGTTTCCTGTTGCTCGGACCACGAATTCGATTGAAATGTCAACCATTTGTAAACAGGAATATTGTGACACAGAAACGTGGGTGTCACCAGGAAAAAAAACAAAACCAAACAACACCCAGAATTTATGGCTATGCGTACCTGAGAATGGAGTGGAGCCTGAGCGAACGCATGACGCTCGTCCATGGCCATGGGCGTGTCTGCCTTGCGCGGCCGAGGGACACACTACAGGACAGAGCGCCCGCGGGCAGACGGACGAGAGAACCATGGCAACGTAGAGTAGAAAAACAGAGGACGGACAATAGGATCTACACGTAATAGAATAATTTCGAATGGAGTGTGGTGACCACAACAGTCGGGCCTGTTTGGAGATTCAGCCGAAGTCAGAACAAGGTGAGAGTGTTGTTGGTCCTTGGGGGAATATCGCCAGGAAAATCTGAGGGAAGGGCTCCTTAGAAACTGGGATGCAGAATGGCGCAAGGAATGGGGAAAGGGGGAGACGGCTCAGACGGGTCACGGGACTGGAAGGGGAAAGAGGTTGCTTGGGGATTGCAGCAGGGATGAAAGTACAGAATATGCGGCAGTAGAGCTCGGCGCGGAATAACAACTCCAGTTCAGGAGCTGACATGGGCAGCTTGCTCACGTGGATGCTGGTTGCGCTTCGCTGGCAATAGGTGAAAGGATCAGCCTCGGAAACGAGTCAGCAGGTCTGGAGCTCCCGCAAAGTTTCAAAACTGCCTCACGGAACCTCCAGGTCAGCAGAGTTTTTGCTTGGAAGTCACCTGAATAAGGGTACGAGCCAGATTCATGGTTCGCAAATATCTTGACTGGCTAGCGTTTTGGGTTACCTCCTCAAGCCCAGGGTCAGCTCGAGGTTCGGGAGGAAGGAGAACCTACGAACCAAGTCGAAGGTGATCATGGGTACAGATACACACACCTGACTGTTGCTTTCATGGTATAGTAGTGGCAATAAAATACTACACCTCCCGAGAAAGTTATCGGTACTACTAGTCCCAGATGTTCAAAACTTCATGTTTTGATGCCTCAGCACAATACATGTACCTTTGCAGCTTCATTAGTTTAACCAAGAACACCAGTCCTCAGAGAAAATGTACTTTAAGCCTACCTCCACACAACCTCCAAGCACAAGCCACTACTCAATCGCAATATCCACTGGTTGATTATCATCATCATCATCATCTTCAATCACTATCTCACCATCACCATCATCATCATCCACCAATGTCTTGGAGGATGCAGGGGCCACACCAGCAGCATCCGCAGTCCGCTTCACCCAGTCTCTCAGTGGTTCCTCGTTCAAGTCCAGCCGCAGAATGCCAGCCACCACACCTCCAAAAAAAGCGACCGGTTCCTATACATGAGGAATTGGGGGGGAAGGGGTTGTGGAGTACGTCAAGTCTGGACAGGAATGAGCATGGCAACAGGAAGGGTAATTGCCATGTGAGCCAGAAATGCATGAGAATCCGAGGCTGCTGATTGGTTGCACGATTGTATAATACTCGTATTCAAAACGAGTCTTCATAGAGAGTCCACCGAGTAAGCCATTTGGAAAATCAGCCAGCGCGCTTCGCCAGTGTTTATCCCACAAAATAAACCCAGTTCATACCTTAATCGCGTTAGCTAGAATCTCGTCGCTCTTGGGGTCCAGGAGCGCCTGTGGTCCTCGAACGGCAGTCTGGTACTCTTGCCTTTTCTCGCTCCGAGGCGTGCGCTGCTCGCCAGAGCCAAATTGGGAAACGCCGAATGGGAATGTCGTATGGATGACAAATAGGTTGAATAAGGTGTGTCAAGGAACGGGAAGAAAGGTGAGAGGCGCGCGACTGGGAGGACAATATAGTCAAATTGATGTTCAAGTGGGAGTGGAAATCGCAATCGCGCGAAACAATAAAATGCCCAATCCTTCACTCCAACAGTTTCCACCCAGTGAATGCTGTGGCTTTCTATATTACCAGCTGCAGAGGTATCGATCGCATATGAAAAGATTCTCGAGACGCCAGGCAGTTCGAGGAGGAATTTCGCCCTCTATTAGTGCCGTGTTCCGCGATCAAGCAAGTTGTACTTAGTCCTGGAGCCCCGAGGAGACCAGAACATCTTAGTGCTGCCATTGACATCGGGCTTCCAAGCGAAAATCGTTATGGCCGACAGCTGGCAGTTACAGGTTCCAGAAACAGGTTTCTATAAAAAAGCCGTGAATCAACAGTGAAAGCACAATAGGGGCGCTAGGAAAAGGTACGTACTCCGGATAAAGTACCTGACCTAACCTATGCTAACTAGCGGCTAACAATCCATGTGGAAACTTGTGGTCTGGTTTGGTGTAGGAGTGAATGAGGCTGCTTCTGCATCGATAGTGGTCAAAGTGTTTTGGTGACATGAATCGAGCGGGTTAAAACATTGAGTAGAATACACAAACAAAACAAGTTGAATAAACTCATAATTTTTACATATATTTTTTCCGTGCAAATAGGAGCGGTTCCAAAAGCAAGTGGTTGTAAAGGATGTCAACCCAAGCGTCTGGAACTCCAGGCAAACACCAATGCGTGCAATCACCATCAAACGGGTTAAGCCCCATCGCAATAGGCGAAGAAGGCCCTCCTGCTGTCCTCGGCTCATACCAGACTCCCAAGTGCCCATCCGGCCGACTTTGACTCAGCCTCGTTATTTTCAATAATCTCATAAAGGAGCCCTTGAGTGTAGCCCGCTGCATTGCATAAAACAGCTCCGCACTTCCAAAATTGTATCGATCAACCAGCCCTGATCGCTTCATTGGTGTGAGGGCACCACATGAGCCAATCAAATGTGGCCCAGACTGGAGCCTTCCCAATTTCTGGAAGTCAGACCAGGTCCCGCCCCGATAAGCCTCTGTAACCCAAGGTTGTGGCATGCCATGTCCGGTGTGCCTTGGGGAGAAAGAAAGGAACATAGGGACTCCTGGGAAGTTGGAGAGTCTGAGGTGCCGGTTTATTGTTGCCAGGCCCCACGAATAAGCTGCAAGGTTCGTGAGGTTTCGACGCTGCCCACCTACCCGGAAAAAGTTTGGCTGGCTTCTGCCCGGAACGTTCTGGGACCACCAGACACCAGAAGAGAACACAACAACGTCGTACCGTGGAAGAACGGAAGCGAGTGTTGGATCTATTCTATCCACGTTCACAATGTAGCCATGGCCGCCGCCCCGGGGTTTGTTTATGCTAGTGCGTTGCCTCGCGTGGACGAGGTACGGCGAGAAAAGGAATTCGAGGGAAAAGGAGAAGCGGGGGAAGCGGACCCCCTTGATGTTGAAGGGACCCTTGGTCTTGCGCACAAATGGCTGAAGACAGACAATCGGGGATGGAAAGGTTGCTCAGAATGTGATTTATGGAACAGCAATATGGGAGAGGAGCTGCACAAAATGGGAAGATGCAAGTGTGGTCTAGTTACACACCCAGGCTTTTATACAGTGTAATGAAGCAACGGAGATACACAGCAAAACGAGTAGCAGGAAAGCGACTGAATGCTCCACCCTGCTATGTCCAACCCCAAAAATCTCGCAATCCCATGCAGGAACTGAAAAGCGCCATTCGCCATATCCATCCATCCAGCTTGAACCCTGCTATGCTACACCTCTTATAATCAGCAGCAGAAAATGAGCCTTATCTCAAATAAACCATGCTCTCAGCCCCAAATCCTTACCTCCAGCACCCACTCCCCACCACCACCCTTCTCTGCTGCGCATACCCACCTTGCCTTGGTATCCCGCAGCGTGGATGGCACATAGCAGCGCCTCGAAGAGGTTCCCCATGATCGAATCGCCCACCAGCAGCATGCGCTGCGGTTGGGAGGAGGGGACGCAGAGAGGGAAGGAACACAGCGGCGGGGAAGCAGAGAGGAGAGGAAGCAGGGAGACGGGAAGACAGAGAGGAAGTGACGCAGCGGAGAGGAGGGAAGACAGAGATGAGGGGAAGCAGAAAGGAAGGAGCAGGGGGAGGCAAGTCATACAGATTGCGTCGCAGCGGCATCGGCAGTGAGGGGACGAACTGCCATCCGAGGGCGATAGACTTAGTTCAACAATACGTGATCGCTGGCATGGAGTGAGAAACACGGACTCGATACATTCAACTTCTCAAGAGGCGTCGGGTAAACTCGGCCGATAGAGAAAAGAACCACTCTTTACCTGTACCCAACCTCTAGGTCCAAGGAACCAGCTTACCAAAGACGATATTAGATTGCCAGAGACTAGCTCGGCTTACCCGCTGTCGCATGAGGTACTTAAAGCCCGATCCGTTGAAGTAGCTCAGGCGGCATTTCTTGGCGTGCCAGCGGTACCGCTGGTAGCGCGAGTCCGGGCGGTTGTTGCGCTCGCACGCGTACAGCGGGCGCACGTACGGGCAGTGCCCCTTCTCGCCTGCGCGCGCCGTGTAGCGCGGCACGCCCGTGCCCTTGGGAGCGCGCAGCCAGAAACCCACCGAGTAGTCGCACTTGCCTGCTCGTGTTGCATGATATGGGGAGAGAAGCAATGGGGGAGGGAGGGATGGGGAAAGGAAATGGGGTGAGGGAGAAAGGGTGGGAGGGAACATCGGGGGTCCCAATGGGGGGAGGAAGGGAGGAAAGAAACGCACGGAGGGAGGAATGGGGGAAGGGAGGAATGGGGAAGGAAATGGGGGGAGAGAAGGGAGTTTGGTCACAATCATGCTGGCCCGCTTTCGCCTGTGCGTTCGGGACGGGCTCGTCAGGAGCAGGAAACGAGAAAGGCGCGGGAAGCGAGGGCAAAGGCAGCGAGAGCGAAGGCGGTACTCACGAGGCCAGGGATTGGGCGCGAGGGGCGCCGCCAGGGGCGCGAGGGAGATGAGGAGACCGGCGAGAAGTACGAGCGGGAAGAGGGACAAGAAAGGGCGATGTGTTGCGCGCCGTGTCGGTTGCCGCAGCAGAGCGCAAGACGGTAATGCGCTGGGCGCGGAGCGGAGGAGTATGGGGAGAGAACGGCGTAGGGATGGGGGGAGGAGGGGACCGCAAGTGACTGTCGGGCGCGAGGGTTGGCGGGGCGGGCGATGGAGGAAGGAGGGGGAAGAGGAGCGGTGTTGGGACCGGCGAGTGCGGTATACCGCTAGCATGGGTGGCATGACTACGCTGGAAACAACGCTTCGTGCGCGGCGGGATGGATAGAGGGAGTGGCGGAAACGGGGAGATGAAACGGAGATGAACGGGACTCCAAGGGGATGGGGAATAATGAAAGGCTTGGACCAGGGAAAGTGGTGACCGGAGAAGACGTGGGCCAAGTAGCTAGGAGCGTGAGTACCGAGCTGTTCAGTGAAGGCCGCACCAAGAATAATGCACTTCTGCGGCAGATGCTCGCATGGGAACAGGCTCATGCGGTGAAACGAACGGGATAACACGATGCGGTCAAGCAGATTTCGATGGTTTCTCAAGCTCTGGTTATTGCTAATTGTTGCACTATATGTTGCATTTGAGGAGCGAAGGAGTTGCAAGGCGCGATTATGTGCGCGCGCTGTTTGCCAGGACTAGCCCAGGGTATCATGTTGAGAAACAAGCATTGTCATGGCGATTTTAATATGTCGTTGACCCCCTCGCCTATAACATCCTAATAAGACGGGAAGTGGTAATAGCAGGACAGCACAATGGGCAGGGACCGAGTCAGACTCGACGTCCTTCTGCGGTAGTGATCTCTTTTGAGAGCTTCCTCCCAATGAAATGATACGAGAGATCCAAGGTGATCGGGGTAATCGTGTGGCTGGACGGATGGTGGTGGTGTCGAGTGGTGGTGTGACGGGAGAAACGGAGAAAACTCGTTTCATACTTGACGTGGCTTCATTGCTCTTCCTGTTTCTCCCAGACTAGTGCTATATTCTGCGAGTGGGTGGGTGAATGAACCATTCTGTACATTGGAGTGGCGAATCTCGAAGCGCATCGAAAGACCGCACGGCGGCTCGATTCCAAGTGGCCCCGAGAACAAGCGCCCGTAGTTCGTTAGCTACGTGCGAGCGCCGTAGCTGTGTCTTCGCGAAAGTCGTTTTTTGTTACATAAGCAGGTTACTGCAACAGTTGGTTAATTCATATGAATATAAGCATTATACCACATAACCATACCCAGTACCGTACCGAACATAAAAAAAAAAACAAAAAACATAATACCAAGAGCCGCAAGCTCCAATGCACCAAGGTAGATAGATTGCTGGTAAACTTGAAAGTTTGCTAATGATTGGCCCATCTTATTTATTTCTGACAACAAGCACACCACCATACTGTCAGCAAACGAGCTACTGTGCCTGGTTCTGTTTCATTTCTTCCAACATGCGGTGCTTGGTTGCTGCAATCTTGTGCTCCAACATGATTCGCTCCACCTGAAAGGAATGTCAATGACGGAGGAGAAGAACTCAGAATGAGCCATGTCACAGAAATCATAACAGCCATGAGACAGCAGACAAGGGTCTAAAGGGAAAGGAAAATCGCCGCTCTGGACTGGTAAACGCCCGACCGTGCGACCTAGTTATTGAAATCGATACCGTAAGAACAAACCAAAGTACTTCATTCCTGTCTCCCCATCAACCGCAGCCATTTCACAACGCGAGGTTCGTCGCGACTTCTGGCCAGCTAAGAAGCTCGAGTCATGAAAAATAATCTTAAACGCATACTTCTCTTGCAGTTACACGTACCTTAGACTCGTGCCGTTCTGCCATCATTTTGAAGACGTAATCGCTGGACTGCACAGCGACGAACGTGGCGGTGCAGAGAGCGGCGAAAGTAAAGATCCGCATTGCCAATAGCCTAGACGTTCTTCGATAAGTTGCTGGTGCAGCACAGGGCAAAGAGAATAGGTGACACGAGATCGGGCCGCACCAGCAATAATCTCGTCTAAAAGCTAGGGTCGTTGTGTGAGGGATTTCTTGGGGGAATCGGTGAGGAGTGCGTGGGGGTAATTACCACAGCTGTTCCCCTTGAACGAATACCAACACCGAGGCTTTCTGCGCGGTGTTAATGGTACTCGGCATCCAATAAGGCTAAAACGATACCGGAAGCTGTCATTAGCGAGACAATCGATCATTCGCGAAATACAAAGGGTGGCTGGGCGAAGAGAGATGCTTAGACGAGAATGTTACGGTAACGTCGTTCGCCAAAATGGTGGGGCTGGGTGTGGTTGATTTTTGGCTGGGGAACAATCTTGTCCAAAATGGATGATACAAGTACGACTAGATTTGAACTCGTGATGACTGCATAGGATGATTTTAGGCAGCCGGAAAAACTTATACTGGCCCCATTATAGATGAAAGAAGAAATGAAAAACGTATAGACCAGCAAAATCAGCGTATAAGAGACGAGCTGCCAAATCTTCACCACAGGATTTTCAACCAAGGAGTGAAGCAACTTTCAAAGGAAATACCGCATCCGAGGGTCCTGCTTCATTGCCTGATACACGGCCCGAACCTGCAGACAAGAGGAAGCAGATATAAGTGAAAGCGCATCTTACGATTACTAAGGCCCATCTTGCAAGTAGACATGCACCAATCCCACCACAGCTGCATGAATCCGCCCACCCCTTCTCATCCCTTGAGCCCTTCAAATCTCACCTGTTCACTAGAGTCCATTCTAACGGGTCCAATCTTAACACTGATGTAACGACCCGTGGCACTCTGCCTGGTTACCACTTGAAGCTGAGAAGGGAAGGGGAACACACCGGGAGGGAGGGAGACGATTGAGGCACTGGCGAGGTGGAAACAGGGAGGTGTGAACGCAATAGAACCAGACGGCAAGACAGAATCTGCCAATATTTGTGTGAAAAGGGGAGACTGACCACCGATTGGGTAAACTAGGAGGTTCTTCCACCTCACCTCGGGAACATCTTTCGAAAGAACGGACTGCACAGCCAGCACCATGGCCACGGCAAATTCGTCTCCTCCCGACCCTATGGCCGTGAAGTCACGCAGACTGGGGTATGTGTTCACCTGCCACCGTGGAGAGAAGGGTTTGGCAAGGAAGGGAACAAGAACCGGGGAGAATTTGCAGCGTCAATCAAGTCCTCCCTCCTGGTGACAAACACAGATGAGAATTAGCCTTCCTCTCCAGATTTTTGACTTGCCACTTCCCCACCCCGTCCCCTGAATCATAGCAGGTGGCACAGGGCACAGGGCACAGGGCACAGGGCACAGGGCAAAGGGCACAGGGCAAAGGGCACAGGGCACAGGGCACAGGGCACAGCGCACAGGGCGCAGGGCGCAGGGCGCAGCGCACAGGGCGCAGGGCGCATCGCACAGGGCGCAGGGCGCAGGGCGCAGGGAGCAGCGCACAGGGCGCAGGGCGCAGGGCGCACCTTCTTGTCGAGTTCCAGCCAGTCGTCCCCGTACTCTGACGCCGTGCCGCCCATCACCACGTTCGTCGTGCGCGCCTGCCGCCCCGCCATGCGCGACACCTCTGCCGCGGAAGTCATGACAGGGGGAGAAGAGGCGGGAAGAAGGGGAGGGAGGGGTGGGAAGAGGGGAGGGGAGGAACGGGAAGTGGGGGAGGGTGTGAGGGAGAGAAACGAAGAGGGGGGAGATTTGAGGGAAGGAAGGAGCCAACGGGTTCAAGGAAGGAAGTACGATTGAAATGAAATGAATGCGAGTGATTCATTCGTAACCCGTGGGCTACAAGCGGCGCTCTCCTTCACTCGGGTAGCAGCAGCCCCTAGCGTCCCTTCTCCCCCAACGACGCATCAGCAAATGCATTAATCGCTCCGCGCCGCACCCACCACTGACTGCTTTAAGGAGCACATCTTGCGGCGGGCTGCCCTCCAAACTCCCCTCCTCGCTCTCGCTCTCGCTCGCGTTCATGCTACTGCTACTGCTACTGCTTCCACTGCTGCCGCCTTCGATCTCCCTAACGCGCTCCGCGCTGCTGTCGCTATCACTGCCGCTGTTGCTTGTGCTGTCGGAGCCGCTTCGACTTCTCCCCCTGCCCAGCCGAGAGCTGACCTCGTCCCGCCCATCCCCGCCAATGCTGCCCTCCGCGGACGCGCGGGTCACGAATCTCCGCGCCTCACCGCGCCCTTCCGCTCCCCCCCACCCCGCTCCGACTCTCCTACCGCACCGCGGAAGACTATCCTGCGCCAGCTGATGAACGGCCCAGATCGCTTCACTGTCTGATCGGGATTTCGAGCCCCATCGCGCAAGGAGCGGCGCGAATGCCGGCGTATTTATCGATGAGATCCCGGATGATAGGGCTGTGCGAGAGGAAGAGATGGAGGTGTGCGACGCGTTCAGCGACGCGCGTGCGACGGAGCGAGCGATCGCGTGCGACGCGGACGGAATCGCGAGGAAGCACTCCATGAGAGGCACGAAGCGAGCCAGCGATGCGGCGATGGCGATAGGGCTGTGCGAAAGATGCGAAAGAAGCGAAGTAAATGGTGTTGGAGCGTTGCCGCTAACAGAGCTGTTCGTTTCCTAAGTTTCTAAGCGCTTCAAAAATTGATGTTTTGGAAGATGTTGGGAGACCGAAAATCGCGTCGACTAGACTACGGTAGCGAGAGTCGTGTCGACTAGTGAGACTATGGGACACAGAGACCAGATCCCTGCCGTCCGTGTCGGCCTACGGGAGTGATCGACTGGTCAGGTTACCCTGTTATAGCGGCGGCTTGAGCTGGCGGCTTTGGTGGCGGTAATTCAGTGCGCTGGCTAGGGACGGGGGGATTGGGGAAGGGGGAACGGCATGAGCGGGAAGAGGAGAGGGGGTGGGAAGGGAACTGGTTTGCGGGAGGCAGGGGAGGGGAACGAAGTAGCGCGCCGAATGGTTCGCGCGAACTACTGAGCCCCCGTGGAACATTGCCCTGCCATTCGTTCCGTTGATGGGCTCGCTGACTGATGAGTTGGCGTGACGTGGCGTGTGTAGGCCACGTATTGCTCAGTGATATCACCACGTGGTTCGGCCTCTAGCGAAACCCATATGATTCTTAAAACGGGCGGGGATTCAACCGGGGTTGTGCTCCTCTTTGACCTCTTCGTTTTGGTTCATGGAATAGAGAGCGAGAACACTATATGTAAGACAATTTCCCTACATTCTGCCCCAAAAATAAGACAAAGAATGGGCAAAAAGTGTACGCTATGCAAATGCAGTCGTAGGACAATCTTTTCTAGAATCATCTCTACAGTGTGTAAATATACTCGTTACAGCCTCCTTCCCCTGTCATGTCACACAACCGCGATCACCAGCACCAGAGCAGTCACGTATGTTTGCTCGCTCCCAATGCATCACCCGAATCTTTCGCTTCTTCGCAGGTCACGGACTGATGCATTGTGAGCGAGTACATAAGATGCGACTGCGATCGCGACCTGTTCCGCAGCTATAACTACACGCGTTTCAATCGACCCATTAGGGTTTCGACGCTTTGAGCGACGAATCCGCGTGCCAGCCCTGCGCATACAACGCGATTCCGACCATGTGGCCCGGCAATGGCGGCCGGTCAGCAGCGCCGGCGCTAGTCGGTGCCGCCACGTCAGCAGCATCCAGCGCGGCCGCCACGTCAGCATCCGCAGCAGCAGCAGCGGCAGCGGCGGAGGAGTCGATAGTGCCGACGCTGTGCTGCTGCATCTGCACGGAGCTCTTCGAGCAACCCATGGTCGTCTCCTGCTGCGGTACGCCCTCTCACGCGCCTGCCGCAAAAGTGCGCCATGCCCGCTGCCCTGCGCCATGCCCGCTGCCCTCCGCGCACTCCTGAACTATCTTGTTTTAGGGGCTGGAAACCAGCAGAGTGGAGGCTGACGGATCATTGTACCTCTTACCCGTCTCTTTTTTCTTCTCTTCTCTTCTCTCCCCTCCTCTCCTCTCCTCTTCTCCCCTCTCCTCTCCTCTCCTCTCCTCTCCTCTCCTCTCCTCTCCTCTCCTCTCCTCTCCTCTTCTCTTCTCTTCTCGTCTCGTCTCTTCTCTTCTCTTCTCCTCTCTTCTCTTCTCCTCTCTCCTCTTCCGTTCTCTCATGGCGTGGCATGGCATAACATTGCATGAATCACACGTGCGCAGGGAATTCGTTCTGCCAAAAGTGTCTCGACACCGCTCTGGCCCACTCCGACGCCTGCCCCATGTGTGAGTCAATGCGAGTCAAAGCGAGTCAACGCGAGTCAAAGCGAGTGAACGCGAGTCAAAGCGACTCAACAATATGTATGCCCCTAGTGTGAGAGCACCACGACACGAGCACCCATGCATTTCTCAAAGCTTCAAAGCACACTGCCAACCCTCCTTCCCAACACAGCCTGAGCACCATTGATTGGAACTATACCCCACATCTTCCATTCCAAAGCCTTGTATCATCGCCTCTACTCTCCTCTCCTCTCCTCTCCTCTAGTCTCCTCTCCTCTCCTCTCCTCTACTCTCCTCTCCTCTCCTCTCCTCTCCTCTCCTCTCCTCTCCTCTCCTTCCCAACCTCCACCTTCCCATCCCGTCTCCCCCGCTCCCCCCCTCTGCTCGCAGGTAGGGCGCCATTGATCGGGGGCATTGATCAGGTCTTCCCTAACCGAGCTCTGGCGCAGCTTGTGGAGCAAGCAAGGTTACCCTTCCTCACCCCTCCTCCACTCCCTTCTCCACCCCTCTCCACCCCTCTCCACCCCTCTCCACCCCTCTCCTTCTCCTCATGCACGTTCTCTCTGCTCTCGTCAAATTCCTTCCTCCCGTTTCTATGTTTGTTAGTCTGTTCGTTTTTTTGCTCCTTCCCCTCCCCCTGAAATGCATTCCATCCTGCACTTTGGCCCATGTTCCTTTTTCACGTTTCATGGCAGGATCATAGGAGTGACACGTCAGCAGCGGCTGGCCACGTCAGCAGTCGCTGCTGCGCTTCCTGCCAGCCATGTAACAAACACGTCAGCACCGCATGATTTCTCACAGGAACAAGGCCAGAGGGATACACATGCACAGGCACAGGCACAGGCACAGGCACAGGCACAGGCACAGGCACAGGCACAGGCACAGGCACATGTGCAGAGCAATGCAGACCCTCGAGTGAACGCCCATGGCCCCTCGCCCTCACAGGCGAATCTGTCACGAGAGACGTCTGCCCACACTCATGCTTCTGCTGCTGCTGCTGGCGGTGGTTATGACATCAGCAGTGTTGCCAGTTGTACAGTCAGCAGTAGTAGCGGCAGCAGCAGCAGTAGCAATGAACACTACAGGAGCAGCTTACAAGGCAGCAGCGAAATAGGTCCGTTGACTTCCCGATCAACCCAGTCTACCGCTGCAGGTGTCACTGCTAGCTCACCATCCCCACACCCTCACTCTCCCCAACCACCCTCTGCCTGTGCACCCACAGGAGATACGAGACAGGACCACACGGCCATATTAATCCCGGACTGCATTCCTTCTCAGGACGCCTCTTCCACTCCTCTCTTACAGCACAGCTTACAGACAAATTCGCAACCGAGCGAGCAGCAGAGCATGCAGCAGAGGGTATCAGAGGCACAAGCCAGTCACCAGAGGCAGGAGGATTTGGCAGGAGTCGAGCGGTCCGGGGTGGATTCGATTCTCCCGGACCTGGTAGTCCGGCTGAGTGGCTTTGGTGCAGGGGCGGATAGGCAGAGCGCTCAGCAGCAGCCAGGGCAGCAGCAGCAGCAACAGTTGCCAGAGACTTTAGCACAACCGTCAACACAGGTACTGACACAAGAACAACGGCACCAGCAACGGCAGCAGCACAGGCAGCACCGACACCAGCAGCAGCAACAACAGCAACAACAACGGATGCATCAGCTACAGCAGCTGCAGCAGATGCAGCAGGGGCGCTGCTGCTGCCCGTCTCCCTACGCGCTGGCAGTGCGTGGCCTGCTGGCCTGTGGCAGCAGCGGGCGCCGCTTGCTGCTGATGTGTGCGCGTGGACGGCGCTGGTTCCTCGTGAACGAGCCGCGCATCCGCTTCTCGCTCTTTCTCGCCGTCTCCGCCCTCCTCGTGTTCTACCTGCGTGTGAGTGCCCTCCTCGTCTGCCTCACATATTGTTTTAAGTCACAATATGTGTGTGTTGCTTCTCGACCTGCCTTGCTGGTTCCTCGTGAACGAGCCGCGCATCCGCTTCTCGCTCTTCCTCGCTGTCTCCGCCCTGCTCGTGTTCTACCTGCGTGTGAGTGCTGAGAATGTGAAACTGTGCGCGTGCACGGCGCTGGTTCCTCGTGAACGAGCCGCGCATCCAATTCTCACTCTTCGTTGCTGTCTCTGCCCTCCTTGTGTTCTACCTGCGTGTGAGTGGCTTGGTTTGATTTGAGAATGTGTGCTGTGCACTGTGCATGTCGCCCTCCCTCCTGCTCTTCCGTTTCTCTGCCCTTCTCATTTTCCACCTGCATGTGTGTGCCTTGGGCCATGTCTATCTGTCCTGTGCTTTTGGAGAAATAACCTTTACGAGGCACTCCCCGCCTTGTACCTGCATGTACATGTGCGTGTGCGTGTGCGTGCCTTGAGTTGAGGAAACGTGCATGCCCCATTTTGGTTCTGTTCTGTTATTTTATCTGCAACCAAAAGCGGCTGCTCACTCTTCCTTGCTGCCCCCACCCACCTCCTCTTCCTTGCTCTTCCTCATCTTCTTTCTCAAGAGGTCCTTTCTGAGTGTTTCTCAAGAAGCACCTCTTTGTCTTCCACCTGCTTGCTTGTATATTTCCTTTCTGTGCCTCTGCTAGATTTCTTTTCGTCTTTCACCTCCCCTCTATTCCCTATTTTCCTCTCCTCTCAATTTTAAGCTCGCGCTCCTTCTCTTCCCGACCCTTGATGATGCTTCGCATGACGCGCGCGCGATGCAGGTGCAAGAGGAGGAATACGCAAGGGTGACCCGGTACCCTTGAAACAGACAGACGAGCTTTAGCGAGTGTGAAGTGAAAACGAGTGTGGCAACAAGTAGCCAGTCTCTACCCCCACACCCGCTGATACTGGTGGTGATGCTTGGCCCCTGATGTGCCAGGTGCATAGATGAGACTCATTGGTGTGTACAGCTGTACAAACAAACTTACCGCATAATGATGATGATAGTGGAGAAAGAGATTGCAATACCGTGATACCGCACTTATGTGATGTGACCTGTCACGATGCTGCTTGCAGTTACAGGCATTTGTGTCCTCGCCTCGCCACCGACAGGCAAACTGGAATCTGAAACACACAACAAACTAAGCAGGAAATGCTTATTGCTGGTGGTACTTATCGGTACCGTACATGTTTTCGGCTATCATAGCGCAGGGAACCAATTCAAGCGGCTATAATGGAGTTCCTTTGCTCGTAGCAGTAGGATGTGTCACAAGAAGCACGGGAGAGAATGAACAAGAATGAACAAATGAAGCACCACCAACGCCATTTGGCGCCAGGTGAGGTAAGGAATACAGATAGAATCAGGTGGATTTACACCGCGAGTCAGGATTCACGAATCAGGCAGTAAACTCCTGTTTCCAAATACGGTGAGTTTGCATCAGGTGGAGCAGGGGTAGGGGGGCACCTAACTAACACTCTTCAAAGTCAATGCTCCTGCCCATGTAACTAGCTAACCCCTCTGTCCCTTCTGCCCCAGCTAGAGAGAGTGCGGCAAGGCCACAGAGAGAAAGAGAGAGAGAGAGAGAGAGAGCGAGTAAGAGAGAGAAAGCCAGGAGGAAATCCAATCGAAGACATGGAAAATCCGTCCCTTTCACCCACTGCTTGTGCACTGGCTGCAGGGCAGCAGCACCAGCACGGCTTGCTGGCCCCATACCCATACCCTGTTGCTGTTGGTGTCTGTTCAATGTGTGACACTGCCTGCACTGCACGGCACACCATGGACTGCCCTGCCCAGGATGTGACATCGGGGGGCAGATGCACAGGAGGCACGCAGGCAGGCAGGGGGGCACTGCATGGCACACCATGCACTGGCCAGGATGTGATATCGGGGGGCAGATGCACAGGAGGCACGCAGGCAGGCAGGGGGGCACTGCTCTTTCTAGGAAAGATCCTCCCATGCATACTACCCTGTTCTCCCAGAGAAGCACTGCTCTCCTCTCCCTCCCTGCTCCCCTTCCCTCAGCAATGCTTCCACACCATCCCGTGTTTTGAGTCGACTCAAAACCAGACCCTGTTCTCCCAGAGAAGCACTGCTCTCCCACACCCTCTCCCTCCCTGCTCCCCTTCCCTCAGCAATGCCTCCACCCCATCCCACCCCATCCCACCCCATCCCACCCCATGCAGTGAATCCAGCCATACAGCAGTCACCACCATGTTCCAACCACCAGGCTGGCCTACACACGAGTACCAACCAACCATGTCACCCGCCTACAGGGAACCACGCGACCTAATAACCCATGCACACCCAATCACCTGCTGCTACCCCACCGGCTCGTCCGCCTCCGAAACACCATGTACTGTGTCTGCTCCTGTTCCCTCCTTCTCCTCTTTCGAGTCGACTAAACAATCACCACCACCTCAGCTGCTACCCGCACCACCTCAGCTGCTATCACATCTGCTCAGCTGTGCGTCCGTCTCCGAAACACTATGTACTCTGCGCCTATGCCCTCCTTCACCTCTTGATACGCCGGCGGGGACTGCGCGCCGTAAAACGCCGCAACCAGCGGCCGAGCCGCAGACGCGGAGGAGGAAGGGGGAGCGTCAGCAGGGAGAGTGAGAGTGAGGATTTCTGGGCGAGAGTCAAAGGCGACGAGACGGGGACCGGCGAGTAGCCACATGGAGTCGTGGGGAGCGTGCAGGTTGAGTAGGACACGCGCGTTGCCCTCCATGTTGATTCGGACCAGGTCGAAGCGGCGTAGGCCGAGGAATTGGAGCAGGAAGGAGCCGGAGAGGCCGGTGACTGCTGCTGCTGAGGACGCGTTGAGGAGCGAACCCGCCTGGGAGGGTGAATGGTGGGAGGGAGTGGAACAGGGTGAGAGGGGTGAGAAGTGGTGAAGATGGAATGGGAGGAAAGAGCCTGAGAGGCCGGTCACTGCTGCTGCTGACGACGCGTTTAGGAGCGAGCCCGCCTGGGAGGGTGGTTGAAAAGGGGGGAGAGGGGTGGAGAGGGGTGGGAAGAGGTGAAGGTGGAAACGGGAGGAGGGAGCCTGAGTGGCCGGTGACTGCTGTGAATAAGGATCCGTTGAGGAGTGAGCCGGTCTGGGTGGTTGGGGGGTGGTGCTGGGGGGTTGGGAAGGGGTTTGGAGGTGTGGAAGAGAGGGGGGATGGGTGGAGAGGGGTGAAGATGTGCATGGGAGGAGGGAGCTGGATGGGGTGGTGTCTGCTGCAGGGAAGGGCGGGTTGAGGAGCATACTTGCCTGGTTTGTTTCGAATGGGTTTGGTTCGGGAGGCGGGGGATGGGGCGAGGGGTGGAAAAGGGTGGAGAGGGATGTAAAAGTGGTGAAGAAAGTGGAAGAAAACGGGCAAGCTTCGTACCTGCCTTGGTGCATAGTACTCTCTCAAGCCTACTACTGGCATCACGAGGTGACTTCTGAGTCGACTCAAAAGTCACCAAGCTTCGTACCTGCCTTGGTGCATAGTACTCTCTCAAGCCTACTACTGGCATCACCATGCGGGCAGCATCCTCCTCACCACCCACCACTTGAGCAACCGCACACCACCCTTAACCATCCGTCAGCACCCATCCCCACCCACACGGAGCAGCACTCACGGCGTTCTGTTCCACTTCAATGAATCTCGCCCGTCCCCCATCCGCCTGCAACACCAGGCTGGTTACATGCGACCACAGCACTGCTCTCTGAACACAATGGGCGTATCCCGCACCCCTTCACAACTCAACCTCCCAGTCCTTAACCCCCACCCTTCCCCTGCCTGGCACTCACGGCGTTCTGTTCCACTTCAATGAATCTCGCCCGTCCCCCATCCGCCTGCAGCACCAGGCTCGTCACGTGCGACCACAGCGCTGCTCTGAGCGCAATGGCGTTGTCGTAGGGAGCAGTGTTGAGGGAGAGAGCGCGGAACCCTGACTCAGATGCTTCTGTGGTTACCAGCACTGCTGTTGGGTACCTGGAGAGCCGGGGGGGGGGGGGTTGGGGTGGGTGTGGGGTGGGGAAGGGGGGGAGTGAGGGGGGTTACAGCATTGCTCTGAGCGCAATGGCGTTGTCATAGGGCGCGTTGTTGAAAGAGAGAGCACGGAAACCCGGACCCTGACGCCTATGTGGTTACCAGCACTGCTGTTGGGTACCTGGGGAGCCGGGGGAGGGATGGGTGGGAAGCAGTGTGGAGGGGTGAAAGCGCCACTTTGATACGATCGGTTTGTCGTAAGGGATAAGGGAGAGCGCGGAACCCGGACTCTGACGCCTCTGTGGTTACCAGCACTGCTGTTGGGTGCCTGGTTAGGAGAAAGGAGGTGACGGGAGGAGAGAAAAAGAGGGGAAGGATGGTCGTGGTGTTGGAATCAGGATTGGGATGAGCGATGGGAGAAAAGCGAGAAGAACATGAAGTGAGAAAACCGAATCGAAGGGGACGGGGGCTGCATCCATTATAGGATGGGGAAAAGGGAAGCAGCGGCAGCAGCCGGGGGCATGTAAACGCACTCGGGAAGCGGTGGCAGCGGTGGCAGCGGTGGGCTATCTTTGAACGTACATGCATGCGAGGAGAACTGAGAGTATGCCGGCCCCAGCCCCAGCATCGAGCGAGCACAGTCCGCACCCCCAGGTCTGGCTGTAGCACTGGCAGGGGGTCTCCGTCGTACAGCCGGTGCAACCGGTGTGGTATTATCTGTGAATGCCAGTACTATCGGTACTTACATGCACGCGAGGAGCACAGAGAGAATCCCGGCCCCAGCCCCGGCATCCAGCACAGTGCGCACCCCTATATCCGGCTGTAGCGCCGGCAGGGGGTCCCCATCACACAGCCGGTGCAACCGGTTCGGTACTATCTTTGAAACTTACATGCACGCGAGGAGCACAGAGAGAATCCCGGCCCCAGCTCCCGCGTCCAGCACAGTGCGCACCCCTATATCCGGCTGTAGCGCCGGCAGGGGGTCTCCGTCGTACAGCCGGTGCAGCGTGGCTAGATCTGGGACAGAGAGGGGTGGCGGCAGGGCGAGGGGACGCGCGGAGGAGAGAAGGATGGGGGAAGAGAGGGTTTTGGGACGACTCAAGTGGTACAGTGCGCACCCCCAGATCCGGCTGGGTGAGGGGAAGCGGGGAGAATGGGGACAGAGGAGGGCAGAGGAGGAGGAGGTGGAGGAGGAGGAGAATGAGGGACCAGCAGGGATGGAGGAGCAGTGTCAGCACAAGCAATGCACCTCCCAGTCACTTTTGAGAATTCTCAATGGTAATACCAGCAATGCAACTCCTAGTCACAGTCCCTCCCCCACTCCCGATCCCTCACCCACCCCCATCTCTCCCTCCCCTCCTCCGCCCCCAACGCACCCCTTTCCCATGTCCCCCTCTCCAGGCCATTCCCCCCTACCCTACCTGACTCTGATCGCCTCAGGTGGAAGGCATGGATGCACGGCCGGCCCTTGGAGCACTGAAGCATCTCCCGGTATGAACATGCCATCACACACACCAACGCCTCTCCGCCTCCCCTGTTCCCCCCCCCTTCCCCGCCTCCCCCGCCAGCTCCGCCATCCCCCCCCTCCGCCCCAGGCCCTTCTCGGCCCTCCTCCCACCCCCCCTCCCACTCCCCTCCCCACTCTCTCTCCTTCTCCCTCAACCCCCTCCGCCTCCGTTCCTCCCCTCTCCTCTCCTCTCGCCCTTCCCCTCCTCTCCCCCGCGCCCCCGCGCTCCTCTCCTCCGCTTCCCCCCCGGCCCCCTCCCGAAGCACCTCGTATCTTAGAAACTCCCACGTCATCCACACGCCCGCGTAGAAATACCGCGCTTCCCCCGCTCCGCAGCTGTGCGGGCGCGCCAGCGCCGCGCGCACCTCCGCCTCCGCGTACTGGCACACGCGCGCGGGGCCCCTGTGCCCCATGCGCTCCACCCACGCTCTCCGCGGGGGGGCGCTGCGGCGCGCGGGCTGGGAGAAGGTGGACACGAGGGGGTACACCTGCGGGGGAAGGGGGATGGGATTGGGGGAAAAATAGGATGGGAGGTGGGGGAAAGGGGGAAAAGAGTGGAAAGAAGGGGTTGGGGTGGGGGGATGAGAGGGGCGAGAGAAGGAGGAGCGGCCAATGTGGCCAATCACGCGTGCTGAAACTCTGATTACGTTTTGTCAACTGAGATAATAGAGTGAACCGACGGTTCGTGCCTACGATCGGGGCCAAAGCGCGTAGGCATCCCAGTCAGATAACCAGCCTGATGAGCAGCCTGATAAGCAGCCTGATCAGCAGTCTGATAGCCATCCATCCACCCAATCCCTCAACCTGTCCCCCCGGCAACGCGACGTGGAACGTACGGCTGCGATGTGATCTTCGTACAGCGTCGCCACTCTCTGCTGCTCGCTCACGTGCGCCTCTATCATCCGCCGCACCGTGCTGTCCTGGCTGACGTCACGAATCCACGTCACGAAGCTGCACCCTAGGAAAACGGCTACTAACGCGGACGCCGCCACCACTCCGACGCTGCAGCGCGGCGATCGTGCGGGATCGCGAGACATCATGGCGCTGCGTTGCTCCCGCCGAAACGAATCACGAAACTAACGCACCGATTCTTTCGAGTGACGGTTCAGACTGCCTTGATTGACGGTCGGACGGACTGCGATGGACGGACGGAAGGATGGATTGAGGACGCGGAATTACTCTGTCTGGGTGGCAGCCATCTATCACAAGCGCATCGCGAATCGCATCTGGTCAAATCGCCTCTTTACATTTGGCGTTTGACAAATGCAGCGACGCTCATTTGTCATTGGGTCTTCGCACAGAATAGCTTGCTGACGTGGCAGAACAGGAAGCCTTTTCTAAGCACGCGGCGGACGGGAAAAAATCAGCGAGCGTTTAAGCTCAATAGCTCGCTGGCTGAAAGCTACGGCATTGAGGGTATCGTTCAAAGCTCCTGGGCTATGAACTTCGCAGTGCTAAGCCGGGCGGCCTCATCGCAAAATTCGCGAAACGTCAGTGGAGCGAAGGACTCGAGCCATTTCGAAGCACCTAATGGATCCCGTCGATCCGTTGGCTCAGACGGATCGACAAGAATCTGTTACTGATAAAGCTCAGGATCGGGACTAATGGGAAGTCTTATAGCAGAGAATGCGACTGGCCATGGCGAACGTTGACTGAGACGTCAAACTTCGCTTGTGTGCTAGCGTTGCCTTGCCTTGCCTCGTGGATGTCTCTGTCCGTCGCCTCGCTATGCATCTCATCCCACTCGGCACATGTCAGATGCGCTCGCTTGAATACGGTTCGGTGCGCTTTGTTACGATTCAAAGTGTTTTGATAGGCTTTCTAATGGAAATACTGCCTCACAACACCCCTTACATCAGAGAGAGTGATTCCTTCCCCAGTAAAAATAGAACTTGGGGGATCTCCCAACATCAGCTCGTACCCAGGTCCCCAGATCTGTGGGTAGCTAGCCGCACTTCATGTCCTGCGGGGAAGTTTCGAAATTACCTAGAAGAGACACCAGACATCATCAAACTGCTTCTCTAAATTTTGAGCTCAAAATGGCCGTTCATTAAAGCTGCGGTCTACATACTAAGTGGTGTTTTTTGGGTGTATTTTTTATGCCCACCCTTTCGTGCGTTTTGATTGGAGAACGAAGTCAACAGATCCAGAAACGCCGCAGCAGACGAACTCAGACAGGAAACGCGAATCCAGCCCAATTTCGTGCTGATGCGTAGTTTGGGGGAGGGTCTGCGGAAGGGCGGGAAACAACCTGGGGAGTTCTGTTTCAGGCGGGAAGAACCCCAACCCCCTCCCTCCACCCCTCTAAACCGTTAGCTTTGCAGGAAAGGTGGCCGAGTTCAAAAACTGGTCACCCTGTTTTCAAGTGATAATCTGAGGCCTCCCGCTATAGGTATGTAGACCGCAGCTTTAACAGCAGCACTGCTCCTTCTGCAACATGGAGTTCTCACTGTCATTGCTCTACCAGATTCCCCGATTCTTGAGCAGAATCTGGTCATTTCTCCAATGGGAAACTGGTTCTGCTGAAGCTGCAGTATACATTTGAAAGGTTGGGTTCAAAAACTTTTGAAATTTGAAAAGTTGCCCCAAAGCTGTGAGGCACACAATAAAAACCATAAACCCAGCTGACAAATGTATACATTACCGTGTCGGCCCCAAAACTGTCACCACTTTCACGTGATTGGTCGAAGGTTTTGAGTGGGTTTTTGACGCGATTGGTTCTCGATTTTCCCACCAAACCTCCTTCTGGGGTTTTCCGAACGTACAATTTTTTCGTTGACTTCGTTGTGTAATTCGGGGTGTGGCCTTTAAGCAATCAGATTGAAAAGGCAGTTGTGAATCATGGACTCCACACCCTGCGGCTCGTATTACCTGCCCAAACCTGCATTCAAAAACATTTTTACGCCCTCAAAACACCTCGGCCTTTTCCTATCGATGTTACCCTTTCCCCGAGTCCCTCGTGTGTCAAGGCTCCTTGTTCCCAAGGCCCATTCTACCTCAAGTTTACCGCCAAGCATTGGGAACATACCGCTCTGGCCATGTCCTAGAATCTCCTCTTGTGATCTCCCTCCCCAGAGGCACCCTCACTGTCACAACCCAGTAAATATTTTTAGAGCCCGCTTTGCCACTTCCCAGTCCGAGTTTCACTCGCGTCAGCGAGGCGAGCGTCCGTAACGCTGTTGCGCAGCGTCACGCGCTTGCCTTACGGACCGACGGGGCCCTAGGATTCGTGCACGATTCGTGAAGTTTGTTTTCCATTGTGCTCGATTCGTCTCATGCGAGCCTGTAGAAGCCAAGCATGGTAATGACATCATGACATTTGCAAGCCATGGCTTCCTCAAGTCGTGCGGGTAACAGGCCATGTTCAAATAGACCTAATCCATTTCATTCGCATTCTAGCTTCTGCGGCTGCTCAGGCCCCCACCAACTATCTACAGCACGCGCTGCCGACACGTAGTTAAAAGTAGCGGAATCTCGGGTCGACTTAAACATCACATGCACTCCTCCCGGCGTTCCCACTTCCACATCCCACTTCAAATCCCCACCTAATGAGTCCCCCCGTTACTAGCGCTCGTGGACCAACCCTCCGCTGCGTACGGCAATAACTGTGCAGCTATACGATGTGATAGAAATGAGCGGCGGGAGCGTCGGAAGCCAGGCGCTGCGTCGAATCGGCAGCGGCACGAGCTTCCCGAGCCATGGCGTCGCGTCGACAGCATCCTCCACCGCCGTCGCCGCGTCGTCTTCCGCAATTTCCGGATTCCCGTCCGCTCCCTCGCTTACTCCCCCCTCGATCTCCTCGCGTTCCGCCGTCTACTTCCCCCCGCATCGCACGCAGCTCCCCCCGCGCTACGCCTACGCATCGTCCGCATCCGGCGGGTCCGGCCGACCGCGCAAGGCCCGCGCGATACTCTGCTTCATCCTCCTCGCAACCACCTTCGTCCTCCTCTTCTCCTCCGCGCTTTACGCGCCGTTCGCGCTCTCCCTCTCCTCGTCCCCGTCCTCCTCATCTGCCCTGTCAGTGTCCAGCGGTCGCGCCTTGGGAACTATTTCCCGCTCCTACTCCATCATAATCGACGCGGGAAGCACCGGGTCGCGCGTCCACGTGTACTCGTACACGCGGCTCGCGGACCCGTCCGCGCTTCCGCTCGTCGACCCGCACGCGCCGACTCTTAAGATCCGCCCAGGACTCTCGTCGTTCGCTGCGGACCCGGCCGCGGCCGGCGGGTCGCTTGTGGGACTTATGGACTTCGCGAAGACCAAGGTAAGGACGTCTTTAATCGTTCGCGTCGAAGTGTGTCAGGAGCGGGCGATTCTTAACGGTGCTGCGAGGCGAGGGCTATCCACCCTTTCCCTCCTAGAAGTGGATAATGATGGTGAGGGATGATATTATCCGCCGCGAACGCGTTCGGTGCTGCCAGCCTCGCGTCTCGTTCGTCCTTCTCCTTCCGCTGTCATACTCTCCGGCTCCCGACTGCTTCTCTATTCACCCGCCACCCTTCCGCCTTCGCTCGTCCCCGCCCACCCCCAGGTTCCCCGCGCGCTGTGGTCCGCCACGCCCGTGCGCCTGATGGCGACGGCGGGGCTGCGGCGCCTGCCCGCGAGCGGCGCGCGCAGGATACTGCAGTCGTGCGCGGAGGTGCTGGGGGCGTCGGGATTCGCGTTCGACCCGGAGGATGGCGCTACCGTCATTGCAGGTGGGGGAGGAAAGGGGGAGAAAGGGAGAGAGAAAGGGTCGATTATGTAGGCGCCTCGGAAACCGGAGGTGCTTGGGCCGTTGGGGTTCGTTTTCGACGCGGACGATGACGCTACTTTCTTTGCAGGTGGGGGAAGAGGGGGAGGGGGGAGGGAAAGGGGGAGCGGAAAGTTGGAGAGGAAAGGGGGAAGGGAATGGGGGAAAGAGGGGAACATGGAAAGGGGGGAGGGGGGGAAGACTGTGAGGAGGTAAGAGTGGGGGAAAGGAAAAGACAATAGTGTTGTGGAGTAGGAACGGTTCTTTGAGTTGACTATGCCAATCAGTGAGAAAGGTAACCGGAGAAACGGAGGGGGAACGGGGGGAGATGAGGAGATAGAGGCTGGAGTGCTTGGGAGTCTTGTGATTGGTTGAATGCTCGCATGGCATTGTCGTGAGGTAGGGGCACAGTGGGTGTGATGGGGTGATGGGATGATGGCGGGGGAAAGGCGCAATGGACGGAGGGAGGGAGGGCGGGCACGTGTGATTGACGGCATTTTAACCCAAGGGCAGTGCCTTCTCCCGCACCATCCCTCCCCATGCACTGCCCATAACCGACCCACCGCTCCCCCCCTCCCTTCTTCCTCCCCATTCCTGCAGGCGTGTGGGAGGGCGTGTACGCGTGGGTGGCGGATAATTAGGCCGCACCCCCACATCCCTACCACCCACGCCCTAAGCGCCATTCTAACCCCCTCCTCCCCGCCCCCCTTCCCATGCAGGCGTGTGGGAGGGCGTGCACGCGTGGGTGGCGGCGAACTACGCCAAGGGCACTTTCGCCCGCACCCTCCTCATGCAATGCCCTCACCTACCCGCCCCTGCACCCCCTTTCTGCCCCTGGCCGCTTCCCCCTGCAGGCGTGTAGGAGGGCGTGTACGCGTGGGTGGCGGCGAACTATGCCAAGGGCACTCTGGCACATCTGGCACCCGTCCCCATGCACTACCCTCACCTCACCTACCCTCCCCCGCAAACCCCTTCCCCGCCCCCCTTCCCATGCAGGCGTGTGGGAGGGCGTGTACGCGTGGGTGGCGGCGAACTACGCCATGGGCACTCCTTCACACACCCTCATGCACACATACTGCACTGCACTATCCACTGCCCACAAGCTACCCATCCCCCTCTCCCCCCTGTGCAGGCGTGTGGGAGGGCGTGTACTCGTGGGTGGCGGCTAACTATGCCAAGGGAAATCTCTCCCACAACTTCCCCATACACTGCCCACACCTACTCACCCTTCCCTACCCCCTCTCCCCCCCCCCCCCAGGCGTGTGGGAGGGCGTGTACGCGTGGGTGGCGGCGAACTACGCCAAGGGCACCCTGGGGGGCGACGCGAGGGACTCCGTGGGGGTCGTGGAGATGGGGGGGGCGTCCGCGCAGGTAATAGGGGGAGGGGGCGGGGGGTGAGGGGAGAAGGGCGGAGAGGGAAAGGGGAAATGAGGGACTCCGTGGGGGTCGTGGAGATGGGGGGCGCGTCCGCTCAGGTGATAGGAGGAGGAGGGAAGGATGGAGAGGGGAAGGGGGAACGGGAAAGGGGAGATGGGAGGCGGGTCCACACAAGTGAGAGGGGGAAGGGAAACGGGGAGAGGGGCAGGGGGGAAGGAGGGAAGGGGGTTGTGTCCGCGCAGGTGACACGGGTGGGGCCAAAAAGAGAGGGGAAGGAGGAGGGGTAGGGCGAGGGAGGAAGGGAAAGGGGAAAGGGGAAAGGGGAAAGGGGAAAGGGGAAAGGGAAGATGTGTGGCGACAGGGGGATGGTGGAGGGATGGAGAGGGGGGCGGGGAGAGCGTTAGGAAGATGGAGGGAGAAAAGGGGTGAGTGGGTTTAGATGTTACAACAACTCTCCCCTCCCCTTTCTTTCTCTTGCTCCAGTCACCTACCCTCACCTCCCTCTCCCCTTGCGAGACAAGACAAAGTCAAGGCGCCTGAAAATACCCCCCATCCTCCCCACTGACCCCCGCCCTTTCCCTCCCCCAACCCCGTCTTCCCCCCAGGTCACATTCGTGCCAGATGAGCCTCCCCCAGATGAGTACCGGCACGACTCCTGAGATATCTCAACCCCCCCCCCCCCCCCCCCCCCCCCCACCCCCGTTCACTCCCCACAGGTGACGTTCGTTCCAGATGAGCCTCCCCCAGATGAGTACCGGCATGACATTTCCTTGGCTGGCGTGGACTACGTGCTCTACTCCCACAGCTTCCTGCACTACGGCCAGGTGCGTGTGAGGGGTGGTGGGTGGGTGTGTGGGTGGGTGGGACAGCGATGGCGGGACGGGAAGAGTGAAGCACTGTGGCTCGCCCTGGCTGGCGTGCACTGTGGCTTTCTCACAGACCGCCTTGGCTGGCGTGCACTATGTGCTCTACTCCCACAGCTTCCTGCACCACGGCCAGGTGCGTGTGAGGGTTCAACGTAGGGTGATGGGGCAAGGGGATAAGTGAAGCAGTATGGGGCTGGTGAGTGGGACTGGACTGACGTAGGAGATTGCACAGGCAGAAACTTGCCCTGCATCCGTACCTGCATCCTTACCTGCATCCTTACCTGCATCCTTACCTAAATGCTTCTCTACCCTGCAAAATCACCCTGCATTCCACAGAAGCACCACTCTCTCACCTCTTCCCTCACCTCCCCTCACCCCTCCCTCTTCCTTCCCGTTCCTGAGCCCTTGTCTCTTTTCCATCATGCACCTCCAGTGGCCAAACTGTAGAGTCAGCTCAAGAATCAAATCAGTATTTGAGGCGCCTCAAAAATAGACCCCTCGTCTCTCTTCCGTCACGCATCTCCTCGCGCCAAATTGTAGAGTCGACTCAAGAATCAGGTCCCTCTTCCCTCCCCTTCCCTCACCCCTCCCTCTTCCCTCACCTTCCCTCACCCCTCCCTCTTCCTCCCCGTTCCTGCCCTCGTCTCTCTCTCTCCCTTAACGCGAGTGCAGGAGGCAGCAGAGGAGGCTGCAGAAACTCTTGTGGCTCTTGTGTCTGCACAGCAGCAGCAGGCAGAGCACGCACAACAGAGACAGCAGCAGCGAGAGCAGCTTCAGCTGGGGCAGCAGCAGCAGCAGCAGCATGCGAACACATCGCTGCCTACAGAACCAATTGTGGACGGACATGGGCAAGTGCAAGGAAACAACACAGGGGCTGGGGGGGAGAGCAGAGAGGGTGGGAACGCAGGAGTGGGAGTGGTAGGGGGGAGGGAGGAGCAAGGAAACGCGGCTGATGGCACGGCTGTGGTGGTATCAGAGCCAGGAGGTTTATCCGCTGCTGCTGCTGCTACTGCTGCTGCTACTGCTACAGCTGCTACAGCTGCAGGTGCAGCAGGTGCAGCAGCAGAGGCAGTACGTAGACTGGGGCTGGAGAAGCAGCTATGGCATGGCAACCCGTGCAGACACCACGTGCTGCCATCCCTCCTTGCCCAACCTCCCACCTCCATCCCCTCTTCCCCCTCCTCCTCCTCCTCCTCCTCCACAGTAGCACCAGCAGTAGGAACGGGAGGAGATGCAGCAGCAGCAGCAGGAAAGGAGGTGGCACTCGCCTCTCCACTTCTGCGCTCGCAACAACAGCAACAACAGCAACAACAGCAACAACAGCTGCAGCAGCAGCCAGGGCACCATCGCACTGCTAACTTCTCCCTCTGCAGACACCTGGCCACTCGCCTCTTCACTCATGCTCGCCCAGGTGAATCCCTTCTCAGGTGAATCAATTCTCAGGTGAATCCCTTCTCAGGTGAATCCCTTCTCAGGTGAATCCTCTCTCAGGTGAATCCCTTCTCAGGTGAATCCTCTCTCAGGTGAATCCCTTCCCAGGTGAATCCCTTCTCAGGTGGATCCTCTCTCAGGTGAATCCCTTCCAGGTGAATCCCTTCCCAGGTGAATCCCCTCTTAGGTGAATTCCTTCTCAGGTGAATTCCTTCTCAGGTGAATTCTTTCTCAGGTGAATCCCCTCTCAGGTGAATCCCCTCTCAGGTGAATTCCTTCTCAGGTGAATCCCCTCTCAGGTGAATCCCTTCTCAGGTGAATCCCTTCTCAGGTGGATCCTCTCTCAGGTGAATCCCTTCCAGGTGAATTCCTTCTCAGGTGAATTCCTTCTCAGGTGAATCCCCTCTCAGGTGAATCCCCTCTCAGGTGAATTCCTTCTCAGGTGAATCCCCTCTCAGGTGAATCCCTTCTCAGGTGAATCCTCTCTCAGGTGAATCCCTTCTCAGGTGAATCCCTTCTCAGGTGAATCCCTTCTCAGGTGAATCCTCTCTCAGGTGAATCCCTTCTCAGGTGAATCCTCTCTCAGGTGAATCCCTTCCCAGGTGAATCCCTTCTCAGGTGGATAGGTGAATCCCTTCCAGGTGAATCCCTTCTCAGGTGAATCCCTTCCCAGGTGAATCCCCTCTTAGGTGAATTCCTTCTCAGGTGAATTCCTTCTCAGGTGAATCCCCTCTCAGGTGAATCCCCTCTCAGGTGAATTCCTTCTCAGGTGAATCCCCTCTCAGGTGAATCCCTTCTCAGGTGAATCCCTTCTCAGGTGGATCCTCTCTCAGGTGAATCCCTTCCAGGTGAATCCCTTCTCAGGTGAATCCCTTCCCAGGTGAATCCCCTCTCAGGTGAATTCCTTCTCAGGTGAATTCCTTCTCAGGTGAATCCCCTCTCAGGTGAATCCGTTCTCAGGTGAATCCGTTCTCAGGTGAATCCCTTCCAGGTGAATTCCTTCTCAGATGGATCCCTTCTCAGGTGAAACCCTTTTCAAAGGAATCCTTTTTCACATGAGTCCTTTCTCAAGTAAATCCTTCAACCCTCCCTTCCTCTCACTAAGTTTGGCACTCTCCCATCTCTCTCCTCCCCTCTCCCCATCTCTCTGACCTCCTATCAACCCTCCACCCTCCCTTATCGTCCCTCTCCCCTCCCTTCCCCCCTTTTTTCATCTCACCTTCCCCTCCCCCTCCTCCTCCCCCTCCCCCTCCCCCTCCCCTCTCACCCTTCCCCACCTCCTCGCCCCTCCCCACTCCCACCCACAGACAGTCAGCACACCCCCCCTGTGCCCTGCCCCTACACGCGCTGCCCTTTTGCGGGCGGGGTGTTTGTGCCAGAGCTACGAGGGCAGTTCTTTGCAACCGAAAACTTCTTTTACACGTCGGAGGTGAGACATGGGGTTGTGGTGCGGTGGTGGGGCAGCAGAGACGACCTTTGAATCGACTCAAAAGTAACTGAATATGAATTCAACATGAATGGGGTTGGGGTGATAAATGGGATGTCGCGCGGCGGGGCAGAGCAGCAGTGGCCGCACAGGAGATTGCACTCTCTCCTGCTCTGATAGCTTCTAGGTTGCACTGTACACGCCACTTCTAAGTATCACAACATTTTCGAGTGTTATCAGACAATGCCTGCTATTGCGTATGTGCATGGACAAACCTGAGGTGAGGTGCGGTGAGGTGCGGTGAGGTGGTGGATTGAGGTAAGGCGATTGGATGTGAGGTGGTGGGATGTGAGGTGGTGGGATTTGAGGTGGTGGGATTTGAGGTGGTGGGAATTGATCAGACACATAGCATCTCCATGTTCATCTGCACCGTTTCCATCCACCTTCTCTCACTCTCACTCCCACAGTTTCTGAAGCTCCCAGCAACAGCAACACTGGCGGAGTTTGCCGCTGCAGGAGCAAGGCACTGTGCCCAGGGCCTTCCCCCAATCCCCTCTCCTGCCCGTGCCAATCACACGCTGGGAGCGCAAGGCGAGAGCGGGGGGAAGGCTCTGGGTGCTGCTACACGCAGGGATGGCGATGGTGCTGGGTCTGGTGCTGCTGCTGTGGGTGCTGCGGTTGCAGCGGCTGTGAAGCTGTCGCGAAAAGAGGGCTTGGGGATGAAAGGAGGAGCGGGGAGAAAGAGGGAAGGGAAACCGGGGGAGGGGAAAAAGGGAGGGGCGGGGGTTGGTGAGGAGGGGAGTGGGATGGTAGTGAGAGAGGAGGAAAAAGGGAGTGCGGTGGTGGTGAGTGAGAAGGAGGTGAAGGAGCATGGAAAGTACTGCTTCTCGGCTTCCTACATTGTGGCCTTCCTGCATGATGCTCTGGGGGTTTCCCTGCACGACACCAAGTGAGTAGTTGTATTGTATATGTATACATCTATCGTATATGTTTACACAACTGCAGGAAATGCTGCGCATGTGATGATGCTCATGCATGGATTCATCTGCACATTATCCCATCAGTGCATCCATTCGTTGGCACATGCACATGCACCCACATGTCGTCTCCTTCTCTTTCCTCCTCCGTCCCTTCTCCCTCATTTCGCTTGCCCACTCTCATCCCTGCCGCCCGCTTGCCCTCGTTCGCTCACCCCTCCACCAATCAGGGTTCGCTTCACCAACCGGGTGGGACCGCATGACATAGACTGGGCGCTCGGAGCAATGCTCATGGATGTTATCACGCACCGCCCCATTCCCTCCAAAACCGCCAATCAAGGCGAGGCGCGAGTCAAAGCCTCTGATTCGTTACGAGCGGACGAAAGTATAGGAACCATCATGGTTCTGCTTCTGGTCACGGCTCTGTTCCTGGTGGTCATCACACTGTTCGTTATAAGCACATACTTCCGGCCAATCCCCGTCCCGACCACGATTTTCGACCTGGAGAAGGGCCGCTACTTCACAGCTAGTTCGTTTGGGCAAGCAGGCATGGGTCCCGTTGGTGGGATGGGGAGGCCTTCTGTGTTAAGAAACGCACCTTAGGAGGAGAGTTTTGGTTGTTACACTTCATTAAGAAATTTATACATGAGTAACGATGTGTTGTTAGGAGCAATAAATGGAAAAGGGAAATTCAGAGCTTTGTGTTTGAAGTATCTGAAGCATAGGAACGATGTTCTGTTATTAACGTAGATGTAGCTCGGAACACTGGGCTGTGCTACTTCGAGCAAGAATTAGCCCAACTGAGGTGGACTACAACGGTGGCGGTTCGTTTCCTCTGATTGTGTCACATTCCAGAATACATGTTCCCCCACAGGCGCGTCGCTGCCACACCGCATCTCTAGTCAGGCGCACCGCAGCTACAGTATTGGATATCGCTGCTTGTGGTGGGCCAGCTTTTGCCAGTCTCCGCAAATCTGCGGCGCGCTGTGTTGCAAGGTTCGGTGGCATCGGTCATACTTGCCTCGGCTCGGCGCCGGTGTTGGTGGGAAAATCGGTTCGGGGGAGGGGGATGGCTGCGCTGTGTGGTGTGGCAAGCGCCAACGTCAAGCAAGCGGCTTCTCGGGTGATTTGGCGGCTAAACGGCCACGCGCAGAGCTTGAAAGCGAAACTTTTCGACTGCCTACCCCTCCCTCCCTCTTCCCTCCTTTCCTTACCTCTGCCAGACCGAAATAGCCGAACCGCGTCGCCCGCGGTGCTCCGAAACTTTCGTCAAAAGTCGCATCGGGTTGTCGCGGGATCTTTCATCGGACTGCTCATTCGTTGTTGCCAACCACACGCAGTCGCACACTTTATCTACTTGTCGCACAGACCCACAAATATACCTCATTCGGATTTGGCGACAACAGTGTGCCCTCCCAGTCCCAACTCTTCCGCTCAACTGCATTCGCCCTCTGCTGTTCCCTTCCCTCCTTGCTCCACCTCTCTCATCTCAACCCTCTCTTCCTGCTTCTGAGTTCGGTTCTCCAGCTTCTCGACTGCTCCGCCTCTGCATTTTTGCCAGTTGCCGTCGTTGCTAGGGTTTGGCCCGTTCTCTCACAGAGTTTAGACCCTCGGAGCTTTAGACGCACTCGCTCAAAATGGAGGATGCCTGCAGCTCCAACGCGATGATTTTCCAGCAGTTGGCAGCCGCTTCATCTCACACGAAAAACCGGAACGCGTGCGGAAGTGTGTTCTTGGATCCCATTGCGTCGCAATCAAATCAAGCAGCCTTGGCGAATTACGCTCTTGCCGATCAGCTTCGTCGAGCTCAGCTAGCAGCCGCTGCCGCCGCAACCGGTCTAGCTCCGTCTTCCGTGAACGCATCCGCCGCGGCGCTTCTCGCGGCGCAACAGTCCATGTCGAGCCTCGCGATGGCAGCCGCGATGACTCCCGCCCAGCAGCAGTGGGAGCAGCAGCAGCGGCAGATGCTCTTGCTGCTGCTGCAGCAGCAACGACAGCAGAACGCGCAGCTATACATGCATCGCATGGCGCTCCTCTCCTCCGCGTCTAACCACTGCAGGATGCAGCTGCTTCAACAGAACCAGCAGAACCAGCAACAGCAGCAGCAGCAGCAGCAGCAAATTAACTCCATCGCCTCCATGATATCTTCCCTCAAAACATCCGTCGACAACGAAGCGTCGCACTCCGAGTCTCCAGTCTCGTCTCCCACCGCATCTCACGGCAGCATCTCCATGCCGACCCCGGACCTTAACCTGTCGTCCATGAACCTCGCACCGGTATCGTCCGTGTACGAGGACTCTTCCGATTCCGGCGCGTCGCCTACCTGGACGTCGCCTCGCGCGGTCCACGATTTCAGCGCGTCGTGGGGAGCAGAGCACGACGGCTACGACTGCCACGCTGACCACGAAGAGGGTGCGGGTTTCGATTCCGCCGGCGTTCCCTCGCTGCTTCCTCTGCCGTCGGAGGAGGAATTTGACTCTCATCTCGTCGCCGTGCAGTCTGCTTACGTCGATCAGTAATAGCTCTCTCCGCGAGGCTTCTTAACTCGTCCTTGATTCAACGAGTCCGCTGAGAGCATTGCTGCCTTCCTGCTGAACGCTCATGAGCGAAGCAGTCAGGGTTGTTGTAAACGTATCGCCGTTACCGGGTTACCGACTGTATGTATGGTGGGCTTTCGGGGCCGGCGAGGGCACAGGCGGCTGATGAATAAGTGGCTTTTCCGCGCCACATCTGGTGCTTCGTAGCCAGAATAAGAGGCGGCTAATGCGGCCGCCCCTCACTTCGGATAATAATGGGCATGGGCTCTTCGGAGCCCCTCAACGCCTTCGAGCTGTAGTAAGCTACGGCAGCGGACATGGTTTTGTGCTAAATTCCTGTACGTCTTCTGCGTATTATTGTTGTGTTGTACTGTCCCTATTCCATTGTGTACTACTGATCAGGCTTTGTATTCTCCACTTAGCTGGCTCATGGGTTACCGACTGTTGTGACTGCGAATTTTGATTATATTGATTACAAAAGAGACTTTGATCAATGGTGTGGTGGGAGATAATATGTATTATGTGGTGCTGGTAGGTAGGCATAATTTCGATATTCACTCTGCATAATCGAGGGACTCGTTATCCCGCAGCATAATCTCTACAATCACATCATATTTAGTGCATGTACTGAGTTGCCTCGTCAACCAGTGCCCTTCGTTCGCTGCGCACCTGCCTTAGGACCAACGCGGCAACCAGCCTGACAAGACAGCTGAGCCGAGGGCCAGTGGCCAAACCACACCAGAAACAGTTCTTCAAGCCACCCCCTGCTGCCGAGCCGAACTTCGTCAAAGCAAAATCAGGACCCACCACCTCCATCCAAACCTCTCCACCACCCACTACACTCCAGCACCTCCAGCCTACATCGAGCCGAACCCCCCTGCATTCCAGTGGCTCGAACCACATGTTTCGGGGGCGCTGAGTACTGGCTACACCAATATCGCTAGGGTAAGTAGCTTTCGCAGGGGTACTACTAGCGACCCTGCGCTTTCAAGGGGACTACAGTGCTATATGCGGGCACTTTCCGCCACTCCGCCACTCCGACAGGAACATTATGGCAACAACACAGAACTCGGTCCCACATTCACCCACGTGTCACAAATTTCGCAAGCCACTGGAAAAAATATCCCTTACCTGACCGAAAAAACTAAAACCCAATCGGGAAGGGATGCGTCTTGGGGAGGCATCAACCCTATAAAAAATGTGGGTTCCCGTGTTTAGGGTTGATCCCTCCCGAAGATGAGTCCAGGTTCCCTATGGGTTTGATTTTTTTTGCCGTGCGTTTTCTAACTTTCCAAATTTGTGACACGTGGGTGAATGTGGGACCGAGTTCTGTGTTGTTGCCATAATGTTCCTGTCGGAGTGGCGGAGGGGCGGAAAGTGCCCGCAACTAGCACTGTAGTCCCCTTGAAAGCGCAGGGTCGCTAGTAGTACCCCTGCGAAAGCTACTTACCCATATCGCTATTTTCACACTGCGAAGACAATTCGATACAAGGACCACGTTCAAAGTATTTCTTTACCTCAGGCTCTTTAGTTCCCTCCCAGGGAGCATAAATTCGCCCGAAAGAATAAGACTTTGCCTTAGTTCGTCATTTGGCGGTCAGCCTGAAAATCCGCCCGAAAAGGGTGTAGTGTAGTGTAGTGTACCTCCTCCCACCCATTTTTCCGACCAGCTTCTTGAGATCAGTTATGCCCAATTTACCTAAATGCACTGACAATTTCGAGCCATGCCCGTCGATGCTGTGGTTTAGCATTACGACAGACGACTAGCCTTTGCTTCGCATGACCCGCATCGTTGGTTTGTTGGTCGCTGCGGTGCGAACGGGCCAGCAGCGTCGCATTCCCACTTAGGTGCTTCCTAGATAAACTAAACTCTCACGGGTTTCTGGCTTACACGAGACGAGCAATGCGCATCATTAGAGGGATTCCACATCCTTCTAATTCAGTCGCGCCTATTAATCTCCTGGTCCTCGCATTAGGGAATGTTCAGGACGGATGGGGAGTTGAGCTAAGCAACAAAAGAAGCAGTTCGGTTTCTCAAAGAGGAAAACGCACCTGCAGGGAAGTATCAGCAATACAAGGATACTTCGCCTTCTGCGTTCGTGACAGAAGTTTCGCCCTTTCGAATCTCTTTCGCGATTGTTCGTCCGGTCGGGGTCTTTATTCTGGTCTTAGTCCGGTCTCGAAAACAAGGAGGGGAGGAAAGCCAGTATAAGCTAGAGGACTTTCGAGTCGACTCAAAAGTCACCCGGGCTTTAAGAGGCACACGTATGAGCTGCTTTTGCCCCCCCGACGAAGAAATCTTCGACGAGGGAAGCTTCGACGAGGTATCGTCCAGAGGGCCGCAACCATGCGGCGGCGAAAACGCTGCTCCTGGGAATGGCGTTCACCAACAGCGCGAAGCCACATCAGCTGGAGCCACGTCAGCTCCTGCTGAAGCAGGTACAACCACGGCCATCCCGCCTGATGCGGCTGCAGCGTCGTGTTTCCATCCCCCTCCCCCTGCTGCTGCATCCGCGGACTCCAGGTTGCGCGCAATAGAAGCCTTCCCCTTGCGGCGCAGCGCTCTAAAGCGGAACTTGGGCGCTGGGAATCAGCAGCAGCAGCAGCAGCAGGAGGCGCAGGGGCAGGCGCAAGGGCAGCAGCGGCCATGGCAGTCGTGGTTCCGGAGTCGATCCCCTCAGCAGCAGCAGCGGGACGGCGGCTCCCGCGCGGAGGAGGCGGAGGCGGAAGACGACGACGGGCGCGCGCGGGACGTGTGGGAGGCGGCGGAGGATAACACGCTGGGCACGTGGGCGAATCCGGTCTCCGCCTCCCTCCGCTTCACCCGCGCGGCGCTCACGCGCAGCAGCAGCCGCGCGGCGGCGTCGATCCGCGACGCGCAGCACCTTCTGTGGCACAGCATCGGCGGGGGGAGCGGGCGGGAGGGGACGGGGTCGAGCCGGCGGGACATGGGCGCAGCCGCGGACCAGGCGGTGCGCCTGGCGCGAACGAGCGAGGAATGGGAGAAGGAGGGGGAAGAGGAGGAAGAGGAGGAGGGGGAGGGGGAGAGGGGAGGGGAGGAGCCGGGGAAGGCGGGTAAAGGGGCGGCGGATAAGGCCGACAAGGGGCACGGGGCGGAAGAGGTTGAGAGCGGTGCAGGGGGGGTTGGATCGGCGGGGCTGGGCGGGGAGGGAAGGGAGGAAGTTGAGGGGCGGAAGGCGGACGGCTGGGCGCGAAATGATAGAGACGCGGAGAGAGGAGTTGGGGACCCGGATGGTGATGGGTTGAAGGAGAGTGATAATGATACACCAGGTGTGGTGGTGGTAGGAGGGCGTTCTAACACAAAGGGGGCGGCACAGGTTGCAAGGGGAGCGGGGGAAGTGGGAAGAGGGGCGGCAGAGTGTGCAGGAGTCGCATCAGGTGTTTCTGCAGCACAGAGGGGGGTGATTCAAGGGGAAGGAGGTTCCAACACAAAGGAGGGGTGCGACAGTGCCGAATGTGCTTCAAGTGAAGGGCGTGACGCCGGCAGGGTGGGGGCTAGGGAGGCTAATCCTGGGGGTGACAGTAACGAGCGGTGGCAGATTGGGGAGAGTTCAAGCGCTGTTGCCTGCACGGTCGAGAGCAGGGAAGGGGCGGGTGATTCCGTGTGTGCGACAGGCGCCACCACTGGTACAGAAGACAGGCAGGATTCGCAAAGTCTGGACACACGAGCAGCGGAGAACCACCAGCAGCAGCAGCAGCAGCAGCAGCAGCAGCATCACCAGCAGCAGCAGCGCCTAGAATTAAAACAGGATACTGCTTCTTCCTTGGATTTGCCGCCAGGTGATGCAGAGGCAGCAAGAAATCCTGCTTGTCTGGCTGTTGGTTCTACCCGGTTGAGCAGTGGCGGAGGAGACGAGCAGCGGGGAAGTGGGATGGGTGCAGCAGCAGCTGCAGCAGCAACAGAAGCAGCGGTTGCAGCAGCAGCAGCAACATCAGCAGCAGCAGCAGTAGCAGCAGGTGGAGGGTTAGGGTTAGAGGCGGTGGAGGGGGAGGAGGTGTTGGAAAAGGGAGAGGTGGTGAGAGGGGAGGAGGGAGCAAGTAAAGGTTCGGAGAATGAAGGTTCGGGGAATGCGGGTTTGGGGGATGCAGGGTCGGAAGATGCAGACTTAGAAAATGCGGATTCACAGGTGCACTGTAGCTTGAATACGGAGGCAGAAGGAGGGGTGATTGCAGGGAGGATGGCAGACGAAACAGCAGACAGGGTACAGCTGGATATGCAGGAAGACAAAGAGGTAGTCGAAGGGAAGGAGGATGGAGGAAGAGAAAGGGTCGGTCCAGGCGTGGTATCCCCTCTTAGAGGTGCGGATTTCGCCCATGATAACACATTATCCGACAACAGACGAGAGCAGCAGCAGCAGCAGCAGCCGGAAACACCTGACGCCATCCCGCATTCGGGAATGCATCCGGGGGTGCCGGCGCGGCTGATGCTAGGGCTGGAGCACTCAGGGGAGGTACTCATGTCTCACTCGCACAGGGGCGGGCGGGTACGCAGCAGCAGGCGAATGGTCCATGGTGCAAATGGGGAGGTTCGGGCACAGGAGGAGGTCAGTGGGGCTTTTACCTCTGTGCTTTCGCTGATTGATTCAGAAGATGAGGATGAGGAGGAAGAGGAGGAGGAGGATGAGAGAGAGGGTGCTGGAGGTGAAGGTGATAGTAACGGTGTTAGTATCGGGGATGGGGGTCATGGTGGGGAGAGATACTATAACGGTGGGGATGGTGAGAATGGTGCTAGCAAGGACAGCACTGCACCCACCACCAGTGATCATCATCCCACCAAAGCACTTGCGACTGACCCCAGCAAGTCACCTCAGGGTCAGGCCTCTGGGTCCGGGACGGGGCGTAGTAGGAGCCCTCTGGGCTTGCAACAGCACGCAAGTGGTAGTAGGATGGACGGACGCATGGCTGCTGCTGCTGCTGGTGCTGCCGCTGCTGCTCCTGGCACTGCTGCTGCCTCCGCCGCTGCTGGTGCCGCTGCTGGTGCTGCTGCTGCGGGTGCTGGTGCTGGTGCTGGTGCTGGTGCTGGTGCTGGTGCTGGTGCTGGTGCTGGTGCTGGTGCTGGTGCTGCTGATGGTGGTAGAAGTGGAGTAGGTGGAAGAAAAGGGTCTCTGAAAGGGGGCCCTCAGCAGGACCGAGCCTCGAACTACGCCAGGCTCGGCAAAGGGGCGGTTTCCATCCCGGCCAACTCGCTAGGTTTGGTAACCCCGTCTAGGCTCGTGCGGGTGCAGTCGTTGGAGCAGAGGCTCATGCAGGAAGCAGAAGTGGCGGACGCTGCTGTCATGTATGCTGCGGCTGTGGGGCCAGGAGGTTCGGCAGGAGGCTCGGCAGGAGGTTCGGCAGGAAGGGAGTTCAGTCCCGCACGCAGCAGCGCAGCGGCAAGGCACGGGGAATTGAGGGCAGGCATGGGAGGAGGTTCGGATTGGGATAGGAGCACAGAACTGGGGGATCCCTTGGAAGAGCGGGAAGAAGGGGAGGGCGGGGAGGGTGGAGGAGGGATGAAGGGGGGTAAAGGAGGAAGCGAGGAGGAGAGGGCTTTAGCTGCTGCTGCTGAGCGACGGAGGATAAGACTCGCTGCTCTGAAGAGTGGCAGGGGAGGCGGCAGCATCAACAGGGACAGCACCGGCGGTGGCGGCAGGGACAGCAGCGAGGGTAGTGGTGGTGGTGGTGGGGGGGGGAGCATGAATAGGAGGAGCAGCAGTATAGCAGACGATCCCACTGCTCCGGCTAATTATTCCTTCACCCGGTGCCAGACCTGGGGGCCCACTGGTGGGAGGACCGCAAAAGGAGCAGCAGGAGGAGCAGCAGGAGGAGGAGGAGGAGGGGGAGGAGGAGGAGGAATTAGAGGAGGGGTTCGAGGAGGGGGGGTAGGAAGAGTAGGAGCGGGGTTTGTGGGCAGTGGGACAGTGGCTGCAGGAGGAGAGAGGTCCCTTAGACGGAAACCCCTAGCTGCGGATGTGTTTTCTTGGGCTACTGAGTCAACTTCCCCCCCTCCCCCTCCCCCTCCTCGCTCCGCCTCCTCCTCCTCCTCTTTCTACCCACAGCCCTCCAATACCCACCCCTCGACCTCCACGCACCTCGTCCCCTCCCCCTCTCCTACCTCCTCCCCTACCGCCCCTGCTACTGCCTCTCCAGCTGCTGCTTCCCACAGCATGCGCAGGAGTCATACCTTAGAGGGTGGGGCTTTCACTCCTTCGCCCAAAACCCCTCCCCCCTGCCCCAGTAGTTCTAGGCGCAGGGCAATCAGGGGAGCTTCTGGGGAGTATGGTGGGGGCGAGGGTGGGGGGGAGCGAGAGGGAGGGGGAGAGCGGAGGAGGGGGAGTAGGGGGAGACTGGTTCCCCCCCCTAGGAGTTGCAGCGTGGAGGGGACTGAGGGGGGTGAGGGGGATGAAAGGGATGAAAGGGATGAAAGGGAGGAAGGGGATGAGAGGGATGAGAGGCGGCAAGGGCATAGGCACAGGCTGATGCTACATGAAGAGGGGGATGCATGTGAATACAACAGTAGCCCTGGCGATACATGGGGTTCTAAAGGAGGGGCTTACCGGGTGGGAAGAGGGGAGGTGATTCGGAGTGTATCGGAGCAGAGCGAATCAGAGGAGGATCTATCACAGCTCTTCTTTTCAGCCCCGTTGGGGCCGGATGGGAGGGGTGGGGGAGGGGGGGCGGAGAGCAGAGGGGGAGGGGGACGCAGGACACATGTTTCTGGGTTGGCAAGGGGACCCCCGAGGCCAGTGCAAAGGGGAGCAAGGGGAGTAGGAGGAGGGGGGTTGGCGAGGCGTGGGAGTGGGTTGAATGCGGTTCCCGGTGGTGCTGTTGGTGGTGATAGGGGTAGTGGGGTGGTGCTTGTGCCAGCCGCTAGGAGACAGCTCGCTAGGCATCGTTCCGAACCTGCTGCCATGCTTGATTTGTTGCTTCGGGCAGCCACCGAACCAGATGCGGATGGAGGGGGTGAGGCGGGGGGGAGGAGTGGAGGGGGAGGAGGGGGAGGGGTGGTAAGTTTGGGGGGAGTTGGGGGGAGGAGTGCATCAGGGATTGGAGAGGATGAGACGGGGGATGAGAGTGAGTTTAAGGTTATGCATTGGCCATTGCCGGCTTTGCAGGAAAAGGGATCGAGGAGACACAAGGATGATGGTGGTGGTGGTGGAAGGGGGTGACGATGGGTTGGAGAGGAAAAGGGCCTCCCCAATTTGTTAATTTGCTTTTTATTATTAAAACCCCCGCTGCTGTATTAAACAACGTGCTTGTTAAAAGTAGATGTGCTTCAATCTAGCATCCCACATTCTCTAAGAGGAAACTTAAAGTTTCTATGTTGTGGAAAATATTGTGTTATGAGAATGTACAAAATGTTCAGCACCTCCGGCTCCGCTGCAAGCACATGTTGATAACGAGTCAAGTTCGCCACTCCATTCCTCTCCCCCCATTCCTCCCTTCCCCGCCCCACACCACACTGACAACTGCTGCATCGCCGCGGCAATCGGTCTACTGCCTGCTTTGCCACACCACAACCGTGACCACGGCACGGCATTACCGCTGCGCTTTCAACAGTTCGGCGACCGCCATGATTGGATTTTCCGCCCCTCGCCCGATAGCTTAGCTCCGTCGTGTTCGGATCTTCTCGTCCTGATATAGCGATTTTTTTAGCATATATTTTTTATACTCTGAAAGCAAGGCGCCGCCAATTCCTGGTACGGCATCAATTTTGGGACTCGCGTCGTCGCGCGCGAATGGCGGCGTCCGCGCCGGCGCCGTTGCACCTCTACCGCCGCATCCTGCGCTTGGCGCGCCGCCTCCCCGCGGACGCGCGGCCGTACTACGCGCAGTACGCGCGGGAGAACTTCGCGGCGTTCCGCGACGAGAGCGACGCGGAGCGCGCGGCGGACATGGCGCGGCGGGGCGCGGAGCACACCAAGTGGGTGGCGCAAAAGGTGGGTTGCGTCTGCATGACGTGACACAGTAACATGGGGGCATGGTGGCATGGGGGCATGGGGGCATGGGGGCATGGTGGCATGGGGGCATGGTGACATGGGGGCATGGTGACATGGGGGCATGGGGGCATGGTGACATGGTGGCATGGTCGCATGGTGACATGGTGATATGGTGACAGAGGAGCATGGGGGCATGGTAGCATGGGAGCATGGGGCCGTGGTCGCATGGTCGCATAAGGGCATGGTGGCATGGGGGCATGGTGACATGGTGACATGGTGGCATGGTGGCATGGTGGTGACGCTCTGGTGCGTGCTTATAGTCGCATGTTTTTCCTGAAATGAGCTGACCAGTTGGGATAGGTTTTAAAAAGCCAACCCTGGACAGACAGCAGCTTGCTGAGGGCTTTGTATTGTGGGTGGACTTCTGAGGCGCCTCAAAAAGGTGTGTATTGTTGGTTGACTTTTGAGGCTCCACAAAAGGTGTGTATTTTGGATTTTCTCTGTCTCCAGGGATGAACCCTGGAGAGAGAGCAGCTTGCTGACGGCTGTGTATTGTGGGTTGACTGTGTCCCACACCACACATCCTTCCTTTCACTCTGCCTGTTTTTTGAAGCTCAGAAGACACGATGTGAGCTGTTGGTGTGGTGAAACTGTGGGTTGAATACGGCAAACCATGCTACCATGTGTGCCACCTTCATACCACAACTTTATGTGTTGTCCGCATCATGCCAATCAATTATCTCATGCACGGTGTGCACACATTCATTATCTCTCATTTGCGCTTCCACCAAACTGCTTGCTTCTCTCTCCACAGTTTAAAATGGACGAGCAAGTAGTGGCGAAGGTGATGGAGGGCCTGTGATTGATACACCAGTAATGGTACTTCATACACTTGTGTTAAACGGTCTAGGTGTAGAGCAGCAGCACTTTAGTAGCTTTAGGTGCATTTTCATATGATACGCCAACAAAGTGTTCTATTTGTGTAGAATCACACTGAACTGAAGTCGGTGCAAGGCACTTTTCCAGTGTACTGGTACCTAGTGGGCCAACGTGAGGTCAGATATGACTATTGTACCTAGTGGGAATGCACGCTGGTGTGATCTACACTGTACGATTATACTCTACTTGAGGAACCAAAGTTACCGTACTATCACTCTCATTTACATTGGAGTGGCCAAAATTTAAAGCGCATAAAATACAATAACGGTCCAACAGTGTAGCACACTGTACAGTGTGCTGTACACCTCACCAGCCTACACTACACGAGGCGCATATCACACTTGGGCCCTGTGCAGTACGAGAATGGAAGGCTGTTAGGCACAACCAGTGCCTCTGTTGTCAAAGTTATGTTGTTACCAGATGGCCGCAATGGTGGAAACTCCACCTCCACAAAAATAGCTTTGTAGCCGACCTGGTGGGATAAGGAGCGAGGGAAAGTGTAATCAAGGTATAAGAAAGGTTGGCAGACCACGTGGCCAGTCATGCAAAGGTGTGTGAAATGGTACGTTGGGGGAGGATCTGGGCATGGAAGTGCCAGAGCTAACTTTTGAGTTGACTCAAAAGTCAGCTCTGGAGGATCTGGGCATGGAAGTGCCAGAGGCAGTCGAGGTTTCACTTTTTTATCAACCCAAATGCCCTTAACGATACAACGATTGAAAGGCAAGCACACACGAGGTAACTACCTTGGGGAAGTTAGTGATGCGGGCGCGGAAGTGCCAGAGGCGGTCGAGGGCGCTGTAGGAGGGGCGCACAGGCACCGGCTGGAAGAGCACTGCTTGGGGGCACAGGTCACCCAGCAGTGGCACCTGAGTGACCTTGAGGAAGCTGCAGGGGGGAAGGGGACGAGGGTGTAAAGGGGTGCAGCAATGGAGTGAAAAGGGTTGAAAGGTGTGGCCGCGCTGTAGGAGGGGCGCACAGGCACCGGCTGGAAGAGCACTGCCTGGGGACACAGGTCGCCCAGCAGGGGCACCTGAGTGACCTTGAGGAAGCTGCAGGGGGGAGGGGATGGAAGGGGGTTGTTATAATTGGTGGAAAAGGGTGGGCGGGAATTCATGTGGTATAGAGGGAACATAAGCTGTACATTGAGAATACAGGCAGCATTAAAAGTACGTTCTGTTTAGGAGATGAAAGTGAGCGAAATGAAGGAATTAGAGGCGTCGTGATCAGTCCAAGCCCTTACAACCCCCCCCCTTGTCCTCCTTCCAAGTGATGCGGGACAAGTGATGCAAGCATAGCCAAACATCCCCCCCTACTCACCAGGTCGCAGAGGCCCCTCCAACGATCCACCGGAAGTCCCGACGCACATAGCGACGAGCAGAGCGGGAATACCTGAGGGAGGGAGGCAGTGGGGGTGGAAGGGAGTGGGGTGGGAGGGTTGGTGGGGGGAGGAAGGCAGTGCGAGGGATGAGGAGGTCGGCACCACGCCTTTTGAGGCGCCTCAAAAGCCACTCACCACGCCCTGATCTTGGCAGATAGTTTTGAAGTCCACTCAAACCTACCACACCCCACCACACCCAGCCACTCACCACGCCCTGATCTTGGTGGGGCGTCGGTCCATAGTCCCCTCAATGGCAGCGCCGGGCATGTCCAGATACCATGTGAGCTGCGGCCAGTCGGGCTGTGAACCCTGCAATGACTCAAAATCACCACCTGCACACCAGCACAGCACACCCACAGCACTCCCTACGAAACACTCACCACGCCCTGATCTTGGTGGGGCGTCGGTCCATAGTCCCCTCAATTGCAGCGCCGGGCATGTCCAGATACCACGTGAGCTGCGGCCAGTCGGGCTGTGAGCCCCGCGATCGGACGCTGAGAGGGCGACCGGTGCTGCTGGCTGCTGCTGCTGCCACTGCTGTTGTTTCTGCTGTTTGTGATACAGGTGATGATGGTGGTGCTGCTGATGGTGGTGATGTTGTTGTTGGTGGTGGTGATGACGAGGCGGAGGAGGGGAGTGTGGGAGGGGGTGGAGAGGGAGGCAGAGCGGTGGAGAAGACAATGGAGGAGTAGAAAGGGATGCCGGACAGAATCACCTGATGGGGGACGGAGAGCAAAGGAGAAGAAGGGAAGCAGGTCGAGCAAACACAAGAGAGAGTCAGTTCAGAAGCTATTCTGACTGGGACGCAGGTAGTAGCAACAGAATGCTGTAGGTGGGCAGTCCAACGGTGGCAAAACCATTGAGAGGCAATATTGTAGCAGATGCACTTGTAGCTTCTGAGAGTTTCTTAGAAACAGAAACAAACTAGTAGAGCTGTGTAAAAACATGTCGTTTTTGAAGATCATTTATACCCAAATAATTTAAATTGTGACAGAGAATGTGCGGTGTTGGAGCTTATAAAAAGTAAAAAATCAAGGAGTGAGAGGGAATGTATGGCATGGAAGAGCAAGAGACCTAGGGTGGGAGGATGGGGACGGGATTATGGGGATTGGAGGGCAGAGGTTGGTTCTTTCTGGGGAGAGATGTGGTTGAGCAAAGAGGCCGGAATATTTTCAACTTGGCTGAAAGAGATGGACGGGTGGTTTTGAATCTTTGAACTGTTTCCTTTAATCTGCCTCACTCATTCCCCCCCTCTTTCCCCCACCATCCCCTCCCCCTCTCCCTCCCTCCCCTCCTCTCCACCTCGGGGTGCTTCTGCAGGAGCATGTGCGCCTGATTCGTTGCGAGTCGACTCAAAACACTCTCGTCCCTGCCTCACTCTCTCCTCTCCCTCCACCAGACCCTAGCCCCTCTTGCGATCCTCCTCACCTCGGGGTTGTCGTGCAGCAGCATGTGCTCCTGGTCCAGTCAACTCAAAACACTCTCGTCCCTGCCTCACTCTCTCCTCTCCCTCCACCACACCCTAGCCCCTCTTGCGATCCTCCTCACCTTGGGGTTGTCGTGGAGCAGCATGTGCTCCTGGTCCAGTCAACTCAAAACACTCTCGTCCCTGCCTCACTCTCTCCTCTCCCTCCACCAGACCCTAGCCCCTCTTGCAATCCTCCTCACCTCGGGGTTGTCGTGCAGCAGCATGTGCTCCTGGTCCAGTCAACTCAAAACACTCTCATCCCTGCCTCACTCTCTCCTCTCCCTCCACCACACCCTAGCCCCTCTTGCAATCCTCCTCACCTTGGGGTTGTCGTGGAGCAGCATGTGCTCCTGGTCCAGTCAACTCAAAACACTCTCATCCCTGCCTCACTCTCTCCTCTCCCTCCACCACACCCTAGCCCCTCTTGCAATCCTCCTCACCTTGGGGTTGTCGTGCAGCAGCATGTGCTCCTGGTCCAGTCAACTCAAAACACTCTCGTCCCTGCCTCACTCTCTCCTCTCCCTCCACCACACCCTAGCCCCTCTTGCGATCCTCCTCACCTCGGGGTTGTCGTGCAGCAGCATGTGCTCCTGGTCCAGTCAACTCAAAACACTCTCAGCTATGCCTCACTCTCTTCCCCTTTCCCTCTCTCCCGCCCTCCTTCCCCACCGCAGGGTTGTTTTGCAGCAGCATATGCCCTCCTGGTCCCTTACCAGCCCACTCAAACACTCTCAGATCTGCCTCACTCACCTCAAACCACCCCCTTTCCCTCCCTCCCGCCCTCCTCCCTCACCTCGGGGTTGTTCTGCAGCAGCATGTGCTCCTGGTTCGCTCCAAGTTGATTCACAACACTCTCGTCCCTGTCTCACTCTCTCCCTCCGCCCACGCCCTACCCCCTCCCTCACCTCGGGGTTGTTCTGCAGAAGCATGTGCTCCTGATTGGGCATAATCCTTAGAAACTTGGGGTTGGGCATATCCCAGTAGAAGTAGTAGCTGTGGGGGGGGAAGGGGGAATGGGGGGAGAGGGGGGAAGGAGGGGTGTGGGGGAAGGAGGGAAGGGGGCACCACACGGCAAGACAGAACATAAAGTTCGGGCATGTGTCAGTAGTAGTAGTAGTAGCCGTGGGGGTGGGGGGGAGTGGGGGCAGCAGCACACACCAAGGGAGAAAAGCAGGGGGGGTAATAGGCCGACTGGCCGTTTTACAGGGGGTATTGTGGATGAGTGCTGTGGATGCTGCTTGAATGCTTTTGCATGGTGCATGGACCATGGTGTATGTCCCATGTCCCATCTCGCATGTCTCATCGCACACATAACCCAGACCATGACCCACAGGTCATGACGAACTGATTGTTGGCGCCAAACAGCAGCAGCTTCGGCTTCAGAGGCGCATGCAAAATGCCCCATGCCCCATGCCCCATGCCCCATGCCCCATGCCCATGGCACACAAGCGCACTCACGTGTCATCAATCATGAAGAACTCGTCGTTGGCACCAGCCAGCAGCAGCTTCGGACTTAGAGAGGCGCATTGAACGCCCTTTGCCCCATGTCCCATGCCCCCCATGCCCCATATGACTCACGTGTCATCAATCATGAAGAACTTGTCGTTGGCCTCAAACAGCAGCAGCTTCGGACTTGGAGGCGCGTTGAATAGTGCCCTTTGCCCCATGCCCCCCCATGTACCCTACCCCATGCCCCATATGACTCACGTGTCATCAATCATGAAGAACTCGTCGTTGGCGCCAAACAGCAGCAGCTTCGGCATGCTGTAGCGCTGCCGGTACCTGTACGGGTCCGTGATGGCCTGGGGTGTTGCGGTGGGGGGGAGGTGGGCGAGAGGTGGGGGAGAGGTTAGGGAGAGGTTGGGGGAATGGGGGGTTTGGTGACGTAATAAAACGTGGCATGCTGTAGCGCTGCCGGTGTACGGGTCCGTGATGGCCTGCCGGGAGGTGGGGGAGAGGTGGGGGAGAGGTAAGGGAGAGGTGGGGGGAATGGGGGTTTGGTGACGTCTTATAACGTGGCATGCTGTAGCGCTGCCGGTACCTGTACGGGTCCGTGATGGCCTGCCGGGGTTGGTGGGCAGGTGGGGAGAGTGGGGAAGAGGTGGGGGAAGGTGGGGGAGCAGTAGTGATTCAATGTCCTGCCTCTTTGCGTATTGCATGCAAGTATTCTACTCGTGATGGGGTTGAGACTTGGGGGGCGTTGAACATAGTTGCCTGCACAGCTTTTGATTCGGCTCAATACACAGACAGGCCACAAGGCAAGAGAACGTAGAGAGAAAGCAGCACTCACTCACGCTCGCACTCACTCACTCACTCTCGCACTAACTCACACACCCACTCACTCACTCACTCACTCACTCACTCCCGCACTCACCACGAGCTTCTGCATGTTGGGTCTGAGCATGTTCTTGGTAACGCCATTGGCCACGTAGGGCTTGAAGGTGATGGGCCAGCCGCCCAGCGACTGGTAGTAATGCTTCAGCGAGGCCACGAAGTTGATTGCTCCCGCCCCCACTGGGAGCAGCGCCACCACTCGCTGGGGTGATGGGGAGGAAGGGAGAGGGGAAGGGGGGTCTATTTGGAAACGCCTCAAAAGTGGGGCTTGAAGGTGATGGGCCAGCCGCCCAGCGCCTGGTAGTAATGCTTCAATGAGGCCACGAAGTTGATTGCTCCCGCTCCCACCGGCAGCAGCGCCACCACTCGCTGGGGTGATGAGCGGGAGGGTCGACGAGGGCGAAGGATAGAGGATTTAGGGCGCAAGAGGGCGCGGAAGATGTGAAGGGAAGAGAGGGCGGGGGTTAATGGGGTGGTGGGGAGAGAAGTGGGAGGCAGGGGACAGGGGAAGATAAGGGATGATTGTTCTAGCGAGGCCAGGGGGGTTTACTGCCCCCGTGCGAACCGGTAGTCACGGAGGGAGGAGAGGCAGTCTGTCTCGTTTCCTATGGCCCGCCCGGAGCTCTGTTCTGTGGTGCTATGGAAAATAGCTCAATGGAACCAGAGGGTAGACGCAGGGCACAGGCCATTTGATAGGCGCCCCTTTAGATCTAAAAGCGTTCACCCATCTGAAGCACATACCTCCCCCCTCATCATCTTTTCATGTCACCCCACCCCATCGCCTCCCCTTCCTTGCTTCGCTTCCAACCTTTCCATTCTCCACAGGCCATAGAGTCAACCCACGCTTGCCCCTACATTACGTCCATCACCGTCCCTCGCCGTCCCTCACCCTCCCCTCCCCCGCGTTCTCTCAGCCCCTCTGTCCCGTTCAAGCCACGTACGTACCTTATCCACCGCTGCTACAGCCCACGAGGCCAGCCCCCTCTTGCTCACGCCTGCCACTGCAAAGCGATTCACCTGAAGATGGTGGATGGTGGAGAGGCGGAGGCGGGGAAGGGCGGTGGGGGAGGAACATTAGAAACTTCTCACAAGTCGCCTGCCATTGCAAAGCGATGCAGGGGTGTGTGTGGTGGAGAGACAGGGGCCGGGGACGGGCGTTGCGGTGCGGGTAAGAGATGACCCCCCGGATGGGTTGGGTTTGGATTGGAAGGCTAGAGTAGCGTTTTGAGAAGTCCCGAAACATCTAGACGAGTGTGTGGGTGATGATGGTAGCTTGCAGACGGAGACACAGGAAAGCAGGGCTGGAGCTATCGCCGCAACGGGAGGCGTACAGAGTGAGACCGAGAGAACAACGTGAGCCTGACTGTTGACCTTTGACGGTTAAACTCACAGCAAGTGAAAAAGGTAGAACGCAGAGGGACAGCAGCAGTCACAGCCCTGAGCTGAGACTGGTAATTATAACTCAATAGCACGCAAAAAAATGACAGCATTCAGAAAGCCGCCCGCTCACTGATAGGGCAGGGGACAGCACTCACAGCGAGGGAGGGGAAGAAGACGGGGACGGCCTCTTGAATTGGGTCTATGGTTTGCAATCCCGCCTTGGCCATGGGCAGCGTTGCGGGCCAGTCCGAGTCCGAGGGGTCTATTTTTGAGACGCCTCAAAAATAGACTCAGGGAGAGCACACTCACAGCGAGGGAGGGGAAGAAGACAGGGACGGCCTCTTGAACCGCGTCCATGGCCCGCACTCCCGCCTTGGCCATGGGCAGAGTTGCCGGCCAATCCGAGTCCGAGGGGTTCAGCAAGAACTGACGCCACGTGGCTGCTTGGGAGAGGTGGTTGGGTGCAAGGGAGACGTGGTTGGTGCATGCACAGGGGGGGAGGTGGGACGCGCGCAAAAGGGCAAGGCGGACTATCTCCAACGGTGAAAGGCGAGCCATGGGCAGAGTCACGGAGAAGCTAAGGCGGTCGTCTGCAAGGAAACGGCAGGATCAGACACGGTGCTCACGGCGTTGACCAGAGTCAACTGGCGGACAGGTGGACTGGTCAACTGATCAACTGGTCGACCGGTCAATGCAATCTGTTCTTGTGACGCGATACGCCCGTCCTGTGTACTTTCCCCAACCCCCCGGCGCACTTTTGGGTTGTCCCAAAAAGTAGTCCGTCCACTTGTATCGGCCTTTTGTGCGCCTGCACTTCACACCCTATCAGCCCCCCGCGCACACCCTCCCCCCCCCTCTCCCCCCCCCCCCCCCACGCCACCAGCGGCGCACCTGCAACGAGCGAGTCTTCTGAGAGGGACGGCTCCGTGGTGCCGTTGGTGCGGATGGTGCACGGCTGGTTGGGCACCTGGAATAGCACGGCTCCTAGCGTGCCCGCCTGCACTGCAAGCCTGCGTGAGAAAAAAACACAGATTGGAGAGAGAGCGGACGTGATAGAACAGATTGGACGCGAGAGCATGGACTGGGTAGAACGGTGAGAAGAAACAGGGCTCAGATTTGATTTCATGAGTTGGACTCATTACGTGCCCGACTGCACAAGGGTGGAGTTTATCAGGAGTTAGGATTCAGCGCACGAGGAAGGAACATTCCGGATCGACGAGGGGAGGCGGGGGTGTGGGAGAGAGGAGACTGCTTACGCGGCGGCAATGACAACGAAGATGTCGTCGGCTTGAGGCAGCAGACCCGCATCCACAATCTTCGGGTTTTGAGACGTCTCAAAACTCGACGGGGGGAGGTGGGGGTTGCATGGTGGGGGGAGAGAGACTGCTTACGCGGCGGCAATGACAACGAAGCTATCGTCAGCTTGTGGCAGCAACCCAGCATCCACAATCTTCGGACCTGCACCTTCTGTTCCCATCCCTGTCCCCCCATCCGTCCCGTCCCCTGCTTCCCCCGCGCTCCGCGCGCTCGCACCCCCTCCGCCCCCCGCGCTCCAAACCCGGCTATCGTCCACTTCGTCCGGATCCGCGTCCGCGGTACCGTCCGCGTCCCCCGCGCCTCCTCCCCCGCCGCCTGAGTTCCGCCCCGCCGCCAGCATCAGCAGCGCCGTGCCCCGAGGCGCATTGGCCATGCGCTTAGGAACCTGGGGGGGAGGGGGTCGGGCGATGGCGGATGATCACAGCATGGGGACGAGGCGCATGGGTTTCGGAATTCCAACTCTGCGGGGAAAAGGACGGGGACTTGATAAGGAAATCATTGCGGTACCAAGAGGTACCACGAGGTTGGATGGGCGTTTTAGGGTGTGTGGAAGGAAGGACTGGGGAGCCAAACGCTCTAGGAACAGCAGGCAGTGCCACCGGAGGCTGCGAAGGTCTACCGTTGGGCGTGATAAATATGGAACCACAAACACCGGGAGCAGCAGGTGAGCGTTTTCTTCTGAAATTTGTGACAAACACTTTTCAACGTACCTGGAGGCAGCGCGTTTTCATTCAAGAATCTAACAGACGTTTTTCAACGCACCAGGAGCAACAGGTAGTGCCACCAGATGCTGCAGGAGGTGACAGAGGCGTTGAGCCATCGCTGCGACGTCATGTTGAGCACGATGCCCGTCCACTCGCCGCCGCCGTACCGCGCGTCCACCCTCCCCTGGATGCGGAACCCCGTGTCGTACCAGCTGTTGGTCAACGCCGCGGTCAACGACGCGGTCAACGCCGCGGTCAACGATAGTCAGTGATAGGGTGGATGATGGAAAGAGAGGGACGGAGGAGGATGGCATGAAGGCCAATAGTGGACGGGGTGAGTGGGTGTGTGCGGCGGAAAAATGGACTGTGAAACAAGGAAGCCAGAAAATCTGTGGCATAATGCGCCATTGGTGCGCGTCACTTGGTTCGCAAGAGACACATAGAACTCGGGCTGAGTCTTGAGGTTCCCAAGTACAGGAACGAATTTTAGAAGGAAGAGGGGGACCTTCGGTGCTACTGGAACTCCAAGGGTGCAGTCAAGCCTAGTCAAGACCAGGGCCGGTTAGCGACATACTTATAGCTGTCATCTTCCCGCGCGACATAGTCGTCAAGAGCCGTGCGGTTGTCGCACACTCGCATGTTCCCGCACTCGCTCGGCGCCTCTTCGTTCAACTCCCGCATCCTCCGTTGCTGCCGGTGACCTCTAAGATAGGACTCCGACCTGCTGACGTTGTCGCCATGCGAGGCCGCTGTTTTCCCTACTGCGAGAGTCGGAGTTACGGCGGAGTTAAGGAGGAGAGCCGAGAGTGCTACAGAAAGAGCGAAGCGAATCCCCATACATCCGTGAGTGCGACAGGTGGCCCAGTCTAGAGTAGAGTAGTTCAAAAATGCGTAAGTGATGTCTGTAAAGGAAGTTTCTGGGACGAGGAGGGAACGGCTTGGAAAGCTAGAATCTTACGAGCAGTTCCGCTTCCTTACTCGTTCCAGTCTACCCTGGCTAAGCGAGCCCCCACCAGTTTAAGCGGGCATTTCTAAATTGTCATACTTTAAGCAGTGACGCCTGCCTACGAAGCCCTACGCGAATGCCTACAGTATTGGACTAACGACGCTCGCTCCCTACCGACAAACTCTACAGCAGCTCCTACTAGTGTACCACCGCCCATGCGAAAAAAGGGTGCCACATCGATGACCAAGAGCCTTTAGTTTTCTAGAGCCCGCCTTTTCATCCCCAAGAGTGTGGCGGGATGACATGACTAGGAGCCACTAGGTACGGCGAAGTTGGATCATCATCGTGAGACCTACTCGTGGTGAATCTTCGCCGCCATCACAGCCATGGCTTGGACCGACTATATGATGTACTGTATGGACGGAGGCGAAAAATGCTGCTGGTCGGTTCAACATGACTTGCATTGCAGGGTTTGCGTCTCGGAAGCGAGAAAGGGAGTTCCAAAATGTTGACTTCAAAGAGTTTCAATCGTGCAATGTTTGCTTCTTGTGAGGGAATTCACGTCTGGTCGATCTGCTCAATTTGACGGCGAGGATTGACTCTTTTGCAAATTCTCTCTAGAAACCCGCCGCGGCAAAGCCCTCCCGCCAGTCAGAAACGAGAAAAATCCTTGTGACATCGAGACTTCCGCTCCGCACCGAACCAAGCCCAGAGAGTCTTGCCATTGGTGGGGTGGGTTTTGTTTCCACGACACGGCGAGGTCACAAATTCTGGTCAAACCAATGTAGCCGTTGAGTTCCCGCCAAAACATCAATGGTGCCGAACAGCGAAACAAGGGTGTATAATATACCCGCCATGAATACGGTATACTTTAAAGCTCGCCCACAAGCTTCCTAAACGGCTCATTCCTTACACATTTTTGCATACCAGGTGTTTTTGTAATTTTATAATGTTCACAGCACTTAGACTTGCATTTGCATTTGAGATATGGACTTTGCATTTCACGGAAGTCTAATATAATAACGGAGATTTTCAGGCACAGGAAAAAAAAAAGTAATATGAAGAGACAAACCTATCATCATAGGAGCTACTTCAAAGTGTATACAATTAGACGTTAGGGCATCACTACTACTGAAAGGACCCTGACAGTTTAGACATTAATCATGTCACGAAGTGCCTACAACAACCCCTTTAGTTGGACCCCTCCTCAATCACCTCTTGTTGGCCGGGACCACAAGTGCTGGCTCATTCTCCCAAGCCGTGAAAAGCAAATCCACCCAGGAGTCAGGAACCCCCGGCAAGCACCAGTGCCTGCAATCCCCTCTCTCTGCAACCTGCCCCGCAGGCAGGCCCCCCTTCGCCCCGTACTGCCCCACATGCCCGTCCGGCCTGGCTGCAGAAATTTCGGTAATATCTATAAGCCTGACAGGAGTAGGGGAAGAGAACACCTGGCGCTGTGCTGCTTCATAAGTGACTGCGCTGGCTGCCTGGTTGTTGAGAAACGCCTTTGCCGAGGATTGGTTGAGGGGGAGGCTGTAACCACATGTGCCGGGCAGGGAGGCGTAGCGGGGCTCAAACTTGTGCTGGGGGGAGAAGGAGATATAGTATGAGAGCAGGCTTGACCTGTGTGGGGTTGCACGGGTGGGAGGAGGGGGGCGAGAGGGGAGGGGAATTTGGGATATGGGGGAAGATAAGCCACGGATGAGAGGGAGGGATGAGAATTGACAAAAATTAACTGGACGGAGAGGTTGAAATGGGTGAATGGATGTACGGGGAAGTACAAATGGAGCCCAATCAACTGACACTATGAGCAAGGTCATTGTGAAATCTCACAACATGGACCAGCCGTTGCCAGGTACAGTGAACCCTGTACGTACTTGTGTTTCAGCAGCAGGTCGCGCACTGTGTACAGTGACTTTTTGTACGCGTTTATGTCAGAGTACAGTACATCCACGCCTTGCATCTTGTAAATGTTCGTAGCCTTCCTTCCAGGAACGTTCGCCTGCCACCACATCCCGCTCGTCAGCACCACCGCATCCACTTTAGCTACAGCTGCGCTTAAAACGGGGTCCACTAGATCGATGTCGACGGTGTAGCCGTGTCCACCCCCGTGCAGGGGGTCTCGCCCTTGGGTTCTCGAAGCCTTGGTGAGGTAGGATGAGAAGCGGTACAGTACGGTCGTGTTGGATAGGGGTAGGTGGAAGCCTGTGAATTTCGCCTCGGGACCCAGTCGCTGTTGCACGGGCTGCGGAGGATCAACGGAGGAGGGAAGGGCGCAGGGGGGAGGGGAAAGTGGGATTTCGGACCTGAGAGATAAAGATACTAGCGGTGAAAGCGCTAAGGGTCGCTAGCGCGAGGGTTACGGGGAGTTTGGCGAGATCGAGAGGTGTGTGGTGCGCGGTGGAATTCAAAAAGGAGAATCTAGGGATACATATCCTGGCCAGGGAGAAATTGGAGTTGGTGGTTCATTGCTCAGCAAAAAGTACTACCAGGGAGAAATCTATACTAGCCTACATCGAAAGCACTTGAGCGCTCCTGTGGGGTTACAAATTCACTTACCAGCATCTTGACATGGTATCCCCATAGCGTGCACGCGAAGCTCTCCCACATGTTGGTCATTAGCGAGTCACCTATAAACGCAATCGTCTGCCGAGCACACACACAGCACCGAAAAACGGACGAAACAAGAACGGAGGCAAAGCTGTTTGGTGAAACCCTTTCCTGGATGAAATATCATATGTTTCAGCGTTATCGTACACCTCCTCATCACCTCCCCTCCCTCTCGACACCTACTCTTCACGAATCTTCACCTTGCCCTCCCGTAATCCACACTCCCCCAAGTGTATCGAATCACTTTTGAGAAATCTCACAAGTATATTTAAGCATAAAAACTTTGTCCAAGTTCCAACACAATCTCCCATCTCCCGCAGTGCCGCAACCCACAACAGCCCAGTATTTTCACCGCTCTCAAACCATCCCCGCCACCCCCTTGCGAACCTTGTTAGCCATGAGCTTTTGGAATCTGCCCGCGTTGAAGTACTTAATTGCGCAATAACGGGGTGACCACTTCTGCTTCTCCCACTGCCGGTCGCCCCGCCCGTTGTCTCTACAGTCGAAGATCTCGCGAATGTACGGACAGCCCTTGTATCGAGGGTTCGTCTTGGAGTGCGTCCACTCGCCATCACTATAGTCACATCTGGCTGAAGTCCATAGCCGGAGAGAGCCCGTGGAACGAGCGCAACGGGAGAAGGAATGAGGGAAGAAGCGGGGTGAAAAGCATTAGCAGAAGCAGTACACGAATAAAAAGAAGAAAATGCACCGTGAAATGTGACCGCAAACTGTTTCACGGTGTTATGCGGAAACCCTCACTATACCACTGGCAACGACAGAAGAGAATTCCGCGAAAACACGCGAGCTGAGCACAAGAGGATCGTGCACATGCCCGATGTTACGGACGTCTCGCCTAGCGCCCTTATCCAGAGCGCTTAGTTAGATATTACTCACGGCTAGTTGGTTGTGGAAGCGCGGGTTGGCTTCTGGAGGTCGCAACGGACGCAGCGAGTACCAGCGCAAGTAGAGCCACGTGGAAAGCGGTGGACTTTGAAAAGACTTGACTGGAATGTATTATATAATGGCGGTGACGAGAAGCGACGGTTTGATGGGCCGCCATGGATTGGCGCGAGGAGACGCGCCTACGGTCGGAGCATCTTTCTTGAAGATCACGCTGATAAACAGGAATGTTGAGGCGCAGCATCATGTGACGCTCACGAGACGTTCCTGCGACGTTAGGTTCCAAGATTCGTGTGACGCGTGGCGTCGTTAACTTCAGGGTGCACGGTTGCAGTGCCGTCCCAGGTTAGGTCGAACGTGAGGGTCCGTCGTCGCTGTGAGAGCATTCAGCGAGACATGCAAACGGGTGAACGTTGTTGCAACTCAAAGAAGCACGACGACCTTCAATCGTGGAATTCGGGAGCATAAGAAATAGCCAGATCAGCCCTCGCAACGAAAACCTTCGCAGCCAAGAACGAGTGAAATTGGCGCAAATGGGTGCTGGTTTTGTTTCCTGTGTGGTCTTCACTTCACAGTGCCGGATTTGCACGATGCCAATACGGCTGGCAGCATGAAGCACGAAACAGATCGCTGGATGAAGCTCTTGTGTGATCGATTTTTTAACGTCGATCTCCCCGTTTGCCCGATTGCTTCAGAGCCCACATGTTAAATGTTATTGAGTTTGTTTGAATAAGGTTAAGCATTCTTTTATTCAACTCATACGGGCAACGGACATGTAAATGCAATAAAATATGCTCCAACGTCTTGGCAACTCGAGAACAGTCATTTTGGGGGCAAACTGTTTCGAGCCTTTATTCAGGAAATGCGGTTCGATGTTCGAAAGAAATGCGACACGTCCCAGGACAACTATTACCGCCCTGGGTTTTCCGTGCCAAACCTCTCGATTGCACCAATCAAGTCACGTTGAGAAAATACAGGTCAACAATCAGCGGGATGACAGCCTGGGAGTGACGAGGACATCACATCGCCCAAAAACCCGTACCCATGAGCCCTTCACTCTGTACAGTAATTCGTTCTGATTCTATATGTGAGCTTCTCTGATTGCTACATTTGATGTCTAAGAACGTTAAAAATAATTAAATATTCGATAAGGAAAAACGATTAGGAATAATTGGAACTAGTTAATAAAGATGTATATTTACACTATATTGATGTGGACCACAAATTGCTGCACATTGGGAGGACAGGCAAATTCTACTGGTTTCCCAAATATCAATGCATATAAAGTAGCCCCATGGAGAAACACCCTCATTCGGTACGGGGAAACAGACTATGCGTATAACGAAATTTACATGACGTGGCAGGCACATCCATCAGCTGCTTCCACTCCTCTCCACCAGCCTACTTGCTTGAATAAGTACATCAGCAGAATTCACGCCGCATCTCGCGCCGTTTGGGGCCCAGGCGGGCTTGCCTGGTGCTTCTAAATACCTTCCGCCTCGGTCTATCATCTAGCTTGGCTTATCGTTCCGCATGGCTTGCACATTCACCAAGCGAATTCTCCTCGTCGCTCGTTCTCGCAAGGAAGCTGGCGAATCTCTCGTCGCACGCCATTAGTAACCTCTCGCCAAAACCTTATCTCCTCGCATTTCCCGCCATACGCTGGTGGCTTCCGTCCCTCCTCGTCCGCCAATCACGCTCCATGCTCCACTGCAGGGAGAAAGCAGATACCTCTCGTGTTGCAGGCAGCCTTAGTTAAGTTCTCGTAAGCTGCAGACCAAGGAGCAGAATATCAAGCCAAGTTTAAATCGTTTTCAGTCGGACCCACATCGTAGTTGCCGCTTGTAGACTGATATACACCTCCCTGCAGCCACATTTCACGGTGACTAGTCCAAACCTCACGTCTTCCCTCGGTTCGCTAGCTGCTCATCTCTCTTCCTTCGCTTCAGCGTCAATCACGCATCGCGCGACGCTTTCTCTCTCGTCTCTTCAAGCTCTCTCCCCGCCTTCTCCTCGCTTTCTCTCCTCAACGCTTCCAGTCCACCCTTCCCCCGCATCGGACCCCCGCTTCCCCTTCTCGTTCCGCGTTCCGCCTCCCACTTTCCGCGCTCGCTCCTCCTCTCCCCTAATGGCTTGCCCCTTGCGCGCGGCCTGCGGATGCGCCGCTCCGCCTGCAGCCGTGCTCTCCGCGCACGTGCCGCAGGGAGACCAGCGCGCGAACCCCGCGGGGCGGAGGCTCCCGGGAGCCGCACGGCATGGGGGGCGCGGAAGCGAGGCGGGTGGACGGGGGCAGAAGCGAGCGGTGCGGGTCATAGTGGCATGGGGTTGGGGTGCCGCCGCCGCCTCCGCCTCTGCTGCTGCTGCTGCTGCAAATTCCGCGGGTGCTGGGGTTGGGAGCGGTGCAGGGGACTTTAGGCGCATTAGCACGGGCGGTACTGCTGCAGTGAAATCGTCTGGTGCTCCTTCTGCTGGTGGGGTTGCTTGTGTTGCGGCCGTGGTGTCAGCTGCTGGCGCTGCTGCTGCTGCTGGTGGCGCTGCTGCTGGTGGCGCTGCTGCTGCTACATCTGGTGCGGTTGGTGGTGCTGGGGGGGAGGAGAGAGATGCAGGGGGGGAAGCTGACGTCAGCGGCGGAGGGGGACAAGGTGGGGGCAAGGGGTGGTGGGGGCGAGGGGGCTGGGGTGGTGCAGGGGGGAGGGGGGAAGGCGGGGGAGGAGGCGGGGGGGAAGGGGAAGGGGAAGGGGAAGGGGAAGGGGAAGAAGAAGGGGAAGGGGAGGGGGGGAGAGAAGGCGAGGGCAGTGATGGTTTGTTTGCTGCTAGGCGTAGTTCCAGTGGGGCGGATGCTGGCAGCAGCAATTGCAGTAGCAGTAGCAGTAGCAGTAGCAGCAGCAGCAATAACAGTAGCAGCAGCAGCAATGGAAGCAGCAGCACCAGCAACACAGACGCAAACAGCACTACTAGCAGCAGCAGGGCCTCAGCCCAGGAAAAACCACCCACGGCGCTCCAGAGAAGGAAGACCCGGGCGGGGAGGCAGGGCGCGAGGCAGGGGCAGGGGAGAGGGGGAGGAGGAGCAGCGGAGGGGGGAGGGGCGGGGTGGCAGTGGCACGTGGGGTGGGTGGGAAGCATGATTGGATTCACGGGACGGAACCTACTGTTCGTGGGCAACGCTGCCTTCTTCCTCTCCTCCCTGCTGCAAGCCTCGCCACACAGCGACGTGCCACTGGTAAGCCCACGCCCACGCCCACACACACCTGAAGCAAGTCGGCTTGGACCAGAAACCCGGATTTTGATGCTCGGATCGGACACCCCTGCCGCGTCATATGCTTCTTTTGCCTTTGAATCTTTTGAGTTCACTAAGAGTCCTGTACCGTCTTTCTTCCCGCATCCCCCCTCCCTCCCCACCACCGTCCTGCATGCGTTTCCCGTTTCACTGTGTGTCTTGGAGGTGCAGGGGGAGGAGGGGGAGGAGGAGGAGGATGAGGTGGAAAGATTGCGACAGAAATGGGGGAGGGGGATGAGGGGAAGAGGGCCGCGGACGGGCCAATGGGAAGCTGACAAGTGGCAGCGGTGGAGGCGGCATCGGGAGAGGGTGGAGAGGATGAGGATGAGGGAGGAGGCGTTGGAGAGAGCGAGAGAGAGAGTGAGGGAGCGAGTGAGGGAGTTGGAGAGGGAGAGGGAGCGGAGGAGGGCGGAAGGGTTGAGGAGGGCGTGGGAGGAGGCCGCGAGAGGGGGAGGAGGAGGAGGGAATGGAGAACGGAGGGGTGCAGAACGGTTCAGTAGTCGCAGTGGCCACGATCCCCGCAGTGCCTATTTCAGTGGTTCGTTCTACAGAGGAGGAGGAGGGGGTGATAGCGGTGGCTTGGACGAGAACGAGGATTATGAGGGGAATGAGGAGGAGGAGGAGAGGGAGTTTCAGGAGTGGCTGAGAGAGAGGATTCGCATGCGACGGGCCCAGGATGAGGCGGAGGAGAGGAGAACCGGGAAGAGGTTCGGGCACGGGTATGGGTACGAGTATGGGCACGAGCATGGGTCCGGGTCTGGGTCTGGATCTGCTTCCAGAGACGGGAGTGGTTATTATGAGCAAGCGTATGGTTACACGGGTGGGAGCTATGGTAACAGCAGTAGCAGTTACGGTGGCAGCAGTAACAGTTACGGTTACAATGGCAGCAGTAACAGTTATGGTTACAGTGGCGGTAGCAGTAGTGGTAGGAGCAGCAGTGACAGCACGAGTGTGTGTGAGCGCCCTTCCTCTTACCGCACGTATGACCGATGCTGGAACGCTCTCTTGTCCTCCCTCAGAATCCACACCCAGCAGCAACAGCAGCAGCAGCAGCAGCAGCAGCAGTCGCCCCACACTCCCTCACCCTCCTCCCCCCACCACGCCCCATCATCTCCCCTCCCCGCCTCCACTCCTTCAGCTCCTGCCGCCCCTCCTCCCACCGCCCCGCTCGCCCTTACTTTCTCCGACATCCCCTGGCCTCCTCCTGGGAACCCTTTGTTTCTGGAGCCTGGGGATGGGCGGGCAGAGGCGGACAGGAAGATGCGGCGCGCTCTGCTGGTGTGGCACCCGGATAAGTTCCGCGCTCACTGCGGCCCACACTTAGCTAAGAGTGACCGCGGAAGGATTGAGACGGCGGCTGCGGCGGTGGCTGCAGGGGTGATGCGGCAGCACGCGCAGCAGAAGAGAGCTTGAGGGTGGATGGGTGGGAGGTGACCTTTGAGTGCGGATGGGTGGACTCAAAAGGCCGCGGTGGTGGCTGCAGGGGTGATGCGGCAGCACGCGCAGCAGAAGAGAGCTTGAGGGTGGATGGGTGGGAGGTGACCTTTGAGTGCGGATGGGTGGACTCAAAAGGCCGCGGTGGTGGCTGCAGGGGTGATGCGGCAGCACGCGCTGCAGAAGAGAGCTTGAGGGTGGATGGGTGGGAGGTGACCTTTGAGTGCGGATGGGTGGACTCAAAAGGCCGCGGTGGTGGCTGCAGGGTTTGATGAAGCAGCACGCGCAGCAGAAGAGGGCTTGAGGGTAGACGGGTGGGAGGTGACCTTTGAGGCGTCTCAAAAGGTGATGCGGCAGCATGCACAGCAGAAGAGGGCTGGAGGCGCGAGGGATGGGAAGGAGGGGAGAGTGGAGATGGAATGGTTGCGTGTGCTGCAGGGGTGATGCGGGAGCATGTGCAGCAGAAGAATGTTTATGCGGGCGAGGTATTGGAAGGAGGGGAGAGTGGAGATGGAATGGTTGCGTGTGCTGCAGGGGTGATGCGGGAGCATGTGCAGCAGAAGGGGCTGTTAGGGTGGATGGTTGGACTTTTGAGTTGATTAAAGCGGCGGTTGCTGCAGGGTGGATAGGTGGAAGGTTTGAGGGGTTGTTAGAGAGCTGGACGAGAGAGGAGGGGAGGGGGGAGCCGGAATGGCTGTGGGCACTAATGTGGTTTGTTGACCGAGGGAGGGGGAGATGGCAGAGGGGGGAGAAATACTGTATGCTTGTTGGGTGAATCCAAGGAGTTTTTGGGCCAATGTGGGCGGCATGGCAGCATGAGCCAGGGAATAATATCTTCTGTACAGATTTAAAAGATGGGTACTACTGATGAGTGGACAACATTCAAAAGTAAAGGTCACTTGTACCAGCAAATGTACACATCAACTTTCAATGTTTGGTTTGGTGTAGTTGGGTGGTGCACAGAAAACGGATCGGGCCCATGCCTTTGGGGTCGATGATAGGGGTTCTCAAGGTGTACAGTCTATGGCGTTTATAGATGCTGGGCTGATCGAATTTCCACAGTTGAAACTGCAGCGCACATTACTAGTTTTACCGCCATGCTTCCAAACAAGTCATACCTTACCATACATATGAAGTACCATATGTCAACAAACATTCTTACAGTTCTAATGATGTGTTCTGAAGCTGAGTGCATTGAGCGAATTTACGCTTCTATCGAGACAGTACAGTGAAGCTCGTTGGAATGTTTGAACGTCAGAATTTGAATTCTCGGACATGCAAACCCAGCCTTGGGCGCCACGAGTCGTTGGCGCGAACACCTGCTCGTGCACTTGCGGAAGAACCTCCGCTCCGCTCTGCTTCACTGTGACGCGTGTCATCCCCCCTGCGCCCAGCCCCTTCACTGCATCAGCAGCAGGGGTGCGCTCTCCAAAATCCAAACTGAACTCTCCGCCAGAAACCAATTTTCCCCGCCCTTCATCCCTTCGTTTTCCCAGATTGTCTTCCGCCCAAGCATGCCATGCCTCCCCCACGGCCCTACACTGGGCACGCGGAAGGAGTGGGAGGGAGGAAACCCCCCAACGACTCCTGCCATTCCCGCCTTGACATCGACGCGCGGACATCCCCGCGCACCCGCCCAGTCTTCCGCCCCCATACCCTCCCGACCGACCCCAGAATCCAACTCGGCTCTTTTGTTTGACTGCCTTTCTGCTTTGCTGTTCGAATTTCTTTTTGCTTTTCATATTCTCACTGCTCTTACCGTGCTTTGCTTTAGCACGGCAAGAGAGGAAACAGAGGTATCATGCATTTGCTAAGTCGAAACCGTTGTTCTGTGTCGCCGTTGACGGCGTCTAAATCGTGCCGCCTTGTTGGCGCTCAGTTGACGTAGATTTCGTGCTTCCGATTTTTGTTTTTTTAGTTGTTCCTGCCTGACTACGATCTCGCTGCCTCACGTAATCAGATACCCATACGTAGTTCTATCCCGTTTTAACGCCGGGCAACGGCTATCTTGCGGCTTATTGTAGTTCTCGCGCGCAGACAGCCGTACCTATCTCCTCTCGCGCCATTCGTGCCGTCGACCTATTACTAAGACCACCTTGGAAAGACGGCAGACATTTTACACATGTGCCACGCTTTTGCATTGGACGAAGGCTCTGCACCAGCGCGTACTAGTGATAACGCGCCATACTCCTTTGGTACGATAAGCGTCGTGCTGGCCTTGTTATGGAAACACCTGAAAGACCCGTTTCCTTTGTCTTCTTGTCGTGTGTCCACCATTTTCGTTTTCCACAACATGTTTTTACGCTCTTCATTTCCTTTCCGCCTTTCCTGTTTTCTCTTTCTTTGCGTCTGTCGCATTTGTTCGCTTCATTATTTGCTGAACCCGCACCGTATATTCTCTTTCTCGAGTGAAGTATTTTCACACCCTTCAGTCCCTTCATCCCTCACCATTTCGTTCCTCAACCCTTTTCCTCCGTCTCTGCCCGCAGCCATTGGAAACTTGGAATTTCCGGTCAAATGGGAAGCGTCGATTGCGCCGTCAAACGCGGGCTTGTGGACTCGCCTGCAGTGGTTGAAGTGAAGGGGATTACAACGAGGGTAGGGCTGCCTGGTCCCACGTCAGTAGGACAGGCGGATGACACAGCAGCGGAGCGAGGTGCGGTTGGTGACGGCAGCACTGTAGAGAAGGACGGACCGGCTGAGATGACGGACGTTACTAACGGTCGAGACGCCCTCGTTGCTGCAGTGACAAGGAAGGGCGGTGAGAATGAGCTGGAGGTGAAAGCAGCAGAGGGGACGAAAGAAGCGGAGGGGAGGAGAGAAGCGGACGACTCGAAAGAAGCAGAGAAGGACGAAAACGAAATGGAAGAGGACGAGGAGGAAGACGATGAAGAGGCAGAGCGGGAGGAGGAGGACGAGGAGGAAGAAGAACAGAAAGACGAGGCGAAAGAGGCAACTCGGTCGCCGGAATTGGAAGAAATAGCGGGGCATGTCGACGGTGAGGTGCTTCGCGCAAGACTAATCTCCGACTTTGTTCGTCAAGGCCCCGTGGCCGTGACTGGCGCAACCCGCTGCCTCGCAGGGGGTACGAGCATGGGGGTTAGTGGAAGCAGTAATTCGGTGAAGGCCAAAACGGGAGCGAGAAAGGCGAGAGGGAAGGGGACGAGTAAGGACGGGGGTGAGCGAGAGTTGAAGCGGAAGCAGCGAGAAGAAGAGAGGGAGAGGAAGCGGCAGAAGGAGGAGGAGGCGAAGGAGGTGAGGAGGAAGAAAAAGGAGGAGTTGGAGGCTAAAAAGAAGCAAGAGGACGAGGAGAAGGAGGAGAAACGGCGGAAGCGGGAGGAAGAGAGGAAGAAGAAGGAAGAGGAGAAGGAGCAGAAGCGGCTGCAGGAGGAGGGTGAGAGGCTGCGCAAGCAAAAAGCGCGAGAGGAGAAGGAGGCGAAGAGGAAGGAGGAGGAGCGGGAGAGGGAGCTCAAGAGGAAAAAGCAGGAGGAGGCGGAGGAGAAACAGCGGGCAGCAAAGCAGAAAGCGGCGAATTTTATGAGTCGGTTTTTGGGAAAGAAGAAGGACGAAACCAAGGCAAGGACCGATAAGAATACTCGTGTCTCTCCTCAATCTAACTACTTGCTCGTTTTCATAACGTCCTTTTTTCTGGAGCATGACCGCAGGCAGTCAGTGCAACTTGCTCTGTTTGCGCTTCCTGTAAGCTTGAGTCTTCTTGCCTTGAAAGCACTCGCTTGCCCCTGCCTTCTTCGTTGTCCCCCTGGTTTCAGTATCCTCTCGTTCTCTTTCTCTCACTCTCCCTCGCTGTCTGCTCTTAATCTATCCCTTCCGCGCAACAGTCCTCTCCAGCAGCCGTCGCACTTGCCGATTCCGTCGCTCCAGCGGGACCAGTGCACGCGGGCGCAGCAGCAGGCGGAGGAACCGGGGAAGCGCCAGGCGCGGGGGCAGGGGCCTCGGGAAGCGGGGCGGGGGAGAAGCCTCCCCCTGCCGCGAAGGCTTCCCCCTTTCTTCCGCCGCCGGCCAGCGCAGCGCGGCTTGGCGCGCCTCTCTCCGCCAGCACAGAGGCCATTGACGCGCAGCTTGCGCGCCCGTGCGCGCTAACCCAGGCGGAGCTGCTCAGGTGGGACGGGGTGGGCTTGCGCGCTGGGGGAGGGCTTGCGCGCTGGGGGAGGGCTTGCGCGCTGGGGGAAAGGAGCGGGCGCGCGCTGGGAGAAGGGGAATGTGATTTTCCGATTTTGTCTGTCTCTCCCTTTGACTTGGGAATATCCCAGCCATCCCCTTCACCTCCTATCGTTCATTCCAGTAATCCATTTCAACTGTCTATTCCATGTTCGCACCATTTCCGCCTCCCCGCCTTCCGCGCACTACCCCGCCTTCTGCTCCCCCCCCGCCCTCCCACCGACCTCCCATCGCCCTCCCTCGTCCTCCTTCCTTCCCCGCCCACCCGACCCGTCCAGTTCCCTTTGCCAGAAATGGAACGCACAGCACGTCCTCCCCCCCGCCGACCCCCCTTCCAAGCCAAGCGCCCAGGGCACCTGCCGCCGCCGCCGCTGCAGGCATAGGCCGTGGGGAGCGCGCAAGCTTCCGCGGGTCGCTCCGCCCGACGTCGGCAGCAGCAGCAGCGCGGTCGGGCGCGCGCATAAGCTCGCGGGCGCGAGCGCAGCAGCAGCAGCAAAGGTCGGAGGTGCGGCGAATGCTGCCGGCGGTGGTGTTTCAGTCACTAGTGCAGGATCGTGCGCCGATCCCACAGGGGCTGCTGGCTTGGGGAAGAAGGGACAGGCGGCTAAGGAGGAGGATGAGGTGATGCGGTTGGTGGGTGGGGAGGAAGGGGGAGCGGATGGGGGGGAACCAGGGGGAACGGTGGCGGAAGGAGGGGATGGTGGTGTGGTTGAATTGGGGAACGGGACGGGTAAAACTGAGGAGGGAAAGGGTGTGGGGAAGGGGGAAGGGGAGCGGGAAGGAGAGGGGGAAGGGGGCGGAGATGGGCGTGGGGGGGAGGGGAAGCAGTGGGACGTGCGGAGGAGGGAGCGGAGGCGGAAGAAGCTGTTGCAATTCGTGGAGAACACAAGGCCTGCGTATTACGGCACCTATTCCCTCGCCAGGTACGCCCTTAATTTCTTAGTCGCCTTGACAGGAAACATAAGACCCGTTTAGAACTCAACATATTACGCTTAGAGTCGTATGTATGGGTTACCTGCTTGCTCTTTGCCGCTTTCTGCTAGTGTTATTTGCTGCTTGCTGGTGGCTGCTGCTGGTTGCTGCTAGTTGCTGCCAGTTGTCACTTGGTATTTGTGCATCGGCTAAAAGGCACTCCAAAATAAAGTGTGGATCTGTTACTCTCACCCCGCACCTCCTCTCACCCGCACCTCCTCTCCCCGCACCTCCTCTCCCCGCACCTCCTCTCACCCGCACCTGCTGTCTCTGTACTATCCATCAAACGACCTGCTCCCTGTGTGACGGGCATTCTCTTGAATTTCCTGGCATGGCATGGCGTGGCGTGACATGCTATGGCATGGCATGGCATGGCGTGGCACAGCAGTGGTGTGGTGCGGGCGCGTGCCCCGTTGCGCAAGGACCCTGTTCTCAACTACGACGTGGACAGCGAGGCCGAGTGGGAGGAGGTGAGACCACTTGTGACTGAAAGAGGAGGTAATACGTTGGTCCTCTCAAAAGAGGAGGTAGGATAGTGGTGGTTGGATGTTGACGAGACGAGGTGCCCCATTGCGCAAGGACCCAGTGCTCAACTACGATGTGGACAGCGAGGCGGAGTGGGAGGAGGTGAGACCACTCACTTCCAAACAGAGGAGGTAGGATAGTAATAGCTGGACGTTGACGACAGGAGGCAAGGTTGGCAACAGGAGGTGCCCCGTTGCGCAAGGACTCAGTGCTGAACTTCGATGTGGACGGCGACGCCGAGTGGGAGAAGGTGAGACGCTGGCTTCCCTAAAGAGGAAGTAAGGCGCCGGCCTCCCAAAAGAGGAGGTAGGATAGTGGCGGTTGGAGGTTGGCAACAGGAGGTGCCCCGTTGCGCAAGGACTCAGTGCTCAACTTCGATGTGGACGGCGACGCCGAGTGGGAGAAGGTGAGACGCTGGCTTACCTAAAGAGGAAGTAAGGCGCCGGCCTCCCAAAGAGGAGGTAGGATAGTGGTGGTTGGAGGTTGGCAACAGGAGGTGCCCCGTTGCGCAAGGACTCAGTGCTCAACTTCGATGTGGACGGCGACGCCGAGTGGGAGAAGGTGAGACGCTGGCTTCCCTAAAGAGGAAGTAAGGCGCCGGCCTCCCAAAAGAGGAGGTAGGATAGTGGTGGTTGGAGGTTGGCAACAGGAGGTGCCCCGTTGCGCAAGGACTCAGTGCTCAACTTCGATGTGGACGGCGACGCCGAGTGGGAGAAGGTGAGACGCTGGCTTACCTAAAGAGGAAGTAAGGCGCCGGCCTCCCAAAGAGGAGGTAGGATAGTGGTGGTTGGAGGTTGGCAACAGGAGGTGCCCGTTGCGCGAGGACCCTGTGCCAAACTACAATGTGGACAGAGAGGCAGAGTAGGAGGAGTTAGGACGCTCGGTTTGAAATTTAAAAAGAGGTCTGATTCACAGTTCTGGTGCACGAACCACGAAGAGTCATGTATGACTTGTTTGGTAGAGGTCTTCCAAGGTATGCCTTTTACTACGATTGCGGTTCTATATATATATCAATTATTACCGGCCCCTCCCCACTTCGCCAATGGCCCCCTCTTCCACCCCTCTTTTTCCAACAGGAGGACCCGGCAGGCGAAAGCTTGTCGGTTTCCAAAGGGGAATACGATCTTGATAAGACACACCCGGAGGAGAGTTTTGAGTCGACTCAAAACTCAACAATCCCCCTCTCCTCTCCACCACCCCCACCTTCCCCAACAGGAGGACCCGGCAGGCGAAAGCCTGTCGGATTCTGAAGGAGAAGACGATCTGGATAAGATAGACCCGGAGGAGGGTGGCGATGGGGAGGACGAGGAGGAGGAGGATGGGTTTGTGGTCCCAGATGGGTACTTGTCGGAGGATGAAGGGGTGGATGCATGTGCCCGTGGTACCCCTGCTGGTGGTGGTGGTGGTGCTGCTGCTGCTGCTGCTGCTGCGCCTGATTCCCCTGCTGCCACAGCAGCAAGCAGGGCAGGGGGGGCGACAGGCGCAGGGGGGCCAGAGAAGGGGGAGAAGGGGGAGAAGGGGGAGAGGGTGGAGAGAGGGGAGAGAGGTGGGGAGGAGGGGCGGCCGGCGGATTGGCAGGTGCAGGTGCTGCAGAAGGCAGTGCAGAGGGCGCTAGCAGTGGGTAGACCCGTGCTGCTGCACGCCCTCCCTGGCGCTGCTGCTGCTGCGGCTGCTCCTCCTCCTGCTGTTGCTGCCACTCCTGCTCCTGCTCCTGCGGCTGCTAGTCCTGCTGCTGCCTCTGCTGCTGCTGGTGGTGCCGCTGCTGGTGATGGTGCTGGTGGTGTTGCCGCTGCTGCTCCTGCTGCTTGTGGCAGTGATGCTGGTCAGCAGGAAGGGGGGGAGAAGCCGGTGGGGCAAGAGAAAGCTAAGCAGGAGGAAGGAAAGCTAGAAAAGCAGACGCAACAACAGCAGCAACAGCAGCAGCAGCATCTGCGATACCTGCAAGCCCTGGCAGTGCAAGTGCTTGAGCCGGCCATGCTCATATCCCTGCCACTCCTTCCCACCGCTCCATCTCCATTTCAACCGCGCAAACGTCAGGTACGTGTTGCAGGTCTCATAAATTTTGTTACGCGTCCCAGAAACACGTACCAAAATTCCTCCCTCACATCTCCCCTCCCCTCAAATCTCCATCGCCTCTCTCTCCCCTCTCCTCTCTCCACTATCCCTCCCACCTCACACCAGTATGCGGTCCTGCCTAAGTGGGGTGGCAAGCGCAAGCGAGAGGCAGGGCCTGGCGCAATCCGCAGCAGCAGCACCATGCCTGTAGTGGACACAGGGGCCTTGGAACCCACAAAAGACACAGGAACCGCAGATGGTGTAGGGAATGTAAGGAATGCAGCGAGTGCAGGGAACGGAGGGAACGGAGGGAGGGCAGATAAAACAGGAGAGACAGGAGACGCAGGAGACACGGGAGGGACTGGAACGGCTGGGAGCATAGGAGGAGAGGGGAACATAGCGCAGGATTTGAACAAGGGCAAGGGAGAGATGGATGGAGGGTGTGTTGGAAACAAGACACAGCATGGCATGGAGGAGCATGGCAAGACAGCGGATGGCAAGGAGATTGACAAGGAGAGTGACAAGACAGAGGGTGTTCAGGAGAGGAGCAAGATGGTGCATATGAAGGAGAGTAGCAGTAGAGAGGAGGGTGCTGACAGGAGCAGCAGTGAAGGTGTGAAAGTCGAGAGTGCCGCTACGGGGGAGCATCAAGTGCTGCACAGGAGGAAGAGGCGGGCGGTTGGGTGGGGCACCAGCACCCAGATCCTACTCCCTGTGCCTCCCCGACGTCCCTCTGCACCGCACCCAACCTGGTTGTCATCACAAGGACAAGCCGCAGCAACAACAGCAGCAGCTGTGGCCGGTGCAAGAACAGCTGGAGCGGCTGTAGCAACTGCTGTTGTTCCAAGTCAGTTTACGCCCCTGGGTGCGGGTCTGTGTTTGAGTCCTCACTCTGGCGTGTGTGCTGGCAATGGCTTCAAGAGGCCTGTAGCTGCTGCCGGTGGTGGTGCCTGTGCGTCTGCTGGGATAGCAGGGCACGCGCAAACAACCCCTGGGGCATCAGCAGTGCCAGGGGCTCTGGGGAAGGGTGAATCGACCACTCCTCTGAAACCTCCTGCTGCTTCTGGTGAGCGCTGCTGCTGCTTTCTCTTTTCCCCTCCCTCCCCCGCCAACCACACCCCCCTTACCCCCTCAACACACACACACCCTTTCCTGGTCTTGCTTTCCTCAACCCCCATGTTTCTCCCTCGCTCCCTCTCTCCTGAGCGCTCCCCTTCCTGATCTAGCTGTTCCCTCCTTTCCCTTCATTCTTCATCATCATCACCAGTTTCTGAGCCAGTAGCACCGTCCCACAAAGCCTAATCTATGGGTTTTCCAAAATACACGTCTAAATACACCTTTAATGTGTTCCCCCACTGACCCCTCGTTTCAGGACAAGGAGCAGCCGCAGGAGCAGCAGCAGCAGCAGCACCAGCCACACCGCCACCAGCACAGCCCGCAGCTCCTGGCAGCAGCACCACCACCCACCCCCCACTGCGTGTCAAACCCATCACAACCTTTTTCCACCGCAGGGTACCCCCCTGCTAACACAGTCCACCAGCAACCCTTCTGCTGCACCCCTGATGCTCATCCCTGCACCCCTTTGTGCCCCTGCCAGCCGCACTAGCAATCCCTCTGGTACCTGCTGCTGCACGGTTATATTCCCTGTGCGCAGCTGCTGCAGCACCTGCTCTCTGCATAACTACAGCTGCTTGTGTAGCACTGCATAGGATTTGGTTCTGGGCATTCCTTTTCGCATGGCTGTTGCTTTGTATGCACATTTTGTGTGTGGGATGGGAGGTGTAGGAGAGAATGCCGTTTTCTTTCTGAACCGTCTTGTGCAGTCAACTTGTTGCTTCCAGTTTCTTTCCTCAATATATAGCTTCTAATTTTCTCCGTATTTAGTATAGTCTGTTATGTTCCATATATAGTAGCTCTCATTTGAGTATGAGCTGCAATCAGTTCAACCAGGAAACGCAAAATACTGGTATATTCTTCATATGTGCGCTTGCTTTGCTGTGGGCATGTCAAATTATGTGCAGAAACAGCCCTGTGCAGACATTACAGGTGCAGAACAGCGTACCTTACAGCGATGACAAGCGTGTTTTGTGCATAGCAGGTGCCTTATGCAAACTATTTGCTTTTCTGCTGACCTATTCTCGGCGCTTTCGTTACATCCACAAGGAGCTTGTCCTACACAGGCACGGTACCGTATGTGCATGGAGACTGATCCAGGTAAATCTCCATTTGTTACGCTACCATATAGCTTGATCCAATTCAACCCCCTCCAGTCCACAGTTACTCCCCAGATTCTCACTTTAAGCATAATATTACATAATGAATGACATCCTGGCTAAAAGTAAGAGGCACCCACCCACCCACCCATCTTACGGTATCGCCCCTGCTTTGAGAAACCTAGCATTCCAATCAAATATCCTTACTTACCTAACAATCTACCTTTTGCTGCTGCCTGACCGTGCTCCATAGCACGAGCACTATCACACACACTGCGAGGGCTCATTATATCCTCCATATACGCATTCTCGTTACCTGTCTTCCTCATGCACTCCTGTTCGCAAATGTCCATTCTTGTGCTAGGCTGCAGCTGCTGCTGCTGCTGCTGCGCCTGCGACTTCACCAGCTTCTTCTCTCGTTGCTGCCGTTCTTTCATCTTTTGCTGCGCTCGTTCCTGCTGCAGCGCCAGCTGCTTGGCGCGCTTCTCCTGCTGCTCCCTCCGCCGGCGCAACTCCGCCGCCTTTCGCTTCAGCTGCTCGTACCTCCTCGGAAGCTTCTTCCAATAGGGCACGTCCGAGCCAGAACCTTTCGTAATCGATGCTTCCTGCAGCATTTAAGAATAGAAATTAAGATACAATCACACAAATATGGCGGCGAGCTTGTAGAGCGATACGAGGGGATACGCGGCATGCGTGGAATCGTTAGGGTTAAGCGTACGAACGAACGGATCGAATACGTCCTTAACACGCCGGTAAGCTGCTGGCAGGAAAACATGCTCGGATCGTCCGAGCGGCACGCACCTTCGCTCCAGCTGCCTTGGATTGATCGTGCCCGCCGAAGAGCCTGGCGAAGCCCTGAAAAGCAGACAGACAAAATTCAGATCTTAGCAGGATGCATACGCGACCCCAAGCCAGAAATCGCGACGAAACGAGTCTTTTGACGAGAATAATGCGGCAGTAGGTAACGCTCCTTTGCTCGTTTGCTAAAGGATCAAGGTTTCTTAGAAAACCCTTGGCCTGTGAGTATTATCAGAACGGATCTACAGGGGAGAACGATCGCGGCAGATCGCCGTAGTCGTGTTGGCGACAGTAAGTTTATAGATTCTCACCATGCGCAGTGCTTGCCGAAAGAAATCTCAAGGCAATACTACTGAGATCCCGACGCGCGACGAAGCCGCGGGACGAACCGCGAGGTGACGCTCCGAATGGAAAAAGCTAGATAGACGCGAATCCTTGCCAACCGGTCAAGACGGGAACGCTTCTGCACGGGCGAGATTGTTTGGAGACCTATTGCTAGCACGAAGGCGATACTGAATATGCAACAAAGATGATAAACAACAGGTTATACGCTGACGCCGACTCGAAATTCCTACGGCTGATCATCTCGACTCTTTGGGATGCTTCGCTCCTGAAGATTCGGCGGCTGATCCCGCGGTTGCGACTGCACGCGACGCCACGAGGAGCGGCGGCGGACAGAGGTAAAGGCCGACAGGTACATGGCTGCTGGCTTGCAGCAGCAAATCGATGCAATGCAACGATAGGAGAAAGTCGATTGGTATGATGCTTGTGGTGTGTGTGGGAATCTGAAGATGGATGGGATGGGAATGGGGTATCGAAATGCATGGGATGGGAGGAAACAGTTGACTGGAGAATTCGCGGCGCGTCCGTTGGAGGATGTGCGAAATGGTGTGCTGGCAGAGAGGCACAAAGCACTGACAGCTGAGTCAGTCCCGGGGCGCGGGACTGACTCCGTTTGAAAGGTTTGGTTCAAGATCTCGCATATAGCAGGACTTGCTGCTAGGAGTCTAGATAACTAGGATACACTGTGAAAGGAATGTCTGAACAAACCCGTGGAATGAGAACTAAATTCTTGCACATTTGAAATAATGCTTTTAACCCCTCTCAGTTTTTTTTAGCTTTTTTTAACTTAATACATATGATTATCTCAATTTCAGCGCAAATTTTCTTATTCAGCTCCTATGTGCATCTGAATCTGGATTAGCTTGCATATCGCACATTCTCAAATTTTCGGGTAATCGCAGCTCTTTGTAGCGGGCGTTTCTTGTGCTGCACAAGGATCCTACCTCGAAAAGTACGACATACTCCACGTCAGCACTTGGTTCCTAGACAATACAGGAAAGGAGTATTCACGCCTTGATGGCGTGGAACATTTCACGCCGTTAGACAGGACGCCTCGAGCTCTTCCCTGCATTTCCGCTGACGACTATATTTTCACGCGCACAGCGCCTCCGGCATTGCGAGGCACCAAGGCATCTCAGATATTTTCCCTGTCTTTTCTAATGCTTCGTTCCCTTGACACTCTCCAACGGCTATCTCTCTTTCCCTGATACCAGAGAATCTTCACAGCCTAGTCATGGCGCCCGCCGTTTCTTCTTTTATTTCCCTTCTCTCCTCCCTACCTATCCCCACCTTAATCCGCGAATCCCGCTCGCGACGGCTCCCCTCCGCACTCCTTTCGCGCGGCGCCGTCCCTAATCTCCTCGTACTCCTCGTCGTGCTCCTATTCGCCGTCCGATCAACGCCGCCAGTCGCCGCTTTACCTCACTACGGCGCCGTCCCGGGCGGCAGCTGTCCCATGAATGATTGGTCCGAAAACGGCTACTGGGGCGCGCTCGAGGCGCGCACGCAAGCCGCGCTCTCCGTGGCGCAGGAGTGGCGCGACGCGGCGAACGAGGCGCTGGGAAAAGTCGAGCCGCTCCAGCTGCTGGTGGTGGCGCTGCTCGCGGCGGTGGTCGGGGGGAAACTCGCGCAAGTCGCGGGCGCTGCTGCTGCGCAGATCCGGTATCAAGGTGCGCGGATGCGGTCTATAGTCGCGCGGATTCAATTCGAAGTTCCGAAGATTTGGTCAGAGGCGACTATGTAAGGAATAGGCTTTAATAGACCCGCGACATAAGGGCCGAATCTGCGGTGATAGTTGGAGATTTAGCATGGTATCGTCTTCGTTAAAGCGTCTGATGGTCTGAACTGATCTTGTATCGAGACGACTGCAAAAGCCTCATGGCCGTGTTCCTCCTCCGTCTCATCTCTTGAGACGACTGCAAAAGCTGGTACTATCCGCGCGGCCGTTTTGCTTCGCCATCTCATCACATGCACAGCACATGGGTCGCTTTCGTCTCTCCCACTCCATCCCATCCCATCCCATCCCATCTGATACCTTCCGATCCCTCCCATCCTCCTCGGTTGTTGTGTGTCGCCCGAATACCAGGCCTGGTACCCTCTCTGACTGCCCTCTTCTTCTCCCTCATCAGGTGAACCCACTGTGGACCACTCATCGTTGTCCTTTGACCCGTTAGTGCACCACTCGTTTCAGGCATGCATCACTTCGTGTGCATTTTTCACTCATTTCATTCACCCGTCAAACTTATTTCTCCAGCCGTTACATTCTCGTAACGTTTCTCTTCTTTCCGAAAGTATTGCACTCCTCCTCTCACTCACTCACTCACACTCTCCCTCTTAACCCCTCCCTCTCTTTCGCCCCTCCTCCCCCATCCATATCTCTCCAGGCTTGTTCCAGGCGTGAAGGCCTACGTGGAAGAGCAGCAGGCGAAGGTACGCGTGTGTGATATGATACGCACGGGTGTACCCTTTCTTGCAGGCCAGAGCGCAGATTCCGAGCAACAGCAGTAGCAGCAACTGCATGCACATGCTGCTGCTGCTGGTGGCTGTGGCACTGGCGTCACCAGCAGTACTAGCAGGAAGCGACTTTTGAGACGTCTCAAAAGACATGCTGCTGCTGGTGGCTGTTGCTATGGCTTCACCAGCAGTACTAGCAGGAAGCGCAGGCAGTGACGGAAGAGGCTACTGAGTAACAGGGGGGCATCTCAGGGGATGTGCTGAGTAACCTTTTGAGTCGGCTCAAAAGGGGCTTCTGCGTAAGTAACAGGGGGGCAGGGGGTGATGTGATGCGCTCAGTATAGGCGCTCCAGAAAGCGTCACATCACATCACATCACCCGCTGATTGGCCTTTGAGACCTTCCACAAACTGTACCGAACCGAGTCATTGTCGGTAAAGGGGGTGGTGGGCGGCAGGAGAGGCACTGGGCGGTGCTGGGCGGTGCTGAGCGGTGCTGGGCATAGAAATCCAGGCAGGGGCATCTTTTTGCGCCTCATTCCCCCCGCCCTTCCCCACGCTCCCCTCCGCACGTCCCTCTCCTCCCCCCGCGCCCCTCTCCCCCCCCCGCGCCTGCAGGCCAGGGCGCAGATAGCGGGGGGCGGCAGCAGCAGCAAGGAGCGTGCGCAGTGGCGGAAGAGGCTGACAGACGTGGGCGCAGAGGCGGACGAGGTGCTGGGCGGTGCTGGGCATAAATCCAGACAAGGGCACCGCTGCGCCGCATTCCCCCATCCTTCCCCCACTCTCCCCCTCGCGCGGCCCTCTTCCCCTCCCCGCGCGTGCAGGCCAGGGCGCAGATAGCCGGGAGCGGCAGCAAGGAGCGTTCGCAGTGGCGGAAGAGGCTGCCAGACGTGGGCGCGGAGGCGGACGAGGTGCTGGGGGAGATGCGCGCACTGAGGAACAAGGACAAGGCGTGGCAGGGGCGGTGCTCTGGGACCGTGTGAGTGGGTCTCGCATTGTGGGAGGTGGGGGGATGGAGGGGACGTGGGGGAGGGTAGGGACCTGGTTTGGAGGGGAGCTTGGGGAGATGCGTGCACTGAGGGATACGGACAAGAAGTGGCAGGGGTGCTGCTGTGGGACCGTGTGAGTGGGAGGAGGGGGGATGGGGGGGGAAGAGGTTGGGGGGGTAGGGACCTGGTTTGGAGGAGAGGTAGGGGAGATGCGCGCACTGAGGGACAAGGACAAGGCATGGCAGGGGCGGTGCTCTGGGACTGTGTGAGTGGGTGGGAGTAGGGGAGGAGAGGGCGAGGGAGGGAAAGAGGGAGGGAAAGAGGGAGGGAAAGAGGGAGGGAAAGAGGGAGGGAGGAGGAAAGGAGGGAGGGAGGGTGGGAGGACACGGAGGTGCCTATGGATGGAATAGGATTCGGCAGAAGCCCTTTGTTCCCGGCCTTTTCGCGCAATTGCCACGCTGCTAATGATCCAGTTCTTCTTGTTCCTTCCCTTTCTCCATTCTTCCTCCCTGCTGGTCCCTCTCATCCCTCCCACCTCGTTTCCCTCCGTCCCTCCCTCCCTGAACCTTCTTTCCACTACTGTATTGCTGGCCGGCCGTACCTCATACCTTTGCCAAATCAAGTACACCCCTCCCCCCTCACCCTGACTCACTCCCTTCCCTACTCGCCTCCCTCCCTCCCTCCCTCCCTCCCCCCCTCCCTAACCCCCTCCCTCACTCGCCTCTCTTCATATATCTTTCCCCCCATCCCATCTCCCCTCCCTCATGCAAGATCAGCTAGCTATTAAACGCCTCAATGTTCCACCCCACTGGTCCACCCCACCCTTCCTCATTCTTAGCTCGCGATGCGACTTCTAATCCGTGTGTGATTCATACAAAGGCCTCTCCTCTTCCCATTGCCCGCCCCTCTCCCCTCTCTCCCCTCTCCCCTCTCCCTTCCCGTGTTCTCCCCTCTCTACCTTCCCGTGTGTCCTCCCCGCACTTTCTTGCCCGTGTTCCCTCCGGCTCGTGTGCCCAACCAGTTATGTGGGCGGAGAGTCATATGAGAAGCACATGAAGCTCATATCAGATGCGTACACCATGTGAGTAGAGTGAAAGTGAATGTATGGGGTGTAGGGTTATAGAGGACGTTTGAGTCGACTCAAAAGTCACCTGGTTTAGGGTTATAGAGGACGTTTGAGTCGACTCAAAAGTCACCTGGTTTAGGGTTATAGAGGACGTTTGAGTCGACTCAAAAGTCACCTGGTTTAGGGTTATAGAGGACGTTTGAGTCGACTCAAAAGTCACCTGGTTTAGGGTTATAGAGGACGTTTGAGTCGACTCAAAAGTCACCTGGTTTAGGGTTATAGAGGACGTTTGAGTCGACTCAAAAGTCACCTGGTTTAGGCTTATAGAGGACGTTTGAGTCGACTCAAAAGTCACCTGGTTTAGGGTTATAGAGGACGTTTGAGTCGACTCAAAAGTCACCTGGTTTAGGGTTATAGAGGACGTTTGAGTCGACTCAAAAGTCACCTGGTTTAGGGTTATAGAGGACGTTTGAGTCGACTCAAAAGTCACCTGGTTTAGGTTTATAGAGGACGTTTGAGTCGACTCAAAAGTCACCTGGTTTAGGTTTATAGAGGACGTTTGAGTCGACTCAAAAGTCACCTGGTTTAGGGTTATAGAGGACGTTTGAGTCGACTCAAAAGTCACCTGGTTTAGGTTTATAGAGGACGTTTGAGTCGACTCAAAAGTCACCTGGTTTAGGTTTATAGAGGACGTTTGAGTCGACTCAAAAGTCACCTGGTTTAGGGTTATAGAGGACGTTTGAGTCGACTCAAAAGTCACCTGGTTTAGGTTTATAGAGGACGTTTGAGTCGACTCAAAAGTCACCTGGTTTAGGGTTATAGAGGACGTTTGAGTCGACTCAAAAGTCACCTGGTTTAGGGTTATAGAGGACGTTTGAGTCGACTCAAAAGTCACCTGGTTTAGGTTTATAGAGGACGTTTGAGTCGACTCAAAAGTCACCTGGTTTAGGGTTATAGAGGACGTTTGAGTCGACTCAAAAGTCACCTGGTTTAGGGTTATAGAGGACGTTTGAGTCGACTCAAAAGTCACCTGGTTTAGGGTTATAGACGACGCCTCACAAGGTGTGTGACAAGGGAGTCGTATGAGATGCATACACATGAAGCTCATATCAGATGCGTACACCATGTGAGTGGGCGCCTTAGGTTTGGAGGAGGGTTGCAACTTGCAAGAGGGTAATCACCAGGTAAGGTAATCACCTTAGGTCTGTTGCCTTACATCATCTTGTATTTTGTTCTTAGGCGCCTCAATTTTGAGGCGCTTTTTGAGGCGCCTCGTAAATCACCTTAGGTCTGCTGACTTATGTCAGTCACCTTGTAATCTGGTGTGGCTGGGCCGGGTGCGACTTCAGATGCGCCTGTAAGGTTGAGGCCAGGTGCGTGATAGGAATCAACTAGTTCAATTACTCGTATGCGACCCCTCTCGAGCTTTCAGAAACGACATGACTTTTTTTAGTGTCTGCAAGGCTGTTCTTCTCCGTTCTGGCTTACTAGCCTCCACCCCCTCCTCTCCCCTCGTCCCCTCCTCCCCCCCCCTCCTCCCCCCTCCTCTCCTCTCCTCCCCCCTCCTCCTCCCTCCTTCCCTCTCCTCCCTCCTCCTCCCGCCTCCTCTCCTCTCCTCTCCTCCCCTCTCCTCCCCCCTCCTCCTCCCTCCTCTCCCCTCCTCCCCCCACCTCTCCTCTCCTCCCCCCTCTCGCCCCTTCCTCCCACTCCCCCTCTCTCCACCCCCCCAGGTTTCAGCACACCAACCCCTTGCATCCAGACGCCTTTCTCAGCGTCACTCGCTCTCTTCCTTCTTCCCTCCATTCAACCTGCCCCCTCCATTTTCCACCCTTCCTCCTCTCCACCCCCCCCCCCCCCCCCCCCCCAGGTTTCAGCACACCAACCCCTTGCATCCAGACGTCTTTCTCAGCGTCACTCGCTTCGAGGCGGAGGTGGTTGCTATGACCGCTGCTCTGCTGGGGGGAGGAGATGGGGGGGGAAGTGAGGGACCACGAAAGCAGCTGCAGGAATCTTTGAGTCGACTCAGTTTTTCCCCAGCCTCAGCCTAACTCGCTCTTTTCCCCCTTCCCTCCGTCCCACTTCCTCCCTCCTCCCTTTCCATCCCCCTCTCACCTCCATCTTCCCCCCCCCCCCCAGGTTTCAGCACACCAACCCCTTGCATCCAGACGTCTTCCCCAGCATCACTCGCTTCGAGGCGGAGGTGGTTGCTATGACCGCTGCCCTGCTGGGGGGGGGCGATGGGGGGAGGAGTGATGGCAGGGCGGAGCAGGCGGGGGCGGGGGATGCGGGGGGGAAGGGGGGGAAGGGGGTTAAAGACGGAGCGAATGGGGGGGAGAAGGGAGGGGTGGGGAGGGAGGTGTGTGGGAACATGACGAGTGGGGGGTCGGAGAGTATCCTGATGGCTGTGAAGGCTGCTAGGGATTACATGCGCGCCAAGAAGGGCATCACTCGCCCTGAGATGTGAGTGCTTCAGTGCATGAGGTGCTGATGCTGCTGCTGCTGCTGGTGCTGTGCTGATGCTGCTGCTGCTGCTGCTGTTGGTGCTGTGTTGATGCTGCTGCTGCTGCTGCTGTTGGTGCTGTGTTGATGCTGCTGCTGCTGCTGTTGGTGCTGTGCTGATGCTGCTGCTGCTGTTGGTGCTGTGCTGATGTTGCTGCTGCTGTTGGTGCTGTGCTGATGCTGCTGCTGCTGGTGGTGCTGTGCTGATGCTGCTGCTGCTGCTGGTGCTGTGCTGATGCTGCTGCTGCTGCTGGTGCTGTGCTGATGCTGCTGCTGCTGCTGGTGGTGCTGTGCTGATGCTGCTGCTGCTGCTGCTGGTGCTGTGCTGATGCTGCTGCTGCTGTGGTGCTGTGCTGATGCTGCTGCTGCTGTTGGTGGTGCTGGTGGTGCTGGTGGGTCCGGTTACTGCGTGTGTAATTTCAGACGCATATAGTCGCATATTTCAGACACCAGACTATATGCAGGATAGTGCAGGTGGACTATCCTGCGTGCTTGTCGCTGACACACAGGATAGTGCAGGTGTTGTGTCGGCACATGCAAGCACCTGCGGAACACCCTCACCTTCCCAACTTCTCTTCTGCCTGTTCCTTCTCCCGCCCGGCCACGCCACTCACCGACCATGCACCACCCACTCACCCCAACCACAACAGGATAGTGCCGGTGTCAGCGCATGCAGCGTACGACAAGGCAGCGGAGTATTTCCAAGTGCACCTGCTGCAAGCCCCCGTGGCTGCGCAGGGTGGTGCGTGGGGACTCTGTGTTCTTTCACTTCCCCACCCGCGCACCGCCCTCTCACTGCCCTCTCGCCCCACCTCTCAGGATAGTGCCCGTGTCAGCGCATGCAGCGTACGACAAGGCAGCGGAGTACTTCCACGTGCACCTGCTGCGAGCGCCCGTGCTCCTTCTGCCTCCCACCCTCCCTCACCCAAGCACCACCCACGCACCCTCCCCCACACTCCCCACTCAGGATAGTACCCGTGTCAGCGCATGCAGCGTACGACAAGGCAGCGGAGTATTTCCACGTGCACCTGCTGCGAGCCCACCTGCTCCTTCTGCCTCCCACCCTCCCTCACCCAAGCACCACCCACGCACCACCCTCCCCCACACTCCCCACACAGGATAGTACCCGTGTCAGCGCATGCAGCGTATGACAAGGCAGCGGAGTATTTCCACGTGCACCTGCTGCGAGCGCCCGTGCTCCTTCTGCCTCCCACCCTCCCTCACTTAAGCACCACCCACGCACCCTCCCCCACACTCCCCACTCAGGATAGTACCCGTGTCAGCGCATGCAGCGTACGACAAGGCAGCGGAGTATTTCCACGTGCACCTGCTGCGAGCGCCCGTGCTCCTTCTGCCTCCCACCCTCCCTCACCCAAGCACCACCCACGCACCACCCTCCCCCACACTCCCCACTCAGGATAGTACCCGTGTCAGCGCATGCAGCGTATGACAAGGCAGCGGAGTATTTCCACGTGCACCTGCTGCGAGCGCCCGTGCTCCTTCTGCCTCCCACCCTCCCTCACCCAAGCACCACCCACGCACCCTCCCCCACACTCCCCACTCAGGATAGTACCCGTGTCAGCGCATGCAGCGTACGACAAGGCAGCGGAGTATTTCCACGTGCACCTGCTGCGAGCCCACCTGCTCCTTCTGCCTCCCACCCTCCCTCACCCAAGCACCACCCACGCACCACCCTCCCCCACACTCCCCACACAGGATAGTACCCGTGTCAGCGCATGCAGCGTATGACAAGGCAGCGGAGTATTTCCACGTGCACCTGCTGCGAGCGCCCGTGCTCCTTCTGCCTCCCACCCTCCCTCACCCAAGCACCACCCACGCACCCTCCCCCACACTCCCCACTCAGGATAGTACCCGTGTCAGCGCATGCAGCGTACGACAAGGCAGCGGAGTATTTCCACGTGCACCTGCTGCGAGCCCACCTGCTCCTTCTGCCTCCCACCCTCCCTCACCCAAGCACCACCCAGGCACCACCCTCCCCCACACTCCCCACACAGGATAGTACCCGTGTCAGCGCATGCAGCGTATGACAAGGCAGCGGAGTATTTCCATGTGCACCTGCTGCGAGCACCTGTGGCAGACGACTGGTGTGTGGAGGTGGATGCAGTGCGGCGCCTCTGCTCCCGCAACACCGTGCTGGTGAGAGCTGTGGGCCGGTGAGGACTGTGGGCTGGTGAGGACTGCAGGGTGTTTTTGAGAATTCTCAAAAACACCCTGAGAATTCTCAAAAACACCCTGAGAATTCTCAAAAACACCCTGCAGCATCATGGACTTAGATACCCTCGGTTCGTTACAGCATGGAAGTTACCTAGCAAAATTTGTAATAGATTAGTAAAGGCTAAAATAGTGTAGATGGGAAGAATTGTAACCAGTTGGTGGTCGCCCAATAGATGGTGACCAACCTCCTGGAGGTTCCCACGGTGCATGAGTACTTGTCGAACTTGACAGCTAGAATCAGTAGCTGGCAAGGCGCTTCACTGGAGGCGCGCTTCACTGGAGTCGCACGAAGAAGCTTTCAGCTTGATGGCTCCTGGAGGGAGGGAGTAGAAAGGATTCGTAGTCAGTTTGCTTGATCCTTAGTGTGCTGATGAAGGCCTTTGCTGGCCGAAACGCGTTCACACGCGACATCCAGGCGTAATGTGTCTGGCTTTCTGATTAGTAGACCTTTTCTCACTACTTCCCTCGATTTTCAGATTAGTAGACTCAGTACTACAGATCGTTACTCTTAGTAGGCTTGCTGCGTTTCGAATCCAACAAAATTCAACTGAGGACTGTGGGCTGGTGAGGACTGTGGGCTGGTGAGACCCCCTTCATGTGGACTCGTGTTGTGGTTTCATGGCTTGGTATCATCAACACCAGAAGTGGAGGTGGATGCAGTGCGCCGCCTCTGCTCCTGCAACACCGTGCTGGTGAGAGCTCAACACCGTGCTGGTGGTCACTTGAGGCGTTATAGTGGTGGAGGTGACAGCCGTGGCCTCGTGAGGATTGCCGCCTGTCATTGCCCGGCCATTGTTGCTTTCCCTCCGGCTACTGTTGCTGAGGCGTGTCAAAAGCCTGCTCACGTGCACCTCTCCTCCCTCTCCTCCCTCTCCTCCCTCTCCTCCCTCTCCTCCCTCTCCTCCCTCTCCTCCCTCCCCTCCCTCTCCTCCCTCTCCTCCCTCTCCTCCCTCTCCTCCCTCTCCTCCCTCTCCTCCCTCTCCTCCCTCTCCTCCCTCTCCTCCCTCTCCTCCCTCTCCTCCCGCTCCTCCCTCTCCTCCCTCTCCTCCATCTCCTCCCTCTCCCCCCTCTCCTCCCTCTCCCCCCTCTCCCCCCTCTCCCCCCTCTGCCCCATGTCCTCCTCCCCCCCCACTCTCTACCCTGCAGATAGTGGCATCAGCGCCTGGCTTTCCACATGGCATCATCGACCCCATTCCGGTATGCACGCCCATTGCACCCTTCGCAATCTACAATGTATCTCAACCTATCCACAGGTTTCGTGTCAACGGTTTCACAACGGTTTCACAACGGTTTCACAACGGTTTCACAACGGTTTCACAACGGTTTCACAACGGTTTCACAACGGTTTCACAACGGTTTCACAACGGTTTCACAACGGTTTCACAACGGTTTCACAACGGTTTCACAACGGTTTCACAACGGTTTCACAACGGTTTCACAACGGTTTCACAACGGTTTCACAACGGTTTCACAACGGTTTCACAACGGTTTCACAACGGTTTCACAACGGTTTCACAACGGTTTCACAACGGTTTCACAACGGTTTCACAACGGTTTCACAGCTTCCCTGCTCCAGCTCTAGTCGACCCACTGCGTTTCTGTATTCATACTGCTGCATGCACACACCACTTTCTTCTCCTCCCCGTCGGCAGCGGCTGAGTGGCTGGAGGCAATGTGATAGCATTGCGCTGAGGCGTTTGTTGCGGCGCCTTAAGGGGCATGTATCTGTCTGTCAGCATGGGGAGAAGAAGGGCTGCTGCTGCTGCTGCTGCTGCTGCAAGAGCCAACTCTTTCTCTTCCACTCCTCCCCACCGCCCTTCCCGCCGCCCTCCCCGCCCCCCTCCCCGCTGCCCTCCCTCCATCCCATCTCACTGCAGGAGCTGGGCGAAGCAACACGCTGGAGCACGTGTGCACGTGACGTGCGGATGTCTAGCCTGCTGCTGAAATATTCCCCTCCTCTATGCATCCCACCCAATCTCATTGGCACGAGCTGGGCGGCATAGCATAGCGCTGGGGCACGTGTTTACATGCCCTTTGGAAGATTTACAACACTCTTCCCTGCATCGCATCCCATCCCACCCGGTCCCTATAACAGGAGCTGGGCGAGATAGCAGTGCGCTGGGGCACGTGTCTGCATGTGGACTGCTGCCTCGGAGGCTTCGTGCTGCCCTTTGCCAAGAAGCTCGGGTCGGTTCCGCCTTCCCCTCTTTCCTTCCGCCTTCCCCTCTTTCCTTCCGCCTTCCCCTCTTTCCTTCCGCCTTCCCCTCTTTCCTTCCGCCTTCCCCTCTTTCCTTCCGCCTTCCCCTCTTTCCTTCCGCCTTCCCCTCTTTCCTTCCGCCTTCCCCTCTTTCCTTCCGCCTTCCCCTCTTTCCTTCCGCCTTCCCCTCTTTCCTTCCGCCTTCCCCTCTTTCCTTCCGCCTTCCCCTCTTTCCTTCCGCCTTCCCCTCTTTCCTTCCGCCTTCCCCTCTTTCCTTCCGCCTTCCCCTCTTTCCTTCCGCCTTCCCCTCTTTCCTTCCGCCTTCCCCTCTTTCCTTCCGCCTTCCCCTCTTTCCTTCCGCCTTCCCCTCTTTCCTTCCGCCTTCCCCTCTTTCCTTCCGCCTTCCCCTCTCCCCTTCCGCCTTCCCCTCTCCCCTTCCCTTCCCTTCCCTCTCCCCTTCCGCCTTCCCCTCTCCCCTTCCGCCTTCCCCTCTCCCCTTCCGCCTTCCCCTCTCCCCTTCCGCCTTCCCCTCTCCCCTTCCGCCTTCCCCTCTCCCCTTCCGCCTTCCCCTCTCCCCTTCCGCCTTCCCCTCTCCCCTTCCGCCTTCCCCTCTCCCCTTCCGCCTTCCGCCTTCCCCTCTCCCCTTCCGCCTTCCCCTCTCCTCTTCCTCCCTTCCCTCTTCCTTTCCTCTCTCATCGTCTCGCTCTCATCCAACCAATCCTTCCCCTTCCCCCACTCCCGGCCCATTGGCCTACCCCCCCCCCCCCCCCCCCCGTGCGCCCCTCACACACGTGTCTTCCTCTCCATCCCCAGCCCATTGCCTCTCTGATCCACCTTTCCCCTCCTCCTGCCATTCCTTTGGCCCCTCTTCGCCTCTCTCTCTGCCTCTGCCTCCTTCCTCCCACCTTCCTCCCTTCCATTCGGCCTCTCGTTGTCTCCTCCCATCCCTCCTCCATTCTCCCCTTTGCCTCTGGTCCCCTTCCTACCCCTCCCCGCGCTCCCCTCCCCTTCCCCTCCCCCTCTCCCCAGCCACCCTTTGACGTTTTGGTCCACGTAGTGGCGTTTAAGTCACTCAAGGGTTGCACTCAGTGGCCGCACCCAAGGGCAACCCCCAACCCAACACACTGCCACGCCCTCCCAGTCTCACACACACTCGCCACCTTCCCTCCCCACCTTCCCTCCCCACCTTCCCTCCCCACCTTCCTCTCCACCTTCCCCGCCTTTTCCCGCCACGTTATCTCCCCCACCCCTCCTTCCTCTGCTTTCACCCCTCCTGACCCCATCCCCCCCAGCTACCCCCTGCCGCCCTTTGACTTCTCGGTCCAAGGAGTGACGTCCATGTCTGTGGACTACCATAAGTACAGCCTCGCTCCCAAGGGCACTCCAAGACAACCTTTCCCCAGCTTCTTCCTCTCCTCTCCCCCCCACGTTCTCTCTGCGTCCCCCCAGCTACCCCCTCCCCCCGTTTGACTTCTCGGTCCCCGGAGTGACGTCCATATCAGTGGACTGTCACAAGTACGGCCTCGCTCCCAAGGGCACGTCCGTGGTGCTGTATCGGAACAGGGAGATCAGGAAGGTGAGGGTGTGGGTTGGGGGATGGGGGATTGGAAGGGCTTGTATATAACCGACTGACATTGCTCCCAAGGGCACGTCCGTGGTGCTGTACCGGAATAGAGAGATCAGGAAGGTGGGAAAGCAGGGGAGGTGGACGGAATGTGTGGTGTTGTTTGTCAAATGAAGAGCCGCTCCCAAGGGCACGTCTGTGGTGAGGAAGGTGAGGATGGGGGGTGGGGGGTGGGGGGTGGGGGATGGGGGATGGGGGAGGCGGCATTGGGGAGGCATGTTTGCGGCCAACTGAGACCACAAACATGCCTCCCAAGGGCACGTCCGTGGTGCTGTACAGTACAGCAACAGGGAGATCAGGAAGGTGAGGGAAAGAGCGGGAGGTCAGAAAGAGGAGAGAGCGGGCGAGGAGGGGGATTGTGTGTTGGGTGCTTTTGAATGGAGCTCCACCAGTACGCGCACAGGTATCATGATACATGTATATGTCACTCTCACGGTGCTGCTCTCTCCTCGTGTGATAATTAAAATTTTAGTCGACTCAAAATTCGGCTTTTGAATGGAGCTCCACCCATATGCGCACGGGTATCATGATACGTGTATATCATATATGTCACTCTCACGGTGCCGCTCTCTCCTCCGCTCTCGCCCGTCTCCTGACCCTTGTCCTTACCTCACCTGTTCCCTCTTCTTTCCCCTTCTGCGCTGCGTTACTCCCCTTGTCTCCTTCCCCAACACCAACCAACGCGCATTGCCCAACATTGGTGCACTGCACGCACCCTGCCACATGGCGTGCTATCAGCATCAATTCTGCGCTGGTGAGGGCCTGGCTGGCGCTCATAGAAGCTAAGCTACAACCATAATTCCAGCCATGTTCTGCTCATATCGTCTACCCGTTTTAGGTTTACGATTATCAGAGTGGATTTATCGCTGCACCCGTCAGTCAACCACCACTCTCCGCATCACTCGTTATCACATGCTGCTATCTCTGACAGTCCTCTTTTGAGTCGACTCGAAACACAGTCCTCGCAGCATCTTTTGTCGCAGACTCGCAGCATCTTAAGTGATGAATCAACCACCATCTCAGTGGAATAGTCTCACCGCTCTGCTTCTTTCTTCGCCCAAAATATGAGCTCCCTCGACCCTTCAGATTCTGACCCTGCCCTTGGCGCTTCCCTCTTTCTCCCTCCCCTCTGCCCACTACCCCCGTTCCTGCTGCCACTCTCCCTCCTTCTCCCTCCCCCCTCCGTCCTCCCCCTTCCCCCCTCCCCCTTCCCCCGTCCCGCTTCCCCCCTCCGTTCTGCCCCCTGCCCCCCCTGTGCACAGTGACAGAGTGGAGTGGCGGCCTGTACGTGTCCCCAACTGTCTCTGGCAGTCTCTCAGGAGCTCTCATTGCTGCCCCTTCAGATTCTCAACCTTCCCCTCTGCCCCTTCCCCACTTCCCCCTTCCCCCTCCCCCCCCCATGCTTTCCCCCCTGGGCCCTGTCCCTGGCATGCAGTGACGGAGTGGAGTGGTGGCCTGTACGTGTCTCCCACTGTCTCTGGCAGCTGCGTCGGAGCTCTCATTGCTGGCGTTTCAGATCCTTAACCCTCCCCTCCCCTCTGCCCTTTCCTCACTTCCCCTGTCTCCCTCCCCCCTGCCCCACTCCCCACTCCCCCTCCCCCCTTTCCCCCCTGGGCCCTGCCTCTGGCATGCAGTCACGGAGTGGAGTGGCGGACTGTACGTGTCTCCCACTGTCTCTGGCAGTCGCTCAGGGGCTCTCATTGCTGGCGCCTGGGCAGCCATGAGAGGCATTGGCATGCAGGGTGGGTGGAGTGCGGTGGGATGTGGTGGGATGTGGTGGGGCGTGGGGTGTGGGATGGTGCACTGTCTCTGGCAGTCGCTAAGCGGCTCTCATTGCCGGTGCCTGGGCAGCCATGAGAGGCATCGGCATGCAGGGTGGGTGGGGTGGGGTGTGGTGTGGGGTGACGGGTGCGGTGTGGTGGGGGGGAAGGCGTGAGGAGTGGTGTGCTGGGTATGAGTTCTTAGTGGGGTGCTGTGGGGTGGGGTGGGGTGTAGTGGGGTATGTGTGCTTTCTGTTTCCACCACTTGCATTTGATGCTCTTAATGCTAGGGCTGGGCTGCTGTCAGGAGCGTTGGGCTGCCTGGTGTCTGTGCTGTGCTCTTCTCCCTTTTCCACCCCTCCCCTCGCCTTCCCTCCCCTTCCCTCCCCTCCTCTCTCCTCCTCTCACCTCCTTTCCCCTCCTCTCTCCTCCTCTCCTCTTCTCTTCTCTCCCTGTCCAGCTTCCGCAAGGTTACATGGATTATATACATTGACGTCCTAAAATCCTCTCTCTGCTCGCTGTGCCTTTCTGTATCCCTTCCTTTCCCTCTGTCAGGTAACATGGGCATTACAATAAAGCTCATGAATCAGCTCAAACACCATTTCCTTCCCCGTCCTCCGTCCCCCACCCTCCTCCCCCTTCGCTCTTTTCCTCCCCTTTCCACGGCCCACCAGGATACATGGACATCACAAAACGGCTAATGGAGGCATCAAAGGCAATCGTGGCAGGGTAGGTGGGCAGGTGGGCAGGTGGTTTGCTGTGCTTGTGTTGCTGTGCTGGGCTGTGCTGTGCTGTGGCGTTCCGTGCCGTGCCGTGCCGTGCCGTGCCGTGCCGTGCCGTGCCGTGCCGTGCCGTACTGTGCCGTGCCGTGCCGTGCCGTGGTTTGGTTTGCACAGCAGGGCATAGCATAATCTGGATCTTTTCCTTCTCCCTAGTGATGCGTGGATCCAATGTAAAATCTCATGCATGGTTTGAAAATTTCTGGCCTCTCGGCCCTTTCCCCCAAGCATTCACTGCATCCTCCCCTCCACTCTCACTTCTCCTTTCAGACAGCACCAATTTGAAGTTTTTTCAGCCACACGTGTCAGCACTTGTCGTTACCCATCCACCTTCACACACACACACAAGGCATACATGTCAGCGTCAGCGCTACTACTGCCATGCTGACAGTAGCGCTACTACCTTCACTTGTACTAGCGCTGTCTTTTGAGACGTCTTACCCAAAAACCCACCCCCTCCCCTCCAACACACACACATACACCAGGGTATCGCGCATAAAGGGACTGAAGGTGGTGGGGGAACCGGACATGACGGTCATAGCAACGACTCTTGAGAGGTTTTAAAAGCATCCCACCTGGCCCCCCACCACACACACGCATACACACAACCACCAGGGTATCGCGCATAAAGGGACTGAATGTGGTGGGGGAGCCGGACATGACGGTCATAGCAATGGCATCGGATCAGCTTGACATATATCGGATCAATGATGCTATGTCACACAGGGGATGGGCCCTCTCCGCCCTGCACAAACCAGCCAGGTGATTGCTCCTCCAACCCCTTCCACCACTCTCCACCCCCCTGCATGCACCTGCACTCCTTCCTTATCCCTCCTTACCCCTCCATATCCCGCGTCTACTATGCAGCATTCACCTGTTCGTGATGCTGCAGGATGTATGTGTTGAGGCTGATCGCCCGTCTACCTGACTCCACCCCGCCCCACCGCCCTCCACCCCTCTGCACCCCTCTGAAAATGCAGCATTCACCTATGTGTGACACTGCTCCATGTGGCTCGAAGACTTATTGCCCCTCCACCCCCTTCCACAATGCTCCACCCCCTTCCACAATGCTCCACCCCCTTCCACAATGCTCCAACCCCCTCCACCGATCTCCACCCCTCCCAACACAGCATTCACCTGTGTGTGACGCTGCAGCACGTGGGTGTGGTGGATACCTTCCTGGCAGACCTGCAGGCTGCTGTGGATGAGGTGAGGGGGAGCGGAGGGGAGGGGCGGGTGGGGGGAAGACTGGGGGGTAGAGATGGGGGTTGTGGTGGATGCTTTCCTGGCGGACCTACAGGCTGCTGTGGATGAGGTGAGGGGGAGCGGAGGGATCACGTAGGGGGGAAGGCTGGGTGTGCGGGAGTGGGGGGTAGAGATGGGGGTAGAGATGGGGCTAGTGTGGGGCCAACTGGTGGGGAAGGAAGGGTGGAGTTAGGGGGGGGAGTGGGGGGGAGCTGGTTTGGGGAGTGGGGGGGGGAGCTGGTGGGGGGAGTGGGGGGAGCTGGTTTGGGGAGTGGGGGGGGAGCTGGTCTGGGGAGTGGGGGGGAGCTGGTGGGGGGAGTGGGGGGAGCTGGTTTGGGGAGTGGGGGGGGAGCTGGTCTGGGGAGTGGGGGGGAGCTGGTGGGGGGAGTGGGGGGAGCTTGTTTGGGGAGTGGGGGGGGAGCTGGTCTGGGGAGTGGGAGGGAGCTGGTGGGGGGAGTGGGGGGAGCTGGAAAATACTTTTTGGTACTATGTAAGTGACCTCAGAGCTGGGGAAGCCAATCACAGGCAATCACAGGCAATCACAGGCAATTACAGGCAATCATGGAGCATGCCCATTGGAGGTTATGACAGCAGCGCGAGTAGCACCAATCATTTCGAGCCACTAAGGGTTTGGGGTATTTGCACATTGGATGCTTAAAGCCTTCTGTCCACGCGTGATGGCTGCAAGCCGCAACAGAGATCCTGGCCATTTCACCCCTCTCCTCTTTGCCAAGATACCCCTCTTCTGACTGTATCAAATCCTCCTGTATTGATTTCGCTTCCTCGCCCTCATCTGCCTGTGTCTGCCCTCATGATGCTTTTCGCAACCTTTTCCCCCTCCCCTCCTCCCCCACCCCACTTCCCCCCATTCTCAGGTGCGCTCATCACCCTCTCCCTCATCGCAAGGCATGGCTCCTATATATGGTGCTGGTAACCGCATGCCGGATAGAGGAGCTGTCAAGGAATTGCTGTTGGACTATATGGACTCGCTCACATGATTCGTGGACGTGTATGCTCCCGCCGTCCTCCTGTGCATAGCAACGTGTCTGCTATGCATTCTTTGTTTTTTTCGCATGGTAGAGGAAGGTTTTGCATTCCTTCTGTGGCTCGAAACTGCATATCTGGAAAGATAGATTACAGGGAACTGTGATTTGGCAGGAGATTGTGCACACTTACCAAAAATGATGAAAACATTGTGCATGGGATGTGAGTGAAAGACGGTACCATTTGACATGTAGTAGTAGACCTACATAAAAGAAGGAATTTGGAAATGCCTTTGAGTTGGGATATCGTTACATGATGACATAGTATAGTTTCTGGAGAACTTGTTGAAATATATCATTTTTTGTTACGCCACGCTGCGATATAGGCTGTAAGGAAAGGTGGTACGTCAAGATTATCCCACATTTGATCTCGCTGACGCCCCACAACCAGCTTCACTCGTGTCAAATCTTCTTTACCGAATGAAAACGAGACAGCGTGGAATGGAACCCCATCGGCTTTTGACGACGCGAACAGCTCATCCACAAGACCAGGCAGCGGCTCGTAATCAGAATCTACTCATCCACGCCACCACGCCTCGAACACGCTGCTGATCTGCCTCTCTCACCACCCTCGCTGCCGCTGGCTCGGAGGACGTGTACATTGGACATTGCAGTCGCGTTGTGGTGCCAAGTCCTGGCATCCAACGCACAGAACTGCTAGTTCACCTCGGCTGAACTGGTTGTGTCGCTAAAAGTCAAATCACCCACACTCTACGCAAAGCAATAGACTCCGTTTCAAACCGAAACGAAAACGCCCCCTGCAAAACTACCAGAATGTGCCACAGCCGCCTCCATTTTCCTTCCTTGAACGTACACCTCGTAAAACGTATTCCATCTCCCATCCACTTCGACCAGCAAACACTTGCTTGCAGCACCGCCGCATTCCACCCAAGCCCTCGAGCATCTTCCTCGCACCTCATTTCGAGCCCTCTATCGCAAAGCAGCCTAAGCTTCGTGCAAATGGCGTGCGTTCTCCAACAAGCCGCCGCTCTGTCCAGCCTCGCCGCCTCTCGCGGAGGCCAAAGCGGTGCGCTCAAGAATGCGGAACCCGCCAAAGCCGCCTTTTCAATCAAAGGCTCTGCGTCTGTTGTTTGCTCGGCACAGCGCAAAGTGAACGAGGTGAGAAAGCGGCACCCATGTCCTCTAGTTTTGACTGTAACAGACTGGCAAACCCATCGTGACTGTTAGGTTGTCCCGCCTCCACAGCGGCTTGACACTGTCTCACTGTTTTCAAACGGCTCGCAACATTGTTTCTTCTTTGGGGAGGGGGCGTTCTCCGTGTTTCTGGAAGCTCCAAATGAACGGCGCTGACGAAAATGCTAGAAGGATATACTTGAAAACGCAGCATTGGGCGCATGCACGCGAAGGAGTAAAGCTTTGGCCTCGGGAGTCTTTTGAATGACTCAGCTGGATTTCTCAGCTTGGTCATGCATGCCTTCACTCTCGCCCTTGTCCATCGAGCATTTCCAAGTTGATTCACTTGACACTGCTGGTAACACGCGAATAACGTGCAGTCGGTACTAATACTGTGCGTTTTACCAGAAAGCAGCCCTTTGTGTTTGAGGAGAACACCCTTGCCTTGTCCTTCATAAACCCTTGATATATTTCTATGGCTGATCGCACCATTGGCGTCCCTATTTTCTCACTTCCCGTCCCGTTTGCCAATATTACCACGACCTTCAGGCACCAATCACACGCCGCCACCTGTCCCTCCTCGTCGCCACTTCCTCCGTCGCTCTCTCCGCCCTCACCCTCCCCGACTCCGCCTCCGCGCGTTCCCGCGACGAGGGCAAGCGGGAGGCGCTGGAGCGCGTCCGCGAAGAGGCGCTGGCTCGCCAGCGGGAGGCGGAGGCCGCCGCGGCAGCGGAAGCAGCGGCGGAAGTGGAAGCAGCCGCAGCAGCAGAAGCAGCCGCAGCAGCGGAAGAAGCAGCAGCAGCGGAAGCTGCGCAAGCAGCGGAAGAAGGCGCGGCGGAAGCAGTTGCGGAGGACGCCGCCCCAGACGGCGGCGCTGAGATGGTTGGGGAGAAATCAGAGACCAGCGGAGAGGCGGTGGGGGAAGTATTGGGGGCGGATGCTGCTCCCGCTGATGCAGGGAAGGAGGACGCTGAGAGTGACGGGTCTGACGCCAAGAGTCCTCGGGAAATGATGGGGGATATGATGGAAGATGTCATGGACATGGTCGATGATATGATGGGCGGCGTCTCGACTCTTATGGACAAGCTGCGGTCACTTACCCCTCCCAAAGGATCGTCGTAGGTGGTGGGGTGGGCGTAGGCTATTCGCTTGCCTTGCCAAGGCTCGGCTGTTTTAGAGTTCAGCTGGTATATTCCTTGTTACTGGTACGGTATTAGTAGAGCAACCAAGTTTGGTTATTCCACAATTACTTACAAGATGAAAAGCCTGGAATTGGAGAAAGTGTTGATTAAAAAAACAACAAAGCAGTTAAACTTTCAAACAAGGTATACAGTCATTACACCAAGTCTGAGTTATTGCTCAATACAGCAGTTATTCTCCCTGTGCCATCACTAATACCGGTATATCAATTCGGCACAGGCAACACATGCACATACCTACAAAAAACCTAGGACAGTGTCAAGAAAATGGCGCCTAGTGCTCTCTAACTGAAGAGAGCACCTATCCTGTGGCCTTCAGTGAAACTCCCCACAAACCCCTGCTGCTGCTCCTGCTGAAACGACCATGTACTACTGTATTGTTAATGGTATGTTCCTCTGATGTAACAGCACGCTGTCACTACGTTTCGCGCTAAAGCGCGGATGTCCCATCAGACCAGCTTCAGTTATCGTCATCGTCGTCGTCATCCTTGTTCTTGTTACCGTTCGCCCTGTTCCCTCTACTCGAATTTCCTCTGTTCGACCCTCCACCCACTCCAGCCGGCTTACGTACACGCGCATTACCAGTGCCACCTGTATTCGTCTTAGGAACAGTTGGGGGTACCGATGCCACAGGTTTCCTTCCCCCCGTCTGCCCGCTGGGGGTACCGGACGCTCCGTCAGGAACGGGTCCGCGTTTCTTCCCCCCTCCGCCAGCGCCTACCGGAACGCTCCCCGTGCCTTTGTTCGGGGCAGGACCACCGGACTTCGGAGCAGGCACGGGAGCAGTCTTGGGAGCAGGGACGGGAGCAGGCTTAGGCTTAGGACCAGGCTTGGAAGCCGGCTTGGGAGTGGGTGTAGGCACAGGCTTGGGAGAAGGTGAGGGCAGAGGCTTGGGAGAATCAGCAGGCTTCTTGCCGCCGCCCGCCTTGCCGTTACCGTTGTTGACCCAACCTCCCACGCCTCGTACCAATGCATTCGGGTCTACGATCCAACCTCCCTGATTCACGTAGTTGATTGACGAAAACGGCGCCGCTTCAGCTGCGGTCATCACTTTCGCGAAGGACTCCCATCCCGTCGTGTTGTAACCCGGTCCGTAACACCCGTACGCGCCGAACGTGAGCGAATCTGTATCCTCGTAACCGCTGACGAAACCCCAGCCCTCCGCCCTGACCGATCCAGCCGCGAACATTGTATTGACGAAAACAACAGTGGAGTAATCCCCCCAAGACCGCGCCAGATACCCGGGTTTAATAGGCCCTTTCCCGAAGGGTTTTAAGGAGCCTCCTAGGACGACGAAGCCGGTATCCTGGCCCTTGTCGCGCGCCTGCGCGAAGTAGCCGCCGCCCCAGTAGACGAGGCGGAACTTGCAGTCGTGGAACAGCGCCTTGGCATTGCCGAACACGAAGTCCACGCGGCCCTGGATGACTGGCGGGTTGTGAGAGGCGGGGGAGTCGGGGTTGGCGGGGGAAGCGGGGGAGGCGGAAGAGGCGGGGGAGACGGAGAAAGAGGTCAGATGCGTGGGAGGAGCATGCGCTGAAAGACGGAAGAGAAACGGGCAAGGGCGGAAGAGGCGGCAAAGGAGGGCCAAGGGTGGGAGTACGTACTGCAATTCTTGTAGTATTGCAAGCCGATTGTAGCGTAAAGAGTATCCTGGACAAATCGCAACGAGGGAGGAGTGGGAGAGAGAGCCAAAGAAAAATGGCAGATTGAGTAGGGGCAGGTAGGGGTAGACAATAGCAGGAAATGTTACTTGTGGGACGACGAGAGTACAGAAGTGAAAGAACGAGGACGGGAGTGTGGACGAAGCGAATGTGTACAAATATGGGTGTTGATAATAGTTTTCCAAACGGGCAAGGTTCGCGAAGACCGCGAAGTTGGCAAGATCCTCACCTGGTATCCGAGGAACGTGCAGCCGTAAAAGGCCACTCGCGTGCCAGCAACCTTCATCGCCACGGCTTGGTCCTCGTCGCTGTGACATCCACACGCGCACATGAAAGATGGACAGACGCATAAGGTGAGTCCCAGAAAGAACCAGAAGCACTTTTATTAGTGAAGGCTATCCGAGGCCGAGCGAGACTGACACAGGCGGGGATAGCATATGAGAAACGCGCGAGAAATGAGGCGCACGCTGCATTGCATTGTCCCGTTCCGCGCGCCCGTGCTGTGCACGTCTTCCTCCTTGTCCGCGGGTTTCCCACGTTTTTGCCAGTCCTCGCGTTCTCGCGAATTCCCGCGCGATCGCTGGTGCTTCTTACCCGCCCTGCTCGCCCGGCCCGTGCGCGTTTTCGAAGATGATGTTGGAGACAACCACGTCTGAGGCCAGCAGCCGAAACGTGGCGCACTCGTCCAGACTCGAGTCGCCCGCCGCGCCCGACGACGTTATCTTCACGCCGCTTCCGGCCCTCTCGCCCACCAGTCCAATGAACCGGAGGTTTGCGGGCAACTGAAAAAACGGGCCGCGAGGGGTGAGTGAAAGCGACATGGTTAGTGTAAACCCCGACGGGCTTCGAGTAGCGAAGACTTACGCTAAACCCCAGACCCGGGAGAACTTGAAAGCGAGAGCGAAGGAAAGAGCAATGGATGTAGAAAAGGTGTGGTAGAGGAGGCGCACCGTGGGCTGTTCCTCGTAGATTCCAGCTTTGATGAAGATAACGAAGAAACGGTTGCGATTGCCCGATCGCGCAGCGGTGATTGCTTCCTGTCGGGAGGCGGGGGAGGAGACAAGGACGAACAGCTGTGAGTTAACGGACGTAATTGGCGACAAGAATGATGTAGGGACGAGGGGTAATTTGAGAAAGAGCGCGATTCAACTTGTGGTTGCGCGAAGTGCGGCGAAGAGTAGATGAAACTGGGTATCTCGATAGCTGAAAAAATGGTCAGTACTGGGTTAAAAGAAACTGAACGAAAACGGAAACGGAAACGGAAACGGACCTGGATGGTAGTGTATTGGCCAGTTCCGTCCTTCGCCACGATGATGTCCGCACCAGCTCCCCCAGCGGCCGCAGCATCTACCCGCGGTTTCTTAGCTCCTGCCCTTGATGCTAACAGCAGTGCGACGACCGCAATGAGAAGACAGGCGCGGATCGCCGAGGAGGGCTGCCTCGCAGCCATCGCGAGGGTTGGGTGGGCTCGCAACAGAGTGGTTTCGATCGTGCGATTGTAAATGCTCTCACGCTCATGTAGAAATGAAGGGCGATATGGAGATCGAGGTAAGTTGAGGAGGTAAGTGCTACCTGCGGCCGCTACAACTTCACAAATACTCTTGGTAAAACCTCCACCATGCAGTGGGGAATTTTAGAGGTGGAGAGATTGGGTGGAACACAGTTGCGACCACCGCTGAATTTTAGTTGCGGCTGCAAGTGGGGCAGGAATTGCGCCCCGATCAATGTCGTGGGGTGGATGATCGATCGAATCGGAGAGATCGGAGAATTGCGATGCATCGGAAATGCGCGATGCGAGTTTGCGCGCTTCGTAGTGGGAAGTGTTAGGGAGGTGCACTCGAGAGCCGTGCTTTGGCTGGAAGCTGTTTGCGCCTCTTCGAGGTTGGAACGGACAGCCAACGTGGTCTAGCTGCCGCCCCAGTCGTAAACATGTCGCACATGACAGCGGGAATTTGTTCCAACATGTGGCCCAGGTGCGACCTTGCGGGCTGGTCTTCCCTGGATCGCTCGACAATTCGCAGCGGTCTTCTCGGGAGGGCGAAAGCATGTGACCTCCAATCGTTGAGTCGCACGCACCCACACCCAGAAACTGCACGACGCAAACTGGGTGAAGGGCAAACCCACGTATCTCCAATACCAGTGTCAAATGTCTGCGCACAAAGTTCATACTATATCGCGTACCAGAAGTTTCATACAATGTCTTCCAACCAACAAACCAATCTCCCTCCTCTGAAAACTTTCCCAAACCACCATCTCCTGGAGCCTACAGTTGTTTCGTCACATCCTAGTATGTTTGTGTTTCAGAAGTTGTCTCTTACAAAAAATGCAAGATATCCATGTGCTGTAAGTTGTAATTCCGTCAAATGCTGAATCAGTAAATCTTGATCCAGTCAGGTATCTGATGATAATGTAATGGTCGTCGTATTACCAGCTCAGGAAATTGCCCTTTAGGACACTGCTTCTAGAAAGGTATCCTATAATTACTATTTGTTTGGAATTACGGCACTCTTCATGTACGCAAGAGTAATACCAAAATTTAGTGTGCACGTCAGCCTTGGTGCCCTGTCACCATTATCAGCATTGGTAGTCAGCATAGAGCAGCAAATCATATGTTACCCCTAGCATATATTCTTGGAACTAATGGATCACCTATCTTTCCTCTATATTCTTCCTAAGGCATTCTCCTTGTATTGGGTACAATCAGGACTACATTATTCCTGCGACGACCAGCGTCAGCGGAGAATGCAGATGTGTGCTACACCTCAGGCAGATCTATTGTACTCGCCTCCTAATTCTTGTTGTGCCGGTGACTCTTCTTGCTCTTGCTGCCTCCCGCGTCAGCAGCAGTGGGTGGAGGCGGCGTGGGTGCGACCGAAGCGGCTCTCTTAGCAGCGCCCTTGCCGCCACCAGCACCCCCCTTCCCTCCTTTGCCAACGCTGTTGTTGTTCACCTTTCCTCCCACACCACGCACCAGCGTGTTCTGGTCGGCGATCCATCCTCCGTCGTTCACGTAACTGATAGAGGAATACGGGGCTGCTTGTGCCGCAGTCAAAATCATTGTGGTGTCGTCCCATCCCGTGGTGTTGTAATCAGGCCCGTAGCACCCGTACGCGCCAAAAGTAACATGGTGCATGCGCTTGTTACCACCCACGTAACCCCACCCCTCCGGACGAACCGACCCCGCTGCGAAAAACGTGTTGATGAAAATCGTGGTGGAGTATTTTCCCCAGGAGCGTGCCAGGTAACCGGGCTTGATGGGGCCCTTGCCGAGCGGGCTGAGGGAACCTCCGAGAACAACGAAGCCGGTATCCTCGCCCTTTTGGCGGGATTGCGCGAAGTAGCCGCCTCCCCAGTAGACGAGATGAAACTTGCAGTCGTGGAACAGAGCCTTGGCATTGCCGAACACGAAGTCCACGCGGCCCTGGATGACTGGCGGATAACGGAACGAGGGAAAGGGAATACGGTAGACCGAATGAGTGAGGAGGAACAAACATGAGAACAATCGAGCGAGGATTTAGAGCGAAAGAGCGAATTAAAAAATTGCGCGCCCCTTGAAAACTCCAAGGTAGCCACTGGACTGTGCGTGGAATACATAGCAATGCAGATTGGACAAGGCCAAATTCTCGGTTTACCGCAATTCTTGTAGTACTGGAGTCCCGATAACGCGTACAGGGTGTCCTGATAACCGAGGAACGAGCATCCGTAGAATGCAACGCGGGTGCCGTTGACTTTCACGGCCACGGCTTGGTCTTCGTCCCTGTGATCGATACATCAAAAAGTGAAGGTGAGATGGAGAGTAGAGCAAGATTACTTGGTCGCTCCACAAGCAGGTTGCGCAGTCGGCATTTCTTGCTGCAATCTAAAGCTGCTTAGAGCGAGTGAGCGTTTGCGTGAGAGAATGAGTGAGAGTGAGTGAGTGAGAAAGTGAGGGAGCGAGTGAGTGAGCTAATGAACGATTGAACGAATGTCAGAAGGCCATCGAACCCGGCGATTCTTACCCGCCCTGCTTGCCCGGTCCGTGCGCGTTTTCAAATATGATGTTGGATACGACCACGTCCGACGCCGCCAGCTGGAACGTGGTGCAATCGTTCAGGTTCGACTGCCCTGCGTAATTCGACGCGGTGATCTTCGCGCCGTTCTCGCCCACGAGCCCGATGAATCTCAGAGACCCGGACATCTGTGATCGTGCGATGATGCGGCAGCGTGCGAACAAGAGGCGATGTTGTTACAGACGGGATTACAGTGACGAAGCAATGGGCGAACCTATCCTCATGGCAGGAGATGGGTACGAGGGGCTGCTGAGTGCGAAAACCTTAAGGTGGATTAAAGTCGTGAATATTTTGCGTTTTTTCAAGCGATTCAAAATCCGTGCACGTACCGCTGCTTGCTCGGTATACGTTCCCGCCTTGATGAGAATGATGAAGTAGCGACTTGCTGTTCCGGATTTGGCAGCGGCCAACGCAGCCTGTCAGCGTGAGAGAATGGGAAAGAACGCTGGTGAGATGAGCCGGTGCAAGTTATTGTAACAAACAAGCCCCTAGTAGTAAGCCGACGAAGAATCACATTGAACCCAGAAGAGACGGTCATTTAGAATGCGCTACTAGTCGCCCGATGCGCGATGCGGGATGCGCGATGCGAGCCTACCTTGATGCTGGTGTAATCTCCGCTGCCGTCCTTTGCCACAACAATGTCAGCTCCCGTCCCTCCAGGAATCGTCGCCTTGGGCGCCACCTTGGGCGCCGTCTTGGGCGCAGGGAGCCGCGCCGTTGCACTGGCCGGTCCGGCGAACAACGCAGCAAGCAGCATTGCTGCGAGGAAGGCGTGACGCAGCATGGCGGGTGCGGTGGCGGCGGAGGTGCTGGTGTTAGTGGTGGCGACGCTGCTGTGAATGTTGGCAAAGCTGGAATATCTCTAAATCAACCCGGAAAACTACCACTAGTAGCAGCCTTGAGTAACGCCAACGCTTGTTAGAAGCGTGGGTGATGTAGCTTCTGGGGGCAGATGGCAGATTGCGCTATACGCCTCAGAAGGAATGAATGAGGAGACTGCAAACGCGTGGTATTTGTATGATAAACAATAGGGAGCTGGTGCGTGCTCGCGTGCTGCTGTGCTGATAAGCGGCCACCTCACCGCGCCGCCATAGCCTGATGGGATAGCACACGAGAGTTTTTCGTGTGCTGGAGGCTGGCTGGGGAATGGGGGAAAACTCGCGGCGCGTTTCACATCTGGACCTGGACCTTCGTTGTCAGCAGGACGAAGGGGTTAGTTGGTGCAGTACTGAGTCGGTGCAGAGGAGTATGTGTGAGTCGCACTTGAGATTAGGAAAGCTGTTCGGATCCGTTTTCCCCCCCATGTGAATCACGAACCCGTACAGTTGTGCTGTGTTGAACACGTAAATCTAGCCTCGTGCTTCAATTGGCTTGCCGCCATGTTGGGAGGCGAGCCGCGGATTTGTTTGCTCGCATCGCGTGCTAATGTTCACCCTTTCATTCTTCGTTGCGTGTTTCGCTGATGAGGCACAGATTTCACGAAACAACTTATTCACGAAACAGCTTTCTGTCTCACAACGGTTATGCTTAGTTAAAGATCGGAATGACGAAACAATCTGCATAAGCTCATTAATGTACATATTTAGCTAAGAATATCGTGCTCTGGTGCCCGCAAACCTCAGCAAATATGACGTGTCAAGTGGACGTGCAGACGTCCAGATTCTTCATGGATGTTCCCCCATCGTGCCCCTCAGCGGTCGCCTTCGCGTCGCCAGGCAGATTCGTCCACAATCAGGTCGCTGAACCTATACTCTTTATACTAAACGCAAAATCAAAGGCAGCCACTGAATCTTATACACCGTATAATATTTCAGAAGAACGGCTATGACTGTCTTCATAACCAGCCCACTCTTCCCATAGTCACTTCCAACATTTGCTGAACCACTTGCCGTATGTTCTCTAATCTGCGTTCTTCTCTTGAGGCTCTCTCCTAGCTAGTGTACTTCCATGCATTGCCAAATGCCTCATGTGGCATTTGAAGCGCATATTATATACAACGTGTTTTAGTAGTTCTACTGAACGGGCGCTGATGGTACAATCGACACATAGACGAGGCATGACATGTCTAATCGTTGCTCTATTCTGCAAGCTGGAAGCCCCCCTATCAGGGCTCAGGTTTGGTTTTTACCTACTCACGATTAGCAGTGTAGACATTTTCAAAACCCTTCTGAGCAGTGTGTATTTTTTGGTAACACTGATGGATCAGTGTAACTTTAAGTTTTGAAAACTTTACCCAGAGGCATCAGTGTATGTATATTTTTTACCCTGATTGTACTGTAGGTGCTAGCAGCAACCAAGCTGGAGGCCCAAATTGCGCAAGATGGGCACTGGTGGGTGGGGGTTGTTGTGAAAGTCGAACGCAATGGCTTGTCTGGTTTCACTGAGTCAGCAGGCTTCCCGGGGGGAACATGTGTTTGGGGACCTCGATCGAGTGGAGTCGAGGGAATTGAAGTCCTGCAGTGAGTGCAGCTTCGACCAATCAGGTTGCAGTTTTTGCTTCGTGTAGGTTGCAAGCAGACACGGAGTGACGCGGTGTCGGTCGTCAGTACGCACGTGCTGCCGTCGTAGTGCATCATTACGAAATTAGGTGTACCGTTATGAAGATTCGGAGAACCATCTCGATAGGTAGAGTTTCCGAAGGGGGGGGGGGGGGGGGTGGTTCCCTGTACGCTCTTCAGGGTAATCTTCGCTAAGGAAAATTTTACCCCAGAGCATCAGTGTGGCCTAAATCATTACACTGACATATCAGTGTAACACTAATCCCCCAAAAAATTACCCCAGCCCATCAGTGTAGACTGAAAATTTCACCCTTCTCATCAATGGAGAAGGGTAAATTACACTGCAAACCTGAGCCCTGCCCCCTATCCAATTACTTGAATATACCCCACCACCTCATCAAGGTGTGTACGGTGTTGGGCTGAGAAAAGACCCTTAGGATCGTTGCAAGGCTAAGATCCTGAGTACAAATGTTGTAATTGCGGAAGCTGTCAGAATGTCGATGTTTGTCTAGCCTGCAGTGGGGTACTCTATAGCGAGTACAACCCAATTAGGGTTTCCTATATGTATCTCAACTGCTGCTAGTGAAAACCACTCTTTCCTGTTTCTAGCTTGTGCCTGCTATTCCGACAGAAGCGTTCTTAATGAACTGTTTAGCCAACTTGCACTAGTGTGTGAGAGCAAGAAATTAATCATAGCAAAGTAATACAAGGCTTTTATATATGATTACAAGGAATATGAAAGGATGCAACCAACTGTTCTACTGTTGCTGTTGCGGTTCGATACAGCGACGACTCGGGCAACTGCTCAGTACCGAGTAAGTTGTTTGTCCATGCTGTCGCGCTGCCTTTGTCAAGTCAAAGGTCGGCAACCTTTGACTTTCGCGTAACCTCCTGCTGTTACGTTTGTCAACCTCCTTGGTTGACTCCCTGTTGCTTCACTGTAATCTGCCTCGTTTGAAGTTCGTTGTTCCGACACATCAGAAGCGTTAAATCACATGTTTCCAACACTCCCCTTCGCTTTTGGAGTGTCGTTGCTGGTGACGTCGCCTTGTCCAGTCAGCAACATGCAGTACTCAAACTTCTGCTTTCCGAGTTTCTTGGTCAAGTAATCAGCTGCCATTTCGGTTGTGGGGCATGTCAGGAATAGGAAAAAATGATTGACTAGAATGACAGCCGTACAGGGTTTGTATAGCAAAACCTAATTGGCCTGTACCCCATGAGGAGTGCCCCACTACAGCCTAGAGCATGTAAATGCATGGTTCTGACACACCCCCATAGGCAAAGTGGGGGACAAGCAAGAGAACGAAGCAATGTCAAGCTCAGGGTGGATCACAACGTCACCACGCATTCTGAGCACAAGCAAATGGCCACAAGGTCAGTTCACATGCAGAGTTATATCTAAAGAAGAACAAGCAGTGCAGTGATCACAACCTAGCAAGTGTAAGCATGCAGGTATAAGTATATAGATCACAGTACAAGCAAAGTCAAGAAGTGAGTAAGTGAGGCCAAGTAGGCACAAGGCCTAGAACAGTACAGAAACGCTGATGATCACAAGGCTGAAGTGCCTTGGTGAAGATATCAGCAGTGTTGGCCTGAGAGGCCACGTAAACAAGACGAAGCTGACCACGATTCTGCAACTCTCGAGCAAGGAAGTAGCGCAGAGCGATGTGCTTCGTTCTGTGCTCCAGTCTGTGCTCCTGACACAATGCAATCATGGCCTTGTTGTCGACGTACAGAACTGGAGGAGAACGAGGCGGCTCTCCCAAGTTGGTCAGCAGGTAGGTGAGCCAGCGTAACTCCTGTGCAGCCATGGCCCCTGCATAGATCTCAGCCTCACAACTGGAGCTGAGAACAGAAGACGAGCGGGTAGACCGCCAAGAAACAGAGCCTGAGCCAAGGCTGAAAGAGTAACCATGTGACGACCGCAGCGTAGCCAAGTGACCAGTAAGGACAACTCGAGCCCGTCCTCCAAGCACGAGCCCCATGCCCGACGTACTGCACAAGTAGCGCATCACCCTCTTAGCGGCCTTCCAGTGCTCTGGTCGGTGTCTCCCGGGCGCAACGTAGCGAGCCAGGATGCTAAGAGGGTACGCAAGGTCAGGTCGAGTGCAGGTCATTAGGTACATGAGGCAGCCCACAAGCTCTGGATACAGGCCACTCGGCTCTACGGACTCATCCGAAGGCAGAGCTGAGAGCGAGTGACCGATAGGCAGAGGAGTGGCCTGTGGCGAGGAGTACTCAAAGCCGAAGCACTGAAGGACCTGCTGCACCATGTGTGACTGAGTCAAGGTAATGGTGCGCCGTGCTCTGTCCCGGGTGATCTGCAAGCCAAGATAGCTGCGCAGCTCACCCAGGTTTGTGCACGTGTGTCTCTTCTGCAGCTCCGACTTCACGTGGGCCAGTCCAGCAGTGTCAGCAGTGGCAAAGACCAAGTCGTCGACGTACACGACGATGTGAAACGTCGGCAGAGAAGTGTCGCAACGTAGAAACAGCGACGGGTCAGCAGTCGAAGGAGCAAACCCAAGAGCCGCAAGAGTCGTCCTCAGTGTGTCGTGCCACTCACGAGGCGCCTGGCGGAGACCGTAGACTGGCCGCCGGAGGCTCCACTGGGTACCTGCAGGAAACGACCC